TGGTTTGAAAGTGTTGTAGATTGCCTGAAAATGTTCTACATGGTCTAAAAATGTTTTACATGGTCTAAAAATGTTGTACATGGTCTAAAAATGTTAACCTAGATGGTTTGAAAGTGTTGTAGATTGCCTGAAAATGTTCTACATAGTCTCTAAAAATGTTTTAAATGGTCTAAAAATGTTGTACATGGTCTAAAAATGTTAATGTAGATGATTTGAAAATATTGCAGATTGTCTGAAAATGTTGTAGATTGCCTGAAAATGTAATAGACAGTCTGATAATGTTGTACATAGTCTAAAAATGTTATATATTGTTTGAAAACTTTGCAAATTGTTTGCAAATGTTGTAGATTGTCAGCAAATATAGTAGATTATATTAAAATGTTGTAAATTATCTGAAAATGTTAACTAATAATGTTGTAGATGGTTTGTAAATATTGTAGATTGTCTGGAAATATTGTAAATTGTCTGCAAATATAGTCGAGTGTGTAAAAATGTTGTAATTTATATAAGAATGTTATCTGAAAATTCTGTAGATTGCCTGAAAAGGTTCTAGATTGTATGAAAAAGTTTTAGATCATCTGCAAATAATGTAAGTTGTCTGAAAATCTGACCAAGCTGTACATTATCTGACCATTTTGTAGATAATTTGAAAATGTTGTGAATTATGTAAGAATGTTATTTGAAAATGCTGTAGATTATCAGAAAAGTTTGTAGATTGTATGGAAATATTGCAGATCATCTAAAAATGTTGTAAGTTGTCTGAAAATCTGACCAGATAATTTGAAAATGTTGTGAATTATGTAAGAATGTTATCTGAAAATGCTGTAGATTGTCAGAAAATGTTGTAGATTGTGAGGAAATGTTGTAGATCATCTGAAAATGTTGTAAGTTGTCTAAAAATGATGTACATTATCTGACCATTTTGTAGATAATTTGAAAATGTTTTTATTTATTTTAGAATGTTTACTGAAAATGTAGATTGTCTAAAAATAATGTAAATTGTCTGAATATTATTAGATAACTTACAATAAATTAATTATTTTAAGATAATGTACAATATCTCCACAGTATCTACAACATTTCCATACAATGTACAAGATTTTTTGACAATAACCAGAATTTTTAGATAATACACATTAATTTCGAACAATGTACAATATTTGCAGACAATCTACTATATTTCACAACATTTTACAACATTTCCTGACAAGAATTCAGAATGTTTAGACAATTTAATCTGAAAATGCTGTAGATTGTCTTGAAATGTTCTGGATCGTTGGAAAATATTGTACAAAGTCTGAACATTTTGCAGATTTATACTAAAAATGCTGTTGATTGTCTATTACCTTTTATAAATATCTATACCTGTAATTAGCAGATTGTGCACGAGCATCAAAATCTCGTTTAAGGAATGACGCTTTCTTGGGAATGTTTTTGCTTAATTTCTTCAACAGATCTTTGTCTTCGTTGAATGTTGTCTTGTCATCTATAACTCTGCAATAATAAATAAATAAATAAATAAATAAAATCATGTATATACATATATATTAATTTGGAAATATGAACAAACAACACTTTTTTTGCACTAATTTATTAAATAATAATTTTCACAAACGTTTTGAGACTAGGTTTGTTGTTATAATTTAAAATTTAAAATATGGAAACCTAAATTAGCATTATGTGTTATCCGTTACATCAATTCCGTCATTCAATATACTGTCTTCTGCCCCACCAACGACGTCGGAGTTCGAATTCTCTATTCAAGTTCAAGTGGTTAGTCACGCAATATCAAATAGAAAAGGAATATCAAATACACACTGATGATGAGACAAACCTAGTCTCGAAACGTTTGTAAAAATAATTATTTAATAAATTAGTGCAAAAAAAGAGTGTTGGTTGTTCATATTTCCAAATTAATATCTATTTATCCACTCAGAATACATTTGTTACACACACACATATATACGAGGTGTGTTCAAAAAGTACCCGGAATTACTAATAATTAAATTTCGCGGGTCTGGAGTGTCTGATTGTCAAAATTTTTTTTTTATTGTGTTGGTATACATGCCCCTAAAGTATGATGAAATTTTCAGCTATATTCACTGTTTACTTTGTCTGTGGTAGTCGCTAAGGTTCGACGTGTTTTTCTGAGCTCGGCGATTTTTACAATGGAAGAATTGAAAAGTCAAAGAATTTGTATTAAATTTTGCGTAAAAAATGAAATAAAGTGTTGCAAAGTGCAAAAATTCACCAGATATGGCTCCGTGTGACTTTTTCCTATTCCCAAAGTTGAAGAGACCCATGAAAGGACGGCGGTTTTCCTCAATTGAAGAAAATCGCTGAGAGTGCTCAAGGACATATCAAAAAGTGAATATCAAGGGTGCTTCGAAAATTGGAAAAAACGCTGGCATAAGTGTATTATATCTGGAGGGGACTACTTTGAAGGGGACCACATTAATGTAGACGAATAAATAAATATTTTTTTGAAAAAACGAAAATTCCGGGACTTTCCGGAAATTTTTGAACAGACCTCGTATATATATATATATATATATATATATATATATATATATATATATATATATTATATTTATAAGTCAATTATACCCTTGCATGGTATGATTAGCCAACTGTTCCATCAAGCTAACAGCATCTTCGCAAACACTAAAAATATGTCTGCTACCATCTCTGACAGTAATTTCAATTTCAATAGCATTAGAGAATATCAATGATGCAGTTATGGAATCGTTCTTCCTGATCAAAGCAGACACATCGAGCCATCGAATAGAAATCTGGGACAAGGAGAAAATTCCACGAGAATGAAAAACTAGGCGAGATAGTGTTAGATAGAGACGGCCACGGTCGGGAATAGTGTTCTTCCAATAACTAAAAAGAAAATAAAAAAGTTATTTATATATATGTATATAAATAACTGTGTGTGTATGTGTGTGCGTGTTAAATTCAATTCAATTTAATTTTGTACCTGCAGGTGTAATAATTAACAAGTTTTTCTTCAGCAGGTATTCCAAATAGTTTGTGAAATTTCTCAGCAGTTGCTCTGAATGCCTTTGTGTCTTCATCTGAAACAATATTATTATTAATATAATAATAATGATAATAATAAAAGGTTTATGATATGTCTATTGTATTTATTTTGTTCCCATATTTCTAATTTCTATTTTTAAGTGTACTATGCTATTTATTAGTACAGTAAGTTAATAATAATATAACTTTATTATAATATTGTATTTACAATCTGTTAAAAACCACAAATGTTAAATCCACGTAATGCAGTAATTTCGTAATCTTTGTTACGAAACAAATGATTGGTTTAATAAAACGTTGCTGTTACGTTTGGTGTCGTCAAAGTGTATTCTTTGGTATTTCGTTACATAACTGCTTTAATAAAAACGTTGCTGTTACGTTAGGTGTTTTCCAAGTGTATTATTTATGTAATTTCGTTACATAACAGCTTTAATGAAACGTTGCTGTTACGTTTAGTGTCGTCAAAGTGTATTTTTTATATTATTTCGTTACATAACTGCTTTAATAAAACGTTGCTGTTACGTTTGGTGTCGTCAAAGTGTATTCTTTATGTTATTTCGTTACATAACTGCTTCAATAAAACGTTGCTGTTACGTTTGGTGTCTTTAAAATGTATTCTTTATGTTATTTAGTTACATAACTGCTTTAATAAAACCTTGCTGTTACGTTTGGTGTCATCAAAGTGTACTTCATGTTATTTCGTTACATAACTGCTTTAATAGAACGTTGCTGTTACGTCTCGCCAAAGAGTATTCTTTATGTTACTTTGTTACACAGCTACTTTAATAAAACGTTTCTGTTACGTTTGGTGTCGTCAATGTGTATTCTATATGTTATTTCGTTACATAACTGCTTTAATAAAACGTTGCTGTTACGTTTGGTGTCGTCAAAGTATATTCTATATGTTATTTCGTTACATAACTGCTTTAATTAAACGTTGCTGTTACGTTTAGTGTCGTCAAAGTGTATTCTTTATATTATTTCGTTACATAACTGCTTTAATAAAACGTTGCTGTTACGCTTGGTGTCGCCAAAGTGTATTATTTATGTTATTTCGTTACATAACTACTTCAATAAAACGTTGCTGTTACGTTTGGTGTCGTCAAAGTCAAAGTGTATTCTTTATGTTATTTCGTTACATAACTGCTTTAATAAAACGTTGCTGTTACGCTTGGTGTCGTCAAAGTGTATTATTTATGTTATTTCGTTACATAACTACTTCAATAAAACGTTGCTGTTACGTTTGGTGTCGTCAAAGTCAAAGTGTATTCTTTATGTTATTTCGTTACATAACTGCTTTAATAAAACGTTGCTGTTACGTTTTGAGTCGTCAAAGTGTATTCTTTATGTCATTTCGTTACATAACTGCTTTAATAAAACGTTGCTGTTACGTTTGGTGTCTTTAAAATGTATTCTTTATGTTATTTCGTTACATAACTGCTTTAATAAAACGTTGCTGTTACGTTTGGTGTCGTCAAAGTTTAATTTTTATGTTACTTTGTTACATAACTGCTTTAATAAAACGTTGTTGTTACGTTTGGTGTCGTCAAAGTGTTTTCCTTATGTTATTTCGTTACATAACTAATACATCACACGAGTGATGTAAAAATTGCGATTGTGTTTTATGATAGCTGCTTTTAGGCAGAGATTTCAGAAACGATTATCTATATTCAAATGTTATTTTAAAGTATATTAAGTTGCTGTAAAGACTTATAATATTTATATTGATATCCATATTGATATTTATTTAATACTTATTGATAATAATATTGATATTTATCTTGATCATAAAAAATTTAATTAGGTACAAATTTATCGAATGCATCATCTATATAATAATGATCACATAATTCGAAAGTTACAAAAAATACAATAAATAACTACAAGAACTAGTAGTTCGATTGAAATTGATGCATTAGAAATTGGAACCAATTGTTACAAAAGATATAATAAATGAATAAAAATATGTTTTGTATGATTAAAACTTCTATGGTATAAATAATAGATATACACATATATATATATATATATATATATATATTATATATAATATTATTATTATTATTATTATTATTACTATTACCTTCGATTTGAACCGGTTCTTGTGTTGTAGCAACCATTGCATGAATTTTACATAAAACATAATCGGTGACTTCATTTTCTTTATCAAAACTTGTAAGAGTTTCTGAAATGTTCTCAAATATCCATTGCCAGTCTCTTTCGATCTCGAGAGAGGTCACAGCGCATGCTATTTCTAAAAAATAAAATATAATCAATAATTAAATATTTAAATTATATATATATATATATATATATATATATATATATAAATATATTATATATATATATATATATATATATATATATTCAGTTATTAAATGTATTTGTTATTATTTTCATAAGCAATTGATTGTAAGTATCTATGATGGAAGTATGAAAGTATTCAAACTATTGTTATTAAATATTTTTAAAATAACAACAAATTCAATTGCATGATGCATTATGTTGTATCTGCTAATTAAATAAATAAATAGCATCTATATGACAATGCTTCGATATAACATTACTGACAATGATTATTTTTAAATATATAAATATTTCCAAAATTATATTTATATTATTGCTATATTTATTTATTTCATAAACTAAAAATTTTAGGAATTCTTTAATATTTTACTCTTGTTATATGATTTTTCGTTACCATAATTAAATTATTTCATTTATTTTTAAATATATTTAATTTTTAAAAAATTTAATAATAGTATATCATTTCAGGTTTATCAATCTTATTTATAATTAGTAATTAAAGTTTATAAATGATATTATAAACAGTTTTAAACCATTTTTTTTAAATTCATTTCACTGTTTCCCTAAATTTTTAATCGATAAATAAAATAATACATATAACTATATTTATATATATTATTTATTATTTATCTTTTTTATTCATTAATTATATTTCTTGTCTGAATTAGATACAGTATGTAAAAAAATATCTAATAATAATAAATAATGATAAAAGATAAAATGTCGAACAAGACAACATGTTGAAAAAAATATTATTAATCAAACTTTTATGTTTACTACTATTTTCATAAAATAGAATAGTAAAAATAAAAACAACTAAGGAATATTTGTTGGCAGATATATTTAAATTGTCATTTTATTAGGTTTATTATTTGTCTAATTACTAGCTTGTTAAAAAAATAAAATAGCAAAAATAGTCGAGGAATACAGTTTTGCAAATATAAATCAATTATGTTGTCTACTTTTTATCTTTTGTGTCTTTTACACTTGACACAATAAAAATCTAATCTTATCTTAATTTTTTCAAGTAAGAATTCAAGTTTATTCTTTAATAAATCAATTAAAGCAAATTATGCATAGATTTGCATATTATGTACATAAACTCGTATAGTATATCTTTTGTTTATATGTAAATCTTTCTTTGCACAAGAAATAAGACAGGACAAACGAGTCCTTAAAAAAATTCTCGAAGTGGGTGAAAAAGGTTCTCTCTCTCTCTGTGATTTATTTCCTTATAGATTAAAGTAAACAAAAATTAAAGTTGGGATTTCATTTAAGTAATCCAAATAAGTTCTTCTTATATAAATATTTTTTATGTCTATTCACCATAATAAACATCCGAAGAAGGTGTCTGGTGCAAAATATAATTCAATTATAAATATAAGTCAATTGTATCTTCTACATTCTTTCTTTTGTATCTTTTACACTTGACACATTTAAAATCTAATCTTAACTTAGTTTTTTAGGGTAAGAATTCAAATTTATCCTTCAATTTCATAAAGTATATCTTTTGTTTATGTGTAAATATTTCTTTGCACATGAAATAAGTGCAAAGTGGTAGAAAAAAATACAAAGAGGAGCCTTCTCTCTCTGATTATAGATTGAAGTATACAAAAATTAAAGTTGGGATTTAATTTAAGTAATAATAAACATCCGAGAAAGGTGTCTGATGTAAAATATAATTCAATTGTGTCATCTCCATTATTTCGTTTGTATCTTTTACACTTGACACAATTAAAATCAAATCTTATTTTAATATATTAAAGTAAGAATTCTGGTTTATCCTTCAATGAATCAATTCAAGCAAATTATGCAAAAATTTTGCAGGTATATAAACTCATAAAGTATATTTTTTGTCTATGTGTAAATATTTCTTTGCACATGAAAAAAGACAGGACAACAAAGCCCTTAAAAAAATCTCGAAGTGGTTGAAAAAGGTTCAAAGAGGATCTCTCTCCCTCTCTGATTAATTGCGTGAAAAATTTAAGTTGGGGTTTAATTTAAGTAATCTAAATAAGTTCTTCTTATATAAGTATTTTCGATGTTTATTAATTATACCATAATAAACATCCGAGGAAGGTGTCTGGTGCAAAATATAATTTAATTGTGTCATTTATATTATTTTTTTTATATCTTTTACACTTGACACATTAAAAATCTAATCTTATCTTAGTTTTTTAAGGTAAGAATTCAAGTTTATTCATCAATAAATCAATTGAAGCAAATTATGCAAAGTTTTGCAAATACATAAAGTATCAATCTTTTATCAATTCTTTGCACATGAAATAAACAGACAGGACAACCGAGCACTTAAACAAATTCTCGAGAATAACAAGTGGTTGAAAGAGAAGCTACCTCTGTCTGATTAATTTTGTTATAGATTTAAGTAAACAAAAATTAAAGTTAAGATTTAACTTAAGTAATCTAAACAAGTTCTTCTTATTTCTATGTCTATTTACCAAAATATACATCCGAGGAAGGTGTCTGATGCAAAATCCTGTATGGTGCTGGTTTAGTATCAAAAACACTATCGAGAGTTCCCACAAACAACGAAGACAAACCTCTTGCTTTTCCATGGCCTTTTCTTTTTTGCAACAAAAAATATATAGAACTCTTTTCTGTAATCCTGTTAACAAATAAACCAACTCATAATACATATTCATTTTTTTATTTACAATCTTTGCCCTCACCATAATAAGTTTGTTACAGAAACTTCTTGCGGCCTAACCAACATTATTAATATAAACTAAAATATAAACAAATAAAAATTCAATTATGAATCACATAGTTTCAGATAATTTTTTAAAAATATTTGTCTTTTAAACATGTACGAAGAGATAGAGAGATTTTAAGAAAAGATTAAGATTGTTTTATCAAAATGTCAACAAGTTGACATTAAATATTTGACAGAAGACGAGATAAAGATACAGGGACACCAACTGAGACAACAAAAGACAGCTGATTATGTTAATTTTAAAAAAAGAGGAGAAAAGAATTAATTATTGATAAATAATGTTCAATTGTTATTAACTAAATTGTACTATAGTTGTATATGTATATATAAAAATATAAAATTACAATTTTTATTTAATAAGTATTAGCTTTTTTATTGCAATGTTGGTTAAACTGCAAGTCGTTAACTTGCGATGTTAGAAATAATTCAAAAATGATTCAAAATTTATTAATATTTGAAAAAATATTATTGACTTCCCATAGGGTAAGTTATAGTAATGGCAAAAAAATCGAAAATGAAAATTTTTATATATCTTTACGTTTTAGAGGTTTCCGAACATTTTGACATACCTTAGAAAAACTGAATGTATGTGTGTGTGTGCGGATACAAATTTTCGTCGACGATTTCGGGAACACGGATCAACCGATTTGAATAATTCAAAAAACATTCAATTGCTGTTGAGGGGGAGAAGTGCTGATTAGTTTTTGGCATAGGCAGGTCTAGCCGTTTCGAAGATACGGAATAAAAAGTGCCACAAGCGGTAACTCAGTTTTTAAGAGAACGGAGTGTCCGATTTTAATAATTCTAAAAACATTTTATTTGTATTGACAAGATGAAGAACTGATTATATTTTCACAAAGGCAGGTCGAGCGGTTTCGGAGATCTAGTGAAAAAAGTAAAAAAAGCCATTTGGCGGTCAAAAATGATCATTAGACATATGCACATCAAATTATTAGATATTTTATAGAGATTTTAACAATAAGTATAAATTTTGTTTGCATTCCTATCGGTTCAAAATTTCCAAAATATGTCAAAATAAAGAAAAAAAGTATTTTTCAAAAAAGTAATTTTTTGTCAAATTCCTAGTTTGTCAAAAATCTAATTTTTTGAAATATTAATCGTTTTTGAAAAAATAATAATATTTGGTATGGAAAGTTCCAGCAATTTGCCTTAAGGCACGATGCCTTAATTGCCTTAAGACAGAATTCCACTTACAGCTAGTTTAATTTTAATTAATAAATAACATATAACTTTAGTAATATATCCAATTTTAATAATAACTTTGTTCTACACGTACTTTTATATAATTTTCATTAATATTATAAATAACTAGTGGTGTATGACTTTCTGTCTTGAAGCAAATTGCTGGAACTTCCCGTACCGAATTAAAACTTAGAAAATCCGCATTATTTTCGGTATTGAAAAATATTTTTCTTTTGAAAATTGAAATAAAAAAAATATCTTTTTCTTTTCCCAAAAACAATTGTTTCGTCAACACAAGCAGAAAGTTTTTTGAATCATTCAAATCAGATGCTTATATCTCTTACAAACTGCCAATTTTTGCACTTTTAGCTCCGTATTTCCAAAATGTCTTGACCTGCCTTTGTCAAAAACTAATCACCACTTTACATCATTACAAATTGAATGTATTTTGGATCATTCAAATCGGATGCCCCGTACTATCAAAAACTCGAAACGTGGACGAAAAAAATTGTATCATATATACATACATATACGCAGACAACCTTTTTTTAAGGTATGCCAAAATGTATAGAAAGTTTTGAAACGTGAAGATATGCAAAAAAATCAGTTTTGATTTTTGGACAATTACAATAACATACCCTACGGAAATATATTATTATTATTCACAATCATTATTTTCATCTACTGAGTGTAAATAGTCTTGCAATTTTCAAAAAGAAGAAAAGCAAAAGGCAATAATTAAAAGAGAATGTATGACTTCAGAATGATAGTTATAGAATTCTATATCCTCCCCCTATGAAGTAATGTCTAATGGCAGTTTCCGTGGGGACTAGAGGCGGAAGATAAACAGAGGTTTTGAGTCCGACATACCCACACAAAAGACCTAGTCTGGGATGCATAAACGCGCATTTCCTTTGCAAAACAAAAAAAAATCTGAGTATAGTAAGCGTTATCTTATAAAATGCAGATGGATTTTTTGAATAAAACAGTAAATTATTTTTATATATATTTATTTTATAATAAGACTAAATCCTTATATTTTATATTTAAACGTTCTTTAGCTGTCCTGTTGGATTTCCCAACCATGGGTAGACATCTGGACATTTACCTCCACAGATTCTCATGTAACGGTCCTCCTGGAAAATGATAACAATAATTAATAATAATAAAACTTATAAATTATTTTTTAGACAGGGTTTAATTATAATTACAAATCTTGTAGTTATATTTCAAAAATATTCGACAAATCACTGGCAATGGTCAGATGATTTGTATTTTTTCAACGCCTTCAGTTTCATGTAAAATATTTTACTTGTTGTCCGTTTCAGGACAGTTGTAAAAATTATCAAAATAATAAAAAAAAATACTTCAAAAATCTTGTGAATAAGTTAAATATGTCTCACATTTGACCCAGTTTCATTTGCATAGCTACTAATCCCCCGAAGGTAATTTTAGGTATTTTAGAGGGCAAGTCTTAGTTGCTTGGTAAATTTCTTATGTTTTAACCTTTTCATAAAGTGCCAAAATTACCAGTTTTCTTTGCAATATTAAGTGCTAAATAAAATTTACGAAAGTTTTTATTTTTGATCTTGAATTGTCAGAAAGCTACGTTTATCAACATTGAAACAATTGGCACATCTGCAAAATTTATATAATATGAACACCTCATCCCCCATCTCTAATGGGAGATCCCAGGGGGTGAACCATGAGCATGGGTAGATCGGCCTTCCAAAGTTAGTGGAGGTTGGCCATACATTTGGACACTATTTGGGCGCTCTAAAGGAGCCAAAACAGGATTTTTCAAAATTTGACCAAATCTTTGGATCAATGGACGGGACATCAGAATTTATTTTAAAAATATGGTTTCTTTGGCAAAGTATCTTATTTTGATTCCTAGTATCCGAAATCATATGTGCCTATACGACTTTTTTACTCATACAAATTGACCCGCCCTAATATATATATATATATATATATATATATATATATTTCTTACATTGATGTCTTTCCTGACGACTTTGCATGTCTGTCCAGTGCATCCTAGAGCAGAAGGCTTGTGGCAAGTCTTCGACCATTGGGAGTCTTTCAATTGGCTCAAAGGTACTGGATTTTTGATCCATTCGATAACCTTAGCTTTGTTTGTCTAAAAATACAAACAAATAATTTTTATTTACATGTTACGTTGACGTTACGTAATGATAACAAACAATAAAACTAGAATTTATTCAAATGTGACATACCGGTTTTTGGAAAAGTAATTCTACTTACTAAAATGACGTCGTTTTTGGTTTGGAGGTAATCAATGAATTTAATATAGGCTTCCAAATAAAGAGGGTTTACGTTGAACCAGGCTGCATGAACGTAGAACCCGAAGGGGGCCTTGCTCGTATTGTAGTGCTTCTCGAAGTTCTTGATCATAAAGTTTTTCAATTTATCAGCATCATCGGTTGGACTAAAAAGAATAAAATCATATTAAAAATGTGAACTGTTAAAACAGAACTAGTGGTAATCAGAAAAAACTGGCACATATTTCAACATCTTAAACTCAATCTACTTTTCAAGACCTATTAAATAATATATCACATGTAAGTGTTGCCCATTGGCAAGTTGCCAAATTATATCAAACTATCTCGACCAGTCTAATAGTACTTCTTTTCTCCAAAAACTATCCAATAATCGTCTCCCCTAGGTAAAACAAAACTAGTGGTGAGCAGGAAAAACTGGCACATATTTCAACATCTTGATCTTAATCTACTTTTCAAAACCTATTAAATAATATATCACATGTACGTGTTGCCCATTGGCAAGGTGCCAAAATGCATCAAACTATCTCAAACAGCCTAATATTACTTCCTTTCTCCAAAAACTATCCAATAATCATCTCCCCTAGTTAAAAAAAAATAGTGCTGAGCAGGAAAAACTGGCACATATTTCAACATCTTGATTTTAATCTACTTTTCAAGACCTATTAAATGATATACCACATATGTAAGTGTTGCCCATTGGCAAGTTGCCAAAATGTATCAAATTATATCGACCAGCCTAATGGTACTTCCTTTATCCAAACACCATCCAATAATCATTTTCCCCAAAAATATCAATAATAATATTATCCTTCTAATAGTATTTCCTTTTTTCAAACACCATTTAATAATCCCTTTCCCCAAAAATATCAATAATATTATTATCCTTCTAACAGTACTTCCTTTCTCCAAGCACCATCCAATAATCATTTTCCCCAAAAACATCAATATCATTATCATTTATCTCACTATTTCAAGCAAGAGTCCACCATCGCGCATGGTACACCATCCTCATCCCTCCAGTTCACCATTGGCATCACCCAGACGCCCTTATGGGGTTTATTGGGGCATGGTCCGATCGGGCAATCCTGTGCTGGTTGCAAGTAGTCCAAGGTGTATGGCCAGATTGGAGGGTTGTCCATGTTCTGGGTTGGCCAGGAGCTGTCGTACACCAGACCGGCTTTGGGCATCATCTCGTAGGAGTTGTTGCCGCTCATTTGGAGGAAGGGAAGACGAAGACCTGGGTGAAAAGATAGAAAAGAGTTAATTATTTGGGATGTAACGGGAATGTAACATATTGTTACATTGACTGGAAGACATGCGGACAAAAGTCGTTGGTAAAGTTGTGATGTAACAGAAACGTGACGTATTGCTTGTTGACTAGAAGACACGCAGACGTAACTTGTTGGTAGAGTTAGTCGTTATTGTCTGTAGGTTGCAAGATTTTTTTATGTTTCAATGCATTTTAAAATATAACAAGTTTTTCTGGTGCTTTTGGAAAATGTTGTAGCTTATTTAATTTTGATGTAATTACTTCTCATATCATGTATATTAACCGAAAGTTTTAAAAGTTAAAGTTAAATAAATTTTACCAAAGTCATAGGACCCCTTATTACCTTGAATATCAGTTTTATTAATCTGTGCAAATTTGGCGATGATGTCCTTCTCGCCTTGGAACTCCTTGACCAAATCCTCAACTTTGATGTTCTTCCAGTATTCTGTGCTGGAGATGTGGCTGATGGAGTGCAGGGCGATTTCGTGACCTGCCTTGTACAGTTTGTGTGTCTGAAAAAGTTCAATGGATTTAAAAAATTAGAAAAAGAATGAAGAAATGGAAACAAATTTGAATACTCAATTGAAAACCAAACCAGTGGGGCGCATGGCATCGTGCCTTAAGGCAAATTGCTAAAACTTCCCGTACCAAAAATTATTTTTTTTCAAACGATTAACATTTTTGAAAAAAAATTACTCTGAAAAATTAGATTTTTGAGAAACTATAAATTTTTGACAAAAATTTAGTTTTTTTTTTGAAAAAAAGACTTTTTGAAGAAAAGTGTATTTTGAAATATTGTGGAAATTCTGAACTTTTTTCAAAGTTTTACTGCTTTAACTGAATAGAGACAAAATATTGAAGCGCGTAAGCGCCGCGCCGCCGTCTAACGGATAAGCATTGCTACGGAACCTATAGATATGTAAACAAAATTTATACTTATTGTTACAATCTCTATAAAATATCTGATAATTTGATGTGCATATGTCAAATGATCATTTTTGACCGCCAGGTGGCATTTTTTTTACTTTTTTTACTAGATCTCCGAAACCGCTAGACCTGCCTTCATGAAAATTTGATCAGTTCTTCATCTTGTTAATACAAGTAATATGTTTTTTGAATTATTAAAATCGGACGCTCCGTTCTCTTAAAAACTGAGTTACCGTTTTTGGCACTTTTTGCTCCATATCTTCGGAACGGCTAGACCTGTCTTCGCCAAAAACTAATCAGCACGTCTCCTTATTAATACGAATCAAATGTTTTTTGAATTATTCAAATCGCTTCATCCGTGTTCCCGAAATCGTCGACAAAAATTTGTATCCAAATACACATACACACGCACACACATACACACGCACACACATACACACGCACACACATACACACACACACATATACATCCATTTTTTCTAAGGTATGACAAAATATTCAGAAACCTCTGAAACGTAAAGATATATCAAATTTTTCATTTTCGATTTTTTTGAGATTACTATAACTTGCACTACGGTAAGTTAATAAGATATATATTTATTTAATGTTGTGAATGGCCAAATTTGGTTACAGTGCCAATAATATATTATTAGCTTATATATTATAATGATACAAAATTATATTATTAGTTGCCATGGTTTATAAATAATACAACTACATATTATATATTAAAAAAAATAAATTTAATTATAGATTTCGATTAATCAACTTATTTATATAATAATTTTCGGCGCATTTGAAGTAATCATACGATATCATTACAAAATTAACACAGATAAATCTTATTTTTGTCACAAGATTATGACATGAGATACGATTTGTAAATGAATCGCGTAATTTGTATTTGAAAACCCATTCTTAGTAATAAAAAAATCCCGCATGTTCTTTTTATCTTATCAGGAAATCAAATTGGATTGAGTTTATTTGATAATTTATTTGGAATTTTTGTGCAATTAAATAATAATTAAACTGACTCATGACATGAGAAAGTTGTTTCTAATTAAACAACTATTTGCCCTAAAATTATCCCTTATCCTGGATATTTTACATCCCTTACCAGTTCGTAGTCGCAGTACTCGTGGGAGATGAAGAAAGTGCCAGCAACTGGGCAACCGTTCAACTTATTGACCCTCTTGGCGAAAATCTGGTCGTAGTAAACAATGTTTTGAACGTTGACGGCATCATCAAAAGTGAACATCACGAATTGAGGAGTCTCCGCCTTGCTGAGACCATTTGGAGCCTCCTTGGAGAGACATCTGCAGTCGGGCGCTTTGCAGTTGTCTTTGGAGCAGCTTTCGGCTCTCGTGCTAAAGGATAAGAAAATACTTGTTAAATCAGGAATAATGAGATTTTTGAAGCTGTTATGCCATTTATATAATAATAATATATTTTATTAGGAACTTATCCTAGACAAAAAATATCGGAGAGAAACGAAGATACCCGAAGAAACACGCTTGTTGGACCAAAAACTCTCTATTGGCAACCAGCGGCGATACAAGAAGCTCAATCAATAAAGTATCATATTATACTTATTTTTTATACATATGAATACATATTATATTTAAAAAGAGTATAAATTTAGAAAAATCGCGAGTGCTTGCCATGTTGGCCGAACCTAACACGACGCTTTCTCATACATTTTTACTTAGGCTTGGGTATGCATGGTGAGCGTTACTTCAATATTTTTTATTTTTTATTTTTATAACTAGTTGTATGTGATATTTTGCCTCAAGGCAAGTTGCATGAACATTCCTAAATGTATAAATAATCGACTTAATCAAAATTTGGATTTGGCTGTTTGGATCAGATTTAAAACTGTTTTTAACTTCCCGCAGGGTGAGTTATAGTATTAGCAAAAAAACGAAAATAAATTTTTTTATGTATCTTTACGTTTCAGAGGTTTCTGAATATTTTGGCATACCTTAGAAAATATGGATATATGGATATATGTGTGTGTTTATGTGTGTGCGGATACAAATTTTCGTCGACGATTTTAAGAACACGGATGAAGCGATTTGAATAATTCAAAAAACATTCGATTCGTATTGATAGGGTGACGTGTTGATTGGTTTTTGGCAAAAGCAGGTGTAGCCGTTCCGAAGATATGAAGCAAAAAGTGACAAAAACTGTAAATTACTGTAAAAACTGTAAGTTAACTTAGTTTTTAAGAGAACGGAGCGTCTGATTTGAATAATTCAAATTACTTGTATTAACAAGATGAAAAACTGATCAAATTTTCATGAAGGCAGGTCTAGCGGTTTCGGAGATCTAGCAAAAAAAAATAAAAAAAAGCCATCTGGCGGTCAAAAATGATCATTAGACATATGCACATCAAATTATCAGATATTTTATCGAGATTTTAACAATAAGTATAAATTTTGTTTATATTTCTATGGGTTCGGTACCAATGCTTACCCGTTAGACGACGGCGCGGCGCTTACGCGCTTCGATATTTTGTCTCTATGCAGTTAAAGCAGTATGATTGCTTTGAAAAAAAGTCCAGAATTTCCAAAATATTTCAAAATACTCTTTTCTTCAAAAAGTCTTTTTTTTAAAAAAAGTAAATTTTTGTCAAAAAATTATAGTTTCTCAAAAATCTAATTTTTCAGAGTAAATTTTTTTCAAAAATGTTAATCTTTTAGAAAAATAATAATTTTTGGTACGGAAAGTTCCAGCAATTTGCTTTAAGGCACGATGCCATGCGCCCCACTAGTTTTTTTTTTTGAAAATTCATAAAAAACAAATCATACCGATTTCCAATTAATAGAGTATGTACTAAGGTCTAATTATTCCAATCTTTGATGAATTTTCATTATTAACCCTTTCTTCTCGGATGGCGCTGCTCCGGCGCTAAAATACATATAAATCTTGCAATGCGCGAGTGGAAAGGGTTAAATTACTCTAATTATAACAATAATAATTCTATTATCCTTTACCTTGGTTTTCCCGCAGCAGAGGCAACGAGGGCCCCCACAAACAAAATAGCCGCCAATTTCAAATTCATGTTGATATTTTTTCACAAAAACACAAACCGAATCTCCAAATCTGCAAAAGAATTCACTTTATATACCAAAAAGATAAAAATATTTCTGATAACATTCAATTAGTGGACTGATAAAAAATATTCAGGCGCATGTATTATCGGAATGATAATTAAAAATCGATAATTATTGAGCAATGGATCTATAAATGGATTGATAAAGATCGCAGATTGGGTTTTGAAGGAAATAAATAAAAATAAGGAGGAAATAAATACAAATGAGGATTAATGAGCACCTGGCAGAAATGGATTCTACTGGGGAACCACCTGTAATAAGGAAAAATCATCTTGCCGATGTAATATTCAAAAATAAAACTCTACGACAAGCAAATCTTGAAAGAAAAAAGGATTCTGCTGATATAATATTAGTATAAATATTTTTATTTAACTTTACTCATATTTAGTTACTTAAGTATTATACTTTGAAGTTACACCATACTTATAATTATATTATACTTACTATATTAAATTTTTTCTGTAATTATTTTTTATTTCTCGATACATCAATCAATAACTCTTTAACATCTGAAATAGTATAAAAAGTTTATAGCATTTGTTGTGTAATAAATATTATATAAAAAATTAGAGTTACATACCTGTGTACAAATACAACTTGTAATCTTATCAATAAAAATTGACAAAAACGCCATTTAGATAATAAATCAAATCTATAATTGTATTAATTATCATTAATTACGAATAGTTTGTAGATTCTAGATTGGATTTTACATAATTAGAAATATTTCCACAATTTTTCTGGTACATTATGACAAGTACATTTTTGAAGTAAAACTTTTTTAGGCGCGACTAAGGTCTTAATCCGTATGTTTGTCTAGGGCCCGAACTGTTCGTCATTCGCTGTTGATGAGATCATTTCTATACGGGTCGATTGTGATTAGTCGTCGTGTATGTGAATAGAAATCTTGACGTTTATTGTCAACCAGTCGTACCAACATTGAAATTATAATTATATTATTTAAAAATTTAAAAAAAAACCTTGATAGCATACTCTTCTTTTATATATGTTTGATAGTTTTTAGACAATTATTATTTTAATTGGACTTATAATTACAAAATTTAAAAAAAGTATTAAAAATTTAAAAAAAACCTTGATAGCATACTCTTCTTTTATATATGTTTGATAGTTTTTAGACAATTATTATTTTAATTGGACTTATAATTACAAAATTTAAAAAAAGTATTAAAAAGCTTCTGTACTTAATTTTTTTCCGATTTTTTTTTTTTGTATATCGAAAATAATACAGATTTTAATTGTAATTCTGATTTAAGTTCTAATATACTTTAAACAAATATTTTCAACAAATGTTACAGTATTTATTTATAATAATCTATTTGAAAACATTTAATATTACTCGAACATTTCGTTACGATACGAGAAGTTCCAGCAATTTGCCTTAAGGCACGCCATACACACCACTAGTTTTAATTGGACTTAAAATTATGAAATTAAAAAAAAAGAAATTAAAAAGCTTCTCTGAATATAAAATTTTTTCCTCATCTAGAAAGTGCTCTGTCAATTTTTTTATATTCAAAAAAATTCCTGTTTTTTTTATTAAATTCTTAAAAAAAACTTGCTGTTTTCAGAAACAGTTAGTTGAATTCTAATTCTAATCTAATTACCAAAAATTAATATAACCATAAAAACGGTCTGAATAACCTGAGGAAAAACAACCTGGATATATAAAAAATAACCATGGTTATTTTTATTATTAAACTAAAATAACCATGGTTATTTTTTATATATCCAGGTTGTTTGTTATGTATCCAGGTTACTGCAGTAATTTTATTCTTGTTCCTCTTCTTGGTTATTAAAGACAGGTTTACTAAAAAGCTTGTTTATTTAAAGTAATTTTAGATTTATTAAGAATATTTCCTGGTTTTTTAAAATATTTTCTGAATATAAAATTATTATTATATAAAGAGGAAATTTCTGTCCATCAAGTATTAAAATGCTATCTTAATTATAAAAAGGTTTTCCTGGTTATAAAAAACATTACATTACCTGGTTTTTAAGCCTTTTCTTTACTAAAAAAAAAAAAAAATTGGCTATAAAAAGATTCCTGTTTATAAAAAATATTTCCTGATTATAATTAAATCTAATTACCAAAAGTCCTTTTTGATTATTAGAAGCTTTTCCTGGTCAATAACAAAATGCTATATGATAAAAATGTCTTCCTGGCTATAAAATCCTTTTGCAATGAAAATACTTTAACGGTAAAAAGTCTTTTCAAATTTATATAACAGACTATAGAACACAGTTACAGTTTATAATACAGTCCTGAAATTAAAGGATCTTTTGAGGTAATAAAAAGAACTTCGTGATTATTAGAAAATGCTATTGTTGAAACAAAAGAAAGAAAAAGAACTGGATGAGTAATCCAGTATTCGTTCCTGGTTATAAAAAAGATTTCCTAATTACAGGTTTTTTATGATTATTAAATTGCTATTTTGATTTTTTGAAAACTTCCTTGGTCAACAAAGTTTTTGGTTATTAGATCTTCCTGGTCAATAAAACGCCATGTTATAAAAATATTTCCTGGTTATAAAAGTCTTCTGTTTTTGAAAATGTTTTACCAGTTATTAGAAGGATTTTTTGATTATTGACATTTTTTCTTTGTTATTTACATATCTTGTCATAAAAAAATATTCCTGAAAAAAGATTTTTTTATGCGTAAAACTTTCACAACCTGCAATAAAAAAATTGAATTTAAATAAAATTTTAGTTGTAAAAAAGTGGTTCCTTTTGTACTTTGTAACTTGAATAAAAAATCCTATAAACCTATTTTTTATTTGTTATTGATTAATGAAAGACCAGATTTTTATGTACAAAATTCATGTTGTATTTAAGGCAGTAATACTATGTGCTATCACAAAGTGTAACATTATATCATTTTTTTAAAATCGTTTTCTCAGTTATTTCATTCGATTAAATTTAAAATTAAATACACATCTACAGAAATACAAATATTTAAATTTAAATATTTAGGTACGAGATATTTACATAGTGCTAACTAATTAAGGAATTACAAAACCTAAATCATTGGATAGTAAAAAATAAATTATCCAAAAAACTTACCAACAAAGTACTAAAATCAGTTGCAAGTAAAATATCCATATTTGGTTTTAACTATAACTTTAACACTATAACTTCCTTCTCAACAAACAAAAAAACCCTGAACTCTTTGGTCACATCGACAACAATTAAATAATCGATTATTTATATTTATATATTAATTCATTACTTCCATAATTGAATTTTCTATCTATCGTTCATAACATTTGCCACTTGTCTCATGTTCGTGTTGAAGTCTTTCTGACAGTTCGATAAATGTTCATCAAAAGGGGCCTTCAGTTTCAGCAGATCAGGTTGACTCGAACAGTCTTTAATGTTGAGCAGGGTTCGGAAGAAATCTGTCCAAATATGTTTCTGGAAATACCTAGGGAGATAAGAGTAATATTAGCACCAATTTCAAATATATAAACACAATAATTAGCATAAATGTTTACATTATTTTTCCTAAAGTAAAATGCCTTTTACACCTAGTTCATTATCATCTTACCTCGGCAATGTAGTGTCGATAAACCTATCGCCACATTTTGCAGAGTCGTTTCTTAATTTCATATATTTTCCGAATAGGCAAACGTGTACTGTACCAGCCAGACAGAATAAATCTGTCTGGTACGTCCAGGGTCTTCCCGTTTTCATTTCGCTACATGTAAAACCATCGGTGGTAATAACCTGAAAAGAAAAAGAATAGTTAAAATTGTAATAGACAGATTTATTTTGTGTTTTTATTGAAGAGAAATTTCTGATGCAACTTCCAACCAGGGGAAAGGACATAAATAATAACTAAGTGTAAACTTAATGAACAAAGTGAAAAGTTAGTCCACCTATTGTAGCAGATGGTGCAAGGACTACCTATTGCAGCAGGTGGTCTCTACAAACTATATTTTGCATCAGATAGTCTTCAAAAACTACTTATTACAGTAGCAGATAGTTTCCAGAAACAACTCATTGTAGCAGCAGATTGTCTCCAAAAACTACATATTGCAGCAGCAAATAATCCCCAAAAACTACACATTGCAGCAGCAGATAATCTCCAAAAGATACACATTGCAGCAGCAACATATAGTCTCCAAAAAGTACATATTTCAGCAGCAGATAGTCTCCAAAAACTACATATTGCAGCAGCAAATAGTCTGCAAAAACTACATATTGCAGCAGCAGATAGTCTCCAAAAACTACACATTGCAGCAGCAGATAGTCTCCAAAAACTACACATTGCAGCAGCAGATAGTCTCCAAAAACTACACATTGCAGCAGCAGATAGTCTCCAAAAACTACTCAAATTCTACTTGTTTAGAAGCAGATAGTCTTCAAAAACTAACTATTGCATCATATAGCCTACAAAAACCTAGCTGCAGCAGCAAATGGTCTCCACAAACTATCTGTTGCAGCAGTAGATAATTCTCAAAAATACCAAATGCATCATTTAACCTCCAAGAACTACATATTACAACAGATAGTCAACAAAAACCACCTAGCAGCAGCAGCAAATAGCCTCTAAAAACTACCTATTACATCAGTAGCCTACAAAACCATCTAGCAGCAACAGATTATCTGCACAAACTACCTATTGCAGCAGTAGATAATTCTCAAAAACACCAATTGCATCAGATAGTATCCAAAAACTACCTATTGCATCAGTAGCCTACAAAAACCACCAAGCAGCAGCAGATAATCTCTACAAACTACCTATCACAGCAGTGGATAATTACCAAAAATACCAATTGCATCAGATTGGTCTCCAAGAACTACATATTGCATCAGATAGTCTGCAAAAACCATCTATCAGCAGCAGCAGATAGTATCCAAAAACTACCTATTGCATCAGTAGTCTACAAAAACCATCTAGCAGCAGCAGAGAGTCTCCACAAGCTACCTACTGCAGCAGTAGGTAATTCCCAAAATACCAATTGCATCAGATAGCCTCCAATAACTACCTATTGCATCAGATAGTCTACAAAACCATCTAGAAGAAGCAGCAGATAGTCTTTGAAAACTACCTATTGCATCAGATAGTGTACAAAAACAATCCAGCAGTGGCTGATAGTCTAGTAAAACCATATATTGCATCAGATAGTCTACAAAAACAATCTAGCAGCAACAGCAGACAGTTTACGACAACTACCTATTGCATCAGTAGCCTACAAAAACCATGTAGCAGCAGCAGATAGTCTCCAAAAACTACCTGTTGCAGCAACAGAGAATTCACAAAATTACCAATTGCATCAGATAGTCTACAAAAATAATCTAGCAGCGGCTGATAGTCTGCTAAATCCATTAATTGCATCAGATAGTCTACAAAAACTAACTAGCAAGCAGCAGACAGTCTCCAAAAACCAACTAGCAGAGAAGCAGATAGTCTCCAAAAACTACCCATTGCATCAGTAGTCTACAAAAACTACTATCTAGCAGCAGCAGATAGTCTCCAAAAACTACCTGTTGCAGCAGCAGAGAATCCACAAAATTACCAATTGCATCAGATAGTCTCCAAAAACTACATATTGCATCAGATAGTCTACAAAAATGATCTAGCAGCCGTTGATAGTCTGCTAAAATCATTTATTGCATCAGATTGTCTACAAAAACCAACTAGCAGAGCAGCAGATAGTCTCCAAAAACTACCTATTGCATCAGATAGTCTACAAAAACCATCTAGCAGCAGCAAATAGTCTCCACAAACTACCTATTGCAACAAAAGATAATCCCCAAAAATCACCTATTGCATCAGTTACCTATAAAACCATCTAGCAGCAGCATATATTCTCCAAAAACTATAATGCAGATAGTCTCCAAAAACTATATTGCATATAGTTTATAAACTGTTGCATATAAGTTTTTTAGATATCAGTATCTATTTCCATTATAAACTATTTACTCTTACCGTTTTGAATTCCGTGCCTTTAGGAAAAAGGCTCATATCAATAGCACAGCCAAAATCAATAAACTGTAGACATGGAATGTGTGTTGTTTGAGTAGGTACATCCATAACTAAAATATTATCTGGCTTGATGTCTCCATGTATAATATCAGCTTTATGTAAATAGTGCACCAGTGATAGCAGCTGAGAAGCAAAGAACATCACAACCAATTCATTGAGAGGTTTGCAAGTCTTCAGCCTGACTTTATTGGAACAGTTTAGAAGGCTACCATGTTTTCCTAGCTCTGACACCAGAATGCTTGCTGATCGACTGACCAAGGCAAGAGATACGTGCATGTATCCTGGCAACTGGAAGAAAAGAAATAGACAATGATAAAAATTCAGATAACCTTCTTGTTGATAATATTTCAAACTTACCATATCAGTATTAATAATTCTTTTCCTAATCTCTCTACAGATATAATACTCCCAGATCCTTGCAGGCTTTTGATATTTCAATACCACAGTCTCATTTGTTTGTTGATCAAATGCCCTAAACACAAAAAAAAATCAATATAAGTTAGCATAAATATCAATATATATGACCATTTATAATTTACCTATAAATGGATCCAAAGGCTCCTTTCCCCAACTCCTTATCAATTGAGTAGCCCTTAGGCCCCACCCAATAACTAGTAGAGCTCTTAGGTTGTCCCACATTGTTGACAGATATATATTTATCATCATCTCTCTCTGGGAATCCCATCCTGTTTAAAAACGCCTCCAACAATTCCGAGTTGAAAGGATCAATGATGTCTCTGCTCAAATGTTTATCCACGATTGCAGAAGCATAACTCTTATCGTTCTCTCGTTTATGTTCCATGATTTCAAAAGTGTCTGCAGAGCACTCTTCTTCTGCTGAAGACCATTTGTTGCTGTGCTCATCTTGTCGAGCTGATATGTGGAGGGTGTTCTTCATTGATTTTGAGATATTAGGACCAGTCCTGGAAAAAAATATAAGGTAAATATATTTAGATATATGATATTTAAATTATTACATTGTTTTTAGAAAAATCTTAAAACAAACTTAAATGCAAAGATGGTGTCATAATTTTAAGAACAATGCTAGATGTTGGACAAATATGTCAACAAATAACAAATGTCCAACAAACAAATACTTGGACTACAAATTGTAGTGAACATAGATTTATCTATGTATTTATAGAAGTAAAACTTCTGATGCGACATCCGACCAGGTTATGATACATTTTCAACACTCAGGGAAAAGAACATAATTAACGGAGTGTTAATTTAATAAACAAGGTGAAAAGTTAGTCCATCTATTGTAGCAGATGGTCCAAGGACTACCTATTGCAGCTGGTGGTCCCCAAAAACTATATTTTGCATCAGAAGGTGTTTGAAAACTACCTAATACAGTAGTAGATAGTCACAATGTCACAAAGTCTCCAAAAACTACCTATTGCATCAGATAGTCTACAAAAACCACTAGCAGCAGCAGCAGCAGATAATTCCAAAAAATACCAATAGCATCAAAAGTCTCCAAAAATTACCTAGTGCAGTAGCATATAATTCCCAAAAACTACTTATTGAAGAAGATAGTATCCAAAAATTAAGTATTGCATTAGTAAGCCCGACAAAAACCATCTAGCAGCAGCAGATAGTCTCCACAAACAACTGTAATTCTGAAAAGTATCTATTGCATCACATAGTCTACGAAAACCATCTAGCAGCAGCAGAGAGTCTCCAAGAACTACATATTACATCAGATAGTCAACCAAAACCATCTAGCAGCAGCAGCAGCAGATAGTCTCCAAAAACTGCCTATTGCATTAGTAGCCTACAAAAACGATCTATCAGCAGCAGATAGTCCCTACAAACTACCTATTGCAGCAGTAGATAATTCCCAAAAACACCAACTGCATCAGATAGTCTCCAAGAATTACATATTACATCAGATAGTCAACAAAAACCATCTAGCAGCAGCAGCAGATAGACTCCAAAAACTGCCTATTGCGCATCAGTACCCTACAAAAACCATCTTGGAGCAGCAGCAGATAGTCCCCACAAACTACCTATTGCAGTAGTAGATAATTCCCAAAAATGCCAATTGCATCAGGTAGTCTCCAAGAACTACATATTACATCAGATAGTCAACCAAAACCATCTAGCAGCAGCAGCTGCCAATAGTCTCCAAAGACTACCTTTTGCTTTAGTAGCCTACAAAAACCATCTATCAGCAGCAGATAGTCTCCACAAACTACCTATTGGAGCAGAAGATAATTTCCAAAAATACCAATTGCATCAGATAGTCTCCAAGAACTACATATTACATCAGATAGTCAACAAAAACCATCTACTAGCAGCAGCAGATAGGCTCCAAAAACTACTTATTGCATCAGTACCCTACAAAAAACCATCTGTCAGCATCAGATAGTCTCCACAAACTACCTGTTGCAGCAGAAGATAATTTCCAAAAATACCAATTGCATTAGATAGTCTCCAAGAACTACACATTACATCAGATAGTCAACAAAACTATCTAGCAGCAGCAGCAGATAGACTCCAAAAACTACCTTTTCCATCAGTACCCTACAAAAACCATTTAGCAGCTGCAGATAGTCTCCTACCTATTGCAGCAGTAGATAATTCTCAAAAATACTAATTGCATTAAATAGTCTCCAAGAACTACATATTACATCAGATAGTCAACCGAAACCATTTAGCAGCAGCAGCTGCCAATAGTCTCCAAAAACTACCTATTGCTTTAGTAGCCTTCAAAAACCATCTAGCAGCAGCAGATAGCGTGCACACACTACCTATCGCAGCTGTAAATAATTCTCAAAAATATCTACTGCATTGGCTAGTCTCCAAGAACTACATATTACATCAGATAGTCAACAAAAACCATCTACTAGCAGCAGCAGATGGTCTCCAAAAACTACCTATTGCATCAGATAGTCTACAAAAACCATCTAGCAGCAGCAGATAGTCTCCACAAACTACCTATTGCAGAAGTAGATAAATCCCAAAAATACCAATTGCATCAGATAGTATCCAAGAACTACATATTATATCAGATAGTCAATAAAACGATCTAGCAGCAGCAGCAGATAGACTCCAAAAACTACCTATTGCATTAGTAGCCTACAAAAACCATGTAGCAGCAGCAGATAGTCTTCATAAACTACCTATTGCGGCTGTAGATAATTTCCAAAAAAACCAATTACATCAGATAGCCTCCAAGAACTACATATTACATCAGATAGTCAACCAAAACCATCTAGCAGCAACAGCAGAGAGTCTCCAAAAACTACCTATTGCATTAGTAGCCTACAAAAACCACCTAGCAGCAGCAGATAGTCTTCATAAACTACCTATTGCGGCTGTAGATAATTCCCAAAAATACCAATTACATCAGATAGCCTCCAAGAACTACATATTACATCAGATAGTCAACCAAAACCATCTAGCAGCAGCAGCAGAGAGTCTCCAAGAACTACCTATTGCATTAGTAGCCTACAAAAACCATCTAGCAGCAGCAGATAGTTTCCAAAAATTACCTATTGCATTAGTAGCCTACAAAAACCATCTAGCAGCAGCAGCAGATAGTTTCCAAAAGCTACCTATTGCAGCAGTAGATAATTCGCAAAAATACCAATTGCATCAGATAGTCTCCAAAAACTACATATTACATCAGATAGTCAACAAAAACCATCTACTAGAAGCAGCAGATAGTCTCCAAAAACTACCTATTGCATTAGTAGCCTACAAAAACCATCTAGCAGCAGCAAATAGTTTCCAAAAATTACCTATTGCATTAGTAGCCTACAAAAACCATCTAGCAGCAGCAGGTAGTCCCCACAAACTACCTATTGTAGCAGTAGATAATTCCCAAAAATACCAATTGCATCAGATAGTGTCCAAAAACTACATATTACATCAGATAGTCTACAAAAACCATCTAGCAGCAGCAGATAGTCTTAATACTTGCACTCATATACAAAGATAGTGACAATTTTAAGAACAATGTTAGATGTTATATACAAATATGTGTACGCAGACTACAAATACTAAAATTGATAAGTCATTGTACAAAATTTAAAGCTATTGTTAAGTTAAATAAAAAAAATTAAAACTTTCGGTAATCCATATAATCAATTTCTTAAACTTTTGTTCAAAAACTCATCAATTTTAGTATTTGTAGTGATAAGTACAACAATACAACAAAATTGTATAACGAACAATGTGTCCTTTAATATTTCTAGAACTAGAACTAATGGTCTTATTAAAATCTACACAGCAGTTTTATGAAATCATTAATATTTTGAAAATTCCGCAAAATATTATCGATTTTAGTATTTGCGGTGACTGCAGGCATATATAACATATCCAAATTACAAACGTTGCGTCCTTAAAAATTTCTAGAACCAACATTAAAAGTCTTATCAAAATCTATGCATCAACTATGTTTTTTATGAAATCATGAATATTTCAAAAATTCCACAAAAGAACATCAATTTTTGCAAGAGACTTACATTGTGTTAGAGAATGATAAAGGGCATTTCCTCACTGCTTCATGCATCCTGATACCTTGTGGAGTACTTGGTAAAGAGTCACATTTAACAGGAGTACCCATTAGGGAGTTCTCGTCAGCTCTTGAGTCTTCTGGTGAATTCATTATTGAAGCCATAGAGTCATCAGCTTTCTGAACATGAAAGAAAATTTGGTACATTATAAAATAGAGTAAACTATAATCAATTAATAAAGTAAAATTTTTAATATTTATTTTATTTTTATTAATTTGCAATAACTAATTTTCTAAGGTAAAAATTGTCCTTAAGTCACCATTCTGTATGTACATTTAATAAATAGATATATTTCTCAGTGGGTGTACTAAAAGTATAACTAAAAAAAGTGTGCGCTTATCATGTTGTCCCAACCTAACATGATGCTTTTTCATAACATACTCGACCTATATTTGGTACTGTACATTTACCTTTTTAACTTCCCGTAGGGTAAGTTATAGTAATCGCAAAAAAATCGAAAATGAAAATTTTTATATATCTTTACGTTTCAGAGGTTTCTGAATATTTTGGCTTACCTTAGAAAAAATGGATGTATGTATGTATGTGTGTGTGTGTGCGTGTATGTATGTGTGTGCGGATACAAATTTTCGTCGACGATTTCGGGAACACGGATGAAGCGATTAGAATAATTCAGAAAAAACATTCGATTCGTATTGATAAGGAGACGTGCTGATTAGTTTTTGGCGAAGGCAGGTCTAGCCGTTCCGAAGATATGGGGCAAAAAGTGCCAAAAACGGTACCTCAGTTTTTAGGAGAACGGAGCGTTCGATTTTAATAATTCAAAAAACATTTTACTTGAATTGACAAGATGAAGAATTGATCAATTTTTCATAAGGGCAGGTCTAGCGGTTTCGGAGATCTAACGAAAAAAGTAAAAAAAAAAATGCCATTTGATGGTCAAAAATGATCATTAGACATATGCACATCAAATTATTAGATATTTTATAGTGATTTTAACAATAAGTATGAATTTTGTTTATATTCCTATGGGTTCCGTACCAATGTTTATCCGTTAGACAGCGACGCGGCGCTTACGCGCTTTATTTTTTGTCTCTATGCAGTTAAAGCAGTACGATTGCTTTAAAAAAAAGTTCAGATCTTTCAAAATATGTCAAAATAAAGATAACATTTTTTTTTTCAAAAAAAAAATTTAAATTTTTTTTTTCTTAATTTTTTTTTTCAAAAAAAAGTAATTTTTCGTCCAATTTACAGTTTCTCAAAAATCTTATTTGTTCAAAGTAATTTTTTTTCAAAAATGTTAATCGTTTTTAAAAAAATAATAATTTTTGGTATGGGAAGTTCCAGCAATTTGCCTTAAGACACGATGCCTTAATTGCCTTAAGACAAAATTCCACTTACAGCTAGTCTCTACCTATATTTGGGGCCTTACCTTTACCTATATTTGGTAAAGGTAAAGGTAAAGCTCCAAAAATATATAAAAAAGCATCATGGTAGGTTAGGACAACATGATAAGCATACACTTTTTTTAGAATTGTTTGTAGTTTTCGATATTTTTTGTTTAAAATCTTATATCAAGCTCTAAGACATGTAAAAAATAAAATACTAAAAAGCATATATCAAATCACAAAATTCTATTACCTGTGTCCTTGGTACACTAAACGACTTCTTTTTCTCGTTCATGTCATCATCTTCCACATGTCCACTCAAAAACCCGAAACTCTTTTGCTTCACCTCGTCGTTCCTGCTGCTATTCATAAACTTCTTATTGGGTGAAGCTTCAAAACTCCTATTATTCTGCTTTGATGAATTCATCAGCCAGTTTCTCAGTTCGTCTTCACCTTTGAACTTGTTTAAGGCAGTCTTGATGATGTAGGGCTGCTGTGAGAGATCCTTCGATTTCGGGGTGGTAGAATTTTTCGGTTTTGACATAACTAGGACTTTGGAGGAGTCATTGTGCAGCAGCTCGATATTGGTGGAATCAATTGAAGGGGTTTGTTGGTGTTTGAGAGAGTCGAGGTTTGAAGATTTTTTGCAATCAAGTGTTGAAACATAGCTTGACCTAAAAGTATGAAAAAGACCATAGTTTACATACTTATCGTATATTTAAATATTTTTATTATATATCTTACATTTGTTCAGTATTTTCTTCAATCAATGAAAGATTAGGTGTCTTTTTAACTGGTTGTGTGGCCTCCATTTCAACATTGGCAGCATTCATCTGTATTCTGTGTACAATACCTGAAAACAATCAATAATTTAAATTAATAATTTTGATAAAAAACAAAGCTAATTCACAGATTATAAATTTTATTAATAAATTTGTTAAATGGAAATAAAGGATTTTTATTAACTTCCCGTAGGGTAAGTTATTGTAATGGGCCGAAAATCGGAATTGAAAATTTTAACATTTCTCGACGTTTTGAAGGTTTCTGAACATTTTGGCATACTTAAGAAAAAATGGATGTGTGTGTGTGTGTGTGTGTGTATGTATGTATGGATACAATTTTTCGCCCACGTTTTCGGGCGTACGGGTCAACCGATTTGAATGGTTCAAAAAACATTCGATTCCTATTAATAAGGAGATGTGCTGATTAGTTTTTGGCAAAGGCAGGTCCAGCAGTTACGGAGATAAAGAGCAAAGAGTGCAGAAAATAGAAATTGAGTTTTTGAGAGAACGGAGCATCTGATTTGAATGATCTAAAAAACATTCAATTAGTAATGATTGGAAGAAGTGGTTATTAGTTTTTCGCAAAGGCAGGTCCAGCCATTTCGAAGATCCGGAGCTAAATGTACAAAAAATGGCAGTTTTTAAGAGAACTAAGCGTCCGATTTAATTGATTCAAAGAACTTTCTGCTTGTCTCAACAAAATAATTGATTTTGGAAAAAAAAATTTTTTGTTTCAACTTTTTTTTTAATTTTTTGTATATCGAAAATAATTCAGATTTTATTTTTAATTCTGACTATAGTTCTAATATACTTTAAACAAATAATTTCAACTTTTCAATTCAGTTTATGTAATTCTTATAAATATTAGACGCAGTATATATAATTCTATTCATTTTCCATTTTCTTTGTACTTCATGAAAATTATATCATTTTAAGTGAACATTTTAAATTTTAAGTAAAATTTGACAAATAAAAAATAATAAAGTATTCATAGTCACATTTTAATTAAAATATAATCAGTCTCATTTGTTGAAATTAATTTATTGGGAAATGCTAATGTTAAAATATTTTTTTGAATTATTTGATTATTGTATTATTTAATTATTATATATTAATAATTAATATATAATATATATATATATATAATATATTATTAATTAATTATAATATATATGTTCGAATATGGTTCAATATGGTTCGAAATTCTATTAAAAGATTCAAATCATTGATCAACTTTTATTGATTATTATTGATTATTTTTAATTACTCGAATTTTGAATTGCGGTACGGGAAGTTCCAGCAATTTGCCTCAAGGCACGATGCTCTAATTGCCTTAAGACAGAATTCCACTTACAGCTAGTTAGTTAGTCAGATGTTACGGTTTGTATTTTCACAATTAAATTTGAACTATTCAGTCTATAAAATTCACGGACTGAACCCAAAAAGCCCTTTTTACTAATATATTGGAGTGAAAAAAATAACATTATGCAAATGTCTTCTAATACTTTATAAAAATGTTAAGTTTAGTTAAATAAATAAAAATGTTAAGTTTAATTAAATCTAGCTTAAAATTATTTGATGTATATTGTAATAAAATAAATGGTATAACTTTGAGTGCAGTAAAATGTAAAATGTAGAATATGAATATAATGTTCTTAAAAGCCAATTATAATTGCCTGATAAAGATTTATATAGATTTTCAATATAAATTCAAAAATAGAATTGAAAAGATTCAAAATAAAATACAGTAGAATTATACTACATAAAATAAAATGTAAATAGAAAATAAAGTAAATATCTCTCTAAAAAAACAACTTACTTAAAAATGCTGAAGCAAAAAAAATTAAAGAAAAAAAAAATAGCTTAATTTTGTTAAAAAAAAAAGTAAAAATCGTTTGATGTTGCTTAAAAAAACTTACAACTGCTAACCGAAGCCAACATTGCTTTATACTGTTAAAAAATATAGCTAAATACTGCTAAAAAGAGGAAAAACCGCTAAATATTGCTACAGAAATAATAATTGCTCCTTATTGGTAAAGAAGTAAACATTATAATGTTTATTATATATATATATATATATATATAATTACATTATATATATATAATTTTGCCAAAATGCGAAAAATGATTAATTTTGTCAAAAAAGTAAATATCTCTAAAAAAAACCTACTTAAAATTGCTGAAACAAGAAAAAATTGCTTAATAATGCTTAATAAAAATAAAAATACCTTTGTTAAAGAAAGTAATAATTGCTTGATGTTGCTTAAAAAAAAAATGGTTTAGAACTGGTAAATTGATTTACAAATTTAGAAATTGATAAAAGTAAAAGTAGAGCATTATTTTAAAAACAAGAACTTTACTTAATTTCAATAAAAAGAGGGGGAAAAAAATGCTTAAAAAAATTATAAACTGTTTAAATTTGTCAAAAAAGGGTAAGTATTAATAAAAAAACTGCCAATAAATGCTTAATATTGCTTATAATTGTTTTTTTTTTCATTGAGTAACTGACCTGGTGAGTCTTCTGCTTCTGGAGACATTAAAAGTTTTTCAATACTCTGATTACTCGATAATGCATAGTTCGGCATAGGTGATTGAAGTTTGTTCGAACGGTTTAAGGTCGCTGGAGAATTTCTTTCAGGAACCTAAAGAAAATTTATAAATATATATATATATATATATATATATATATATACATATTTAAAAATACTATTAAATACAATTAAAAATAACAAAGCTTATTTGCATTGTTATTAAATATGCATTAAAAATGATTATACATGAGGTTTGGATTATTTTCTCAAGTAGGAAGTTATACCAGAGTTTAATATTACTGCACATTATGTTAAGCAACATAAAAGTTGCCTTGAAATGTCTTTTACCTTTTTATGTGCAACGATAGCAGCATCAGAAACATTTTGAGCATTTGATCTTGGGGTATTCATGGCAACAGTTTGCATATGTACTTGATGAGCTGTAAATAAAATAAAAACAATTAAAATATTATAATTATTATATTTTCAGTTATATCAATTTGCAATATTTACAATTGTCTGAACAAAATACTTTTTTTTATTTTTGCTGGTCCTAAAAATCATAATCTACAACATTATCTACAAGTTAAAAGTGATGGTATTGAAAATCAGAATCAAGAAAAAAAATAGAAAAAATAGAATAAAAGAATTTATAGAAAAGAAATATAATAAAAAAATGAATAAATAATAAAAATAATATTAAAACAATAATCAATAATAAATAATAATACATGAACAAAATACATGAAATGTAATAAGTGATTTCTACTCAAAGTAAGGCATTTTATAAATAGCATAAAACAATCATTATTTAATGATACGCCTTAGACAACACAAAAATAATTCAAAACTATTTTGTCAAAACAATAGCATATTAAAACACATTATAAACTTCATCCCGACTGTAATCATTTGATTTTTTAACTAACACCTTGAAAATTTAGTCAAAAGACATTTTGCTGAAGATTGTTTCAATCAACTATATGACAAAGTCATAAATAAAAGTAATGACATCTTTTCAAAAAAATGTAAGACAAAATGTTAGTTTTTGGATTGTGTTTCCAAGTTTATTAAGCAATAAAAGTATGTCAAAATATTCTGTACAATTTTATTTCTGTACAATATTTATGTGCTTTTTTTTAAATCCTGTTTAAAAAAAACAACAAGCTTTGATAATATTTTAAAATTTAAAGATTGTTCTATTAATTCAGTTGTGATATATATGTTTATACAGTAATAATATTAATGTTTCTATTACACATTGTAGCATTTATCATGGATGATTGTTATTTTTTTTTTTCAATATTAGGATAAGAAAACTGAAAGTAATTTTTTCAATATTTAATTTCTTAAACACTATAGCTGCAAATTTCAGTCTAAATTTATTTTAATGCCATTGAAATAAAACTAGAACTATAGCCAAAACATTAATTTTAAGATAAATATAATAAAATTAATGTTTTTTATCTGGCAGCATCAAATAATACATATGCCAACATCAATGATACATGATAATTTATTATGATATATAAATATTTACCTGTTGGAAGACTATCATTATGAATTTGCTGCCTATTAGCAACTTGGTGCACATTTCCAGTTTGCATTGAGTTACGAATTGGCGTGCTGGTCTGGGCTCTAAACATGTTTGCATTGAAGAATTGTGTTGATGCAGTGTTTTCAAAATCCTTAAAATTAAAAAATATATAATATAATATAAAAATGCATAATATATATAGATAAAATAATTTTTATCTTTACTAGACACCTGTAGTTAAATTTATGCATTTATTTTTTAATAAAATATGTGTAGAAATAGAAATTTAATATTGTCTGATAGAATATAGAGTTATTTAACATGCAATTAAAGTTTATACAAAATTTCAAAGATTGATGATATTTTTTAACAAATCAAGTACGTAGTTTAATTATTAGTAAACAAAATACATACTCCTGAAGCTGTAGTTTCTGCCGGTTGCCCTTGTTGATGCTGTTGGTAAATTTGTTGAGCAGCTTGATGTTGAGCATAATGTTGGTTGGACCATTGTTGAGTATTGCCTAAATAAAAATTATTAAATAAGCAAATAAATAGTGTATATATATATATAATATATATATATATATATATAAATATCAATTATATTTACTTGGTTGTTCAGCCTGCAGCCGACTGCCCTCTGGCATCTGCCTCACATACGACATATGATCATTGATCACATGATTTACATACTGCTGCTGCTGCTGTTGATGGTGTTGTTGCTGCTGCTGTTGCTGATGATGTTGTTGCTGCTGTTGCTGTTGGTGGTGATGGTGCTGCTGCTGCTGTTGCTGTGCATAAACATTTTCTCCTCCATACTGCGAGTACATGTGCACCTCATTCCCTTGGGCATGCCCATTATACTGCCTGGTGTACATTTGTTCATGATTTGTGTACTGTTGTTGACTATTATTGTACTCAAACTGATTCCCATGATACACATGATCGTTCTGGTTACCAAATTGATTAACAAGTGCCCTTGGTGTCATTTGATGCTGATTCTGGTAATCCATGCCAGTTGATGTTACTGGATATTGATTGGTTCGAGGCGTGTTGTAGTGTTGGTTGAAGCTTGTGGGTGTTGTGGGTTGTGTTTGGACCACGTACTGCACTTGGGGACTCCTTATAGTGTTAGAAGTCATGGAATGGTTACCAGAAGCCATGGGGTGAGCGGAGGGACTTATAGGATGGGTAGTCGGAGTCATGGGATGGGCAGAAGGTGTCATTGGATGGCCAGTGGGCGTCATGGGATGGGCAGAGGATGTCATTGGATGGCCAGTGGGCGTCATGGGATGGGCAGAGGGTGTCATTGGATGAGAAGTAGGCGTCATTGGATGAGCAGAGGGTGTCATTGGATGAGAAGTAGGCGTCATTGGATGAGAAGTAGGCGTCATTGGATGTGCAGAAGGTGCCATTTGATGGGTAGTGGGAGTCACGGGATGGGCAGAAGTTGTAGCACTGTGACTACTCGGTGACACATGTTCACTTGGACCCCTATTATACTGGTGATTTCCATACAAGTTTCCCTGCACATGGTGTGTGTACTGATGTGATGGGGCCAAATATTGCTGGACAGTAATACTAGGTGCTGCTTGTTGTTGGCCCCCATACTGTCGAACTGGTGTACTGACTGTTGGAAATAATTCAAATTAATATTTAAAAAAACACCATTTCAGAACATGTTAATGGTTTCCTAAACTTTCTCAATGTCGCACTGAAATAAAGACTTCAAAACTAAAATGCATTTTGTAATAAATTGTTTAGAAGCAGTTCAATAGTGTAAGAAGAAAATAAGATGTTTTGGAAGATATTTTGTCGAAAGCAGCACTCGAAACTCAGGTAGTAAACATGTCGTTTATAGATATTTCATTTAATAATTTTTATATAATGGCAATATTTCTAATTTTTATATATACTATTTTGTGATGTAACATAAATGGAAAATTACAAGCAATGAAAGTTGAGAAATTAGAAAGATATAGAAATCCAAAAAAATCAAGTTTCAAAAATTGTAAGCTTGAAAAACTTAGAACTAAAGTAAGAAATTTATATAAATAAATTATATAAAATTACAATACTAAGTAAATTCAATATTTAACAACTAAATGAATAATTTAATGAAAAATTGTTAAATTCCTCATTATTTTAGTAATGTAAAGTAAACATTAAGTCAAAGACTAAAAAATATACAACTTGATAAAAAAGAAAGCAAATGTAAAAACTAAAAATAAAAAAAGAATTAGTGAAAAAAATATAATAACTGAAAAAATACAAAAAATAAATAGATAAAACTAAATAAGTAATAATTGAATTCATTTCGAAATAAAAAAAATTAGTTCATTCTTAAAATAAAAATTCGTAAAATTAGAAAACATAAGTTTGAAACAAATGGGAAACCTATTTTTATTTGATACAAATGAATCTTAGAATATAATTATATTCTATCATATTTTTTAATAGATGATGTAAGAAACCTGGTTATAAAAAAGTGCAACTGATGCTAAGATCCAGTTTTTCTGTTACATTTAATTCTTTCATTTTAAAAAATATTGAAATGTTCAGATAGTGCAAGGAAGTAAACAGCTCTAAAAAACTGAAATTATGTTCCAAAGTCTGATAATCATGCATAACACATAAAAATCATTCTGTAACAGATTAAAATATGTATTACATCAAAAAACTATAATGCAATAAAATACAAGCAAAACAGTAAAAATGCTTAAGAGAAGTTTTAATAACTAGAATGAATAAAAAAAAAAAATCAACTACAAAAAACACAACAAAGCAACAGTTCGAAATCAATTCGACTCACTCAATTGGTTTTCCTCGATTTGGTCCTGATAAATCATGAACGGTTCGTACTGAACTCGATTATCATTGACTAGAATTTAATTAATATTAATAGCAATATTAATTTATGTCATAAACTAAAAATATTATTGAACTATTATGGGTTTACTTCTCTGGGAATTTGATGGCACAGTTGATAGTCAAAACAAACATCTTTAAATATTAGAGGCCTATGAAAAATGATGTCATTATAAAAATTCATTAATATTTGGAATAATGAGACGCGAGCTTACGATAAACACACTGTGTATCTTCTGTTCTGTAATTTGAAGTGAATAAAATGAAAAAATATTTAACTAGTTGGTATTGGTATTTTGCCTTGAGGCAAGTTACATGAACTTCCCTATATGTGCAAAAAATCGACTTAATCAATGAAAAATAAATTAAATTATGATTGATTAAAAGTATTCTGAGTGGATTTATTACACATCATTAAAAACGAACGATTTCGTTAACTCTGAGTCTTTTCTGAAAGCAAATTTTCAAAATTAAATAATTTTTATAATTAAACCAGTTTCCGTAAGACTTTATCGTTATACCAATTAAATCGTACAATTTTAATTTTAACAAACATAAAAAAAACTATTCATTTTCTCAAACTTTGAGGATTTTTTTAAATTAAACTACTTGTCGTAAGACCGTAATACATCAGTAAGTTCTATAAGAGCATGATATATATCACCAAAAAAAGTTCCATAAAAATCTGCTAATTTTTTTTTTCAACAATTAATTACAACAAAACGTTTCGGTAGATTTTCACCTAAAACTAATCAGTATCATTCCAAACTAATATCTTTCGATGAGTTTTTCATTTTTTAAAATTGATTCGGTAGTATAAGCTTAAATGTGGACGAAATGTTTAACACTTTTTTCCAAATTACAAAAAAATGGCTTGGCAGATCGTCGCACAAAACTGACAAACGATAGTCCTCATTGAAATGGATCAAATGGCTTTTAAATTTCTGAAATCAGTTCAGGCGTTTTTGAGCAAACGTCGATGCTTTCCATCGACAATTTTGACAAATGCCAAAAAAACTATAATAATTTTTGCAAAATTTGAAGAATTATTAAAATTAAACGGCTTGTCGTAGGGCCGTAATATTTTAGTATGATCTATAAGACTATGATATCTACCATCAAAAAAAAATCAAAAATCGTAGATTTTTTTTTTTTTTAACACTTTATTACAAGAAAACGGCCCGGCCGATTTTTACCAAAAACTAATCAGCACGATTCCCAACCAATATCTTTCGAACAGTTTTTGAATTTTTAAAATCGATTCAGAATTGCGGGCTAAAACGCGGACAATTTTTTTTCACTTTTCTGCAATTTACAAAGAAACGTCTGGTCTTCATCGAGATACATATTAAATTTAAAAATTTTTAGGCTTTTAATTTTTTAGGCTTTTAAATTTTTGAAATCGGTGCAGCCATTTTTGAGAAAACGTCGATTTACGTCAAAAAATCTGTTCAAATTACATTCACACACACACATACACTCACATACTTTTTCCAAATTTGGTCCCATTCGATTCAGAATGGCTTGAAACGTCGAGAAAACATAAAATTAGCGAATCGGATTTTTTGATGAAAACTTCAACTTCTCCTTCGAGAAGTTAATACAATTATAATTATGAGTTTGTTTAAAAGACATTAATTGATTAGTTAAATGAAAGAGATAACTTTTTTTGGGAAATAAGTAGTTCAATATTATATAATTCATCATAGGCTCTGCATAGGCCTATAATATTTTAGGATGTACTTTCAACTATATAACCATGAGAAGTTTCATCAAAATCCCAGACGAGTAAACAGATTCTCCTTAATTTTATTAAACTAATCTATCCACTCACCAGTATATGAATACGATCCATTGTTCTCATAATTATTACTGGTGCTCTGCTCCACTTGCTGGTTTTGATATGCTTGAGGAGGCTGCTGTTGCTGATATTGTTGTTGATATTGCTGCTGAGCATTCTGAACCTGCGGCTGATGGTGTTGCTGGATATTTTGAACCTGCTGGTGCTGTTGTTGAGCATTCTGTTGCACTTGCTGCTGGTGCTGAATATTGTGAACCTGCTGTTGGGCATTTTGGATTGGATGAACCTGCTGGGGGTGCAGTTGAGCATTTGGTTGAACTTGTTGCTGCTGCTGAACCTGCTGGTGCTGCAGTTGAGCATTCGGTTGAACTTGTTGCTGCTGTTGAACTTGCTGGTGCTGCAGTTGAGCATTGTGTTGAACTTGTTGCTGCTGTTGAAGTTGTTGCTGTTGCCTTTGTTGTTCTTGCAACTTTTTAGCTTGAAGCTTTTTGAAATATTTTGCTGCATTTATTTCTTCAAAACTATATTCTTTGCCATTGCAGTAAACCTGGAATTGGAGATGATTGTTATAGATAAACTAGTTGAAGGTGGCATTTTGCCTTAAGGCAAGTTGCATGGACTTGTGTAATAATTTATACAATCAAAATTGAGATTTAGAAATTTAGATAAAATTTGCAAATGTTCATTGCCAGAAGTGCGGACTATCTTGATTACAGCTAAATCTTACAGAATTTTTCTTTTATGAATTTGAAAGCAGTTGAGTCCCTAGAAGCAATGAAATTTGAAAATATCCATATTAAGGACCACCCTAATACATACATACATATATATATATATATACTAGCAAACCCGACGAAGTCCGTTTCGCCACCAGATGGTTTCGTGAGAAAGATGAAGAAGTTTTTTGTTTGTTTTAGATTTGAAAAGGAAAAATTTGATTTTATTGCACAACAGTAATGAATTTATTTCGATTACAAAAATGAAGTGTTTTTTAGTTGAACTTCTCTAAGTAAATAAAAGTGAATCCGCAAATTATTCGTTTCATTGAAGTGCTCTTTGGTAAACCACATTTTTTGTTTTTTGGTCTGACGTTAACACAAACAAAGCGGATGATTTTCCAACTTGTGAACAGGCAACGTATAACTGCCCATGTGAAAAACAATGATTTTCTAAATAATCTATTTGAAATTTAACCCGCAAACACTAAGCGATTGGCCTTGCGACTTGTTATTGCGAACGCAAGGCGAACTGGAAACTGCAATCGTTTGATGTCAAACGGAAGACCAGTCGGAATCATTGGTATGTCACCAAATCGCCAGCAATTTTTGATTGAATGGTAAAATTCAGTGCCTGTACATCATTATTCTTTGCGACAAGAATTATGCTCGTTGACTTAACTAAGCATAATTCTGATAATTCTCACTAATGTCATTACTCGAATTTTTAATTACGGTGCGTGAAGTTCCAGCAATTTGCATTAAGGCACGATGCCATGCACAACTAATTTTCTTAGCTATAAACCTTGCGGAGCCCGAGACCTTTCCAACGAATGCAAAATTGTCGAAATCGGTTCGTGCGTTCTAGAGTTATTTCGTCAGGAAGGAAAACCCGATTTATTTTTATATATATAGAAGATATATATATATATATATATATATATATATATACATACATAAGTAAAAAAAAAAATCCTCTAAAAAATATATGCTATCACAGATTACACAAGAATTTACTTAATAACATATGTTAACAATAAATATACAAAACTTTTAATTGAATTGCAGACTATTTAAATGTTAATATTAAGAGCTAAAAGTTTCAGAGATTTTTTTTATATAAATTTGAAGTATTGGAGTCCCTGGGAGCAAGGAAATTCTAAAATATCCATATTAAGTTCATTATCATAGTGAATAACTTGTAACATATAACACATAATGCTAATTTAGGTTTCCATATTTTATATTTTAAATTATAACACACTGATGATGAGACAAACCTAGTCTCGAAACTTTTGTAAAATTATTATTTAATAAATTAGTGCAAAAAAGAGTATTGTTTGTTCATATTTCTAAATTAATATAAATATATATATATATATATATATATATGTATATATATAATGCATTTATTGTATTTCTAATTATCTCACCTCATTTTTTATATACATTGCTTTTTTCGTTGGATCTTCTGGATCAGGAATGCATATAGGAGGCTTCCAATTTGAGTAATCTTCATTGCATACTGGAAATCTATGTTCCGGCATAGGATCTTCATGAACTAAAAATATACAAATAGATTAAAACATTTTACTAATAAATTATTGATTATTTGATTAATTTTAATATTAACAATTAAAAATAAGTGCAAAAACTTAAATAATGAACAAAAAGATTATCCAATTCTATTATATTCTATAAGAACTAAGACAAAGAATAATTAACTTCCTGAAGAAGAAGTTAATGTTTTCATAAAAAAATCCGATTCGCTAATTTTATGTTTCCTCGACGTTTCAAGCCATTCTGAATCGAATGAGAACAAATTTGGAAAAAGTATGTGTGTGAAAAGATTTTTTGCCGTAAATCGACGTATTCTCAAAAACGGCTGGACTGATTTCAAAAATTAAGAAGTCATTCGATGTATCTCGATGAGAACTATCGTTTGTCGCTAGGATCGGCCGAGCCATTTCTTTGTAAACCGCAAATAGGTGAAATTTTTTTCGTGTTTTATAAAAAAACTTCGTTTTAGCCCTCAATTCTGAATCGATTATAAAAATTCAAAAACCGTTCGAACGACATTAGTTGGGAATCGTGCTGATTAGTTTTTGGTAAAGATCGGCCGGGCCGTTTTCTTGTAATAAAGTTTAAAAAAAAAAAAAATCCACGATTTTTATGATTTTTTTTGACGGTAGATACCATAGTCTTCTAGATCATACTAAAATATTACGGCCCTACGACAAGTCGTTTAATTTTGAAAATTCTTCAAAGTTTGCAAAAATTAGAATAGTTTTTTTGGCATTCGTCAAAATTAGACCTTTGATCGACGTTTTCTCAAAAACGTCTGAACCGATTTCAGAAATTTAAAAGCCATTTGATGTATCTCAATGAGTAGTATTGTTTGTCAGTTTTGTGAGACCATCTGCCAAGCCGTTTCTTTGTAATTTGAAAAAAAGGGTTAAACTTTTCGTCCACATTTAAGCACAAACTACCGAATCGATTTTAAAAAATCAAGAACTGTTTGAAAGACATCAGTTGGAAATGATACTGATTAGTTTTAGGTAAAAATCTACCAAACCGTGTTCTTGTAATGAACTGTTTTATGGAACTCTTTTTGGCGATATATATTAAGGTCTTATAGAACTTACTAAAATATTACTATTTATATACTATCATTACTATTATTTGAGCAAATGAGTAGTTTTTTTGATGTCTGTTAGAATTAAAATCAGACAATTTATTTGGTATAACGATAGAGTACTTGGTCTTAATGCACATACTAAACCATTAAAATCCTACAAAAACAAGTTCAATTATAAAAATAATTGATTTGTGAAAATTTGCTTTTAGAAAATACGCCTCTTTTCAATTATGTGTAATAAATCCATTCGGATTACTTTTAATCACTCATAAATTAATTTATTTTTTATTGATTAGGTCGATTACTTATACATATTGGAAAGTTCAAGTAACTCGCCGCAAGGCAAAATACCAATACCAACTAGTTTTATTATTATCATTACTTTGAAAAGGTGTTTGGCTAGATGTGATCGATAATGTTGGATTCAGGCCCTTTGGTTTAGTCCAAGGGCCTGGTTCTATATTATTCTCATCTCGAGCATCTTTTATAATCGTTTTCTGAGTCCCACTTGAACCTGCTGCTTCTCCAATTCCCTGGTGATCACCCTGATCCTGGAAAAAGGAAAGATGTGAAAACAGAGGAAAAATAGAAGTTAAATGTGGCATTTTGCCTTCAGACAAGTTAAAAATAATTAACAAAGGTATTGAGTTTAGTAATTTAGATAAAATTTTCAACTTTTTATTTTGAAAATCAAGTTTTCACTTTTATTCAAAAGTAATCAATGGGTTTTCCAATTGATATCTTTCATATTTACCACACATTGAAGCTCATTTAGAACATAAACTCATGTTAAATTTCACATAAAATGAGAAAAAAACTATTCAACATTTAATTACAATGAAACGCCTCACCAATCATCTCGCAACACTAATCAATGGGAGTGTTTATTGGCTTTTGAATTTTTAAAATAATTGCAGCCATTTGATACACTTACTTAGTATCAAATGATTCAAAATGGCTTGAGAGATCAAAAGATAAAATAGGCAAGTCAAATTAATTAATAAAAGCCAACTTCTCCTTTGGGAAGTAGTTAAAAATAAATTAAATTTAGTGTACCTCATAAACAAAAAGTTTTCTTTGAGTCCCTGCATGTTGCAGTTGTTGTTGTTGATTATTTCTTTCGCTATGCATAACTCCTGGATGTAAATTTCTTAAATTTTCTCCTGTTCTTTGACTAGGAGCCGTTGCAATATTTTTTCTCTTAAAAGACCTTAAGGAAGTTAGAGCTTGCCTTTGCGAAGCTAGCATCTCACTATTTCTTTGAAGTTTTGTTTGTGATGTCATCGCCTGTTGTTCAAAGCACAGCAATTTACTAAAAGAAAAATGAATGCATTAATATATTATATATTATATATATATTCTTGGAGCAAAGAAAAGACTCCACTGAGCACAATCCTGAAAAGAAAAGAAAACTGGATCAGAACAGTTCTGCAGAAAGAGTGCCTCGTCCTAAAATACAGGGAACTGAAAGTGAAATGCAAGATCAAGAAGCATGGAAGCACAAGTTTGGAAAGAAAAAATCATAAAAAGAATAAAAAGTGATTAATGGTTCTGAATTACTAGTAATTAGAATAATAAACAAAAGAGGGGAAGAAAATCATTGATTTTGTAGTGCTCTCATACCATGGACATGCCTTCAGGCAGACTACTATTTATTATTATATATATATTTCTTACGTATATGTCTCCTGTAAGTAATCCAAGGGTTGTGCCCGAGCATTTATTCCAGTTGCATAAACTTTCTTTGCATTGGCCAAATCATTTGCAGCATGAAAATGGTAACCCCAACCGCAGTAAAATTCAGCAACCATTGTTCCTACACCTCTATTGTACAAGGTGCGAAATATTTCTAGAGCATTAGGTTGTGTATCGATCTAAATACAAAAAAAAAAGATTAATAAAAACCTTGCTGATAAATGAATTGGGAAATTTATGCACTTACATATTTTAGCCACAACTTTATAAATCTGTGGTCTTGAAAATAATGCTCATTATGTTCATATAACATTAGGCATTTGACTATTAGCTCATTAATTAATAAATCATTTCCCATTTGGGGTGTCTGTTCGACCCATCCGATGTATTCAAACCAATTGTTCAACGGGTCCGGCCCGCTGTAGGTGTTGATTTTATTTTCAAACTCACTAGAAAAAGAAATAGATGTAAACAAATAATTTAATTAATTATATTATGGTTTACTTACGCCTTTTGTTGTTTTAAGATAGTCTCAACGGCTTCATCATCTTGAGCCTCCAACGCTGGTATTAGGCGTCCCAAATCTCTACCTCCTCGAAGGGGTTTGATGTTTTCTTTACTTTTTTCAATATTCATTTCTAGGGAAATTAAAAACCATGTTATGAATAAAAACCAAACTATGAAGTTAATTGTACATTTATAGATTCTGATTATTGTAATTGGCCAAAATTATTTTACCAAAACCAAAACTTTTTTAGTATTAAATAAGTAACTCTTTTTAAATAAATAATTGATTTTTGAAATATATTTATACTTCCAATTTGACTTGCAAAAGGTTACAATAAATGTCTGACCACAATTATATAAAAAAAAATCATACCAAGAGAATAATAAACAATAATACAAGTTATTGTTTACACTCTTCTGTATCTAAATATAACAAATTAAATAAACCAAAACTTTTACAGCATTCAATAAATAACTTTTTTAATAATAATTGATATAGACATAATCTTTTGAAGTTATACTTCCCATTTGACTTGCAAAAGGTTACAATAAATGTCTGAACGCAATTATATAGAAATATCACACCAGGAGAATAATCATTCAAAATAGACATTTGGATGGAGACCAAGAGTGTTTTGTTTAGTGGATTTACCAGGAGAACAGTACAATCAACAAATTTTGTAAGGAATCAAGTGATGTGCTTACAAAATACACCTAAGTCTGTTTTTACACGGAGATTGGTTCCAGAAGAAGCCGTGTAAAAAAAAAAACGTGTAAAAAAAGACATTGATCTTATACAAAAATGGGTGATTTGTTCCTAATCTCTAAAACCTATTAAAATTGGTGAAAAACAATAATTTTTAAGAACAAGAATTAAATTAGTGCTATTCACATTTGCTTTGACCAGTAAAAATTGTTTGTACGCGCTAAAGGGGAATTCACTTAAATCTTTAAGCTAGTGTTCGCAAATTATCGATACTATCGATGGTTTCAGACTTTTTTCTTTCATAAATACTTTTTTGTGATATGAACATACTTCGCAAAAATTTAATTTGACAAAAAAAATTTAGGTACATAAAATTTCAAATCGTGCTAAATGGAATAAATTCGTGTAAAACAATTAAAAATATTCAATTTTCAAACCGTGTTATATCAAAACCGTGTACAAAAAGACCGTGTAAAAACAGACTTAGATGTAGTCATTTAAATGGAGACCAAGGGTGTTTTGTTAATTTAATTTACCAGGAGAACAGTCATAAGTCAAGTAAAGTGCTTCTAAAATAATCATTTAAATCGAGACGAAGAGTGGTTTGTTTAACAGAACAGTCACATCAACCAACTTTGTAGGAAATCAAATAAAGTGCTTACAAAATAATCATTTAAATAGAGACCAAAAGTGTTTTGTTTACTTGATTCACCGGGAGAACAGTCACATCTACCAATTTTGTAGGATATCAAGTAAAGTGCTTCTAAAATAATCGCTTAAATAGAGACCAAGAGTGTTTTGTTTATTTGATTCACCGGGAGAACAGTCACATCTACCAATTTTGTAGGATGTCAAGTAAAGTGCTTCTAAAATAATCGCTTAAATAGAGACCAAGAGTGTTTTGTTTATTTGATTCACCGGGAGAACAGTCACATCTACCAATTTTGTAGGATGTCAAGTAAAGTGCTTCTAAAATAATCGCTTCAATAGAGACCAAGAGTGTTTTGTTTATTTGATTCACCGAGAGAACAGTCACATCTACCAATTTTGTAGGATGTCAAGTGAAGTGCTTACAAAATAGTCATTTAAATAGAGACCAAGAGTGTTGTATATTGGATTTAACAGGAGATCAGTCACATCAACCAACTTTGTAGAAAGTCAAGTGAAGTGCTTACAAAATAGTCAATTAAATGGAGACCAAGAGTGTTTTGTTACCAGAAGAGACCAGTTTGCAGGAAGTTAAGTAAAGTGAGTCATTTAAATGGAAACCACGAGTGTTTTGTTTATTTGATTCACCAGGAGAACAGTCACATCAATCAATTTTGTAGGAAGTCAAGTAAAGTGCTTCTAAAATAATCATTTAAATAGAGACCAAGAGTGTTTTGTTTATTTGATTCACCGGGAGAACAGTCACATCTACCAATTTTGTAGGATGTCAAGTGAAGTGCTTACAAAATAGTCATTTAAATGGAGACCAAGAGTGTTTTATTTGATTTACCAGGACACAGTCAACATTTAACAGTCACATCAACCAATTTTGTAGAATATCAGGTAAAGTGCTTCTAAAATAATCATTTAAATAGAGACCAAGAATGTTTTGTTTATTTGATTCACCAGGAGAACAGTCGCATCTACCAATTTTGTAGGATGTCAAGTAAAGTGCTTACAAAATAGTCATTTAAATGAAAACCAAGAGTGTTTTGTTTATTTGATTTACCAGGATAACAGTCACATTAACCAATTTTATAGGAAGTCAGGTAAAGTTCTTACAAAATAGTCATTTAAATGGAGACCAAGAGTGTTTTTTTATATGATTTACCAGATGAACAGTCACATCAACCAATTTTGTAAGATGTCAAGTGAAGTGCTTACAAAATAGTCATTTAAATGGAGACCAAGAGTGTTTGGTCTATTTGATTTACCAGGTGAACAGTCATATCAACCAATTTTGTAGAAAGTCAAGTAAAGTGCTTCTAAAATAATCATTTAAATAGAGACCAATAGTGTTTTGTTTATTTGATTCACCAGGAGAACAGTCACATCTACCAACTTTGTAGGAAGTCAAGTGAAGTGCTTACAAAATAGACATTTAAATGGAAACCAAGAGTGTTTAATTTATTTGATTTACCAGGTGAACAGTCACATCAACCAATTTTGTAGAAAGCCAAGTAAAGCGCTTACAAAATAGTCATTTAAATAGAGACCAAGAGTGTTGTTTATCGGATTTACCAGGAGAACAGTCGCATCAACCAATTTTGTAGAAAGTCAAGTAAAGTGCTTACAGAACAGTCATTTAAATGAAGACCAAGAGTGTTTGTTTATTTGATTTACCAGGATAAGAGTCACCTTAACCAATTTTGTAGGAAGTCAAGTGAAGTGCTTACAAAATAGTCATTTAAATGGAAACCAAGAGTGTTTGTTTATTTGATTTACCAGGATAACAGTCACATTAACCAATTTTGTAGGAAGTCAAGTAAAGTGCTTACAAAATAGTCATTTGTAAGCCAAATGCAGGAGATTCTAAGCTTATAAGAGTTCTATGCTCGAAGATGATAAAGGGTAGGAAGGATTCTACAATCGAAGAAGATGCAAGATGCTTTAGTTTAGTCATTGATTTGTTTGATAAATATTATTCAACTAACTAGAAAATTGAACCTGCTAATCATATCAAATTTGGATGTCACTGTAAGATTCCAACATAACAAAACCAGAATGCTGAAATTGCTATCAAAACCAGAAAAATGCCAATGTCAATCCACTATAAATAGAATCAGATGATCAGTATTAGTATTTCAAAGCAAAAACAACAAATTGGATTAAAGTGCACAGCCATAGTAAAAATTATTTCCAAATTCCAAATGCTATTTATATTTCACCAAATTGTGCAAAATTTTGCCATACAGCCACTATACACATCCACAAGACATAATTAGTGAAGAAATTGATTATTATGAGTCTCTGATCCTTACAGAAGATTTTAATGTGAATTTCTCATAACCTCGGCATTAATCTTGCAGACAAATGTGGCTTGGAGATGATAAATGGTAGGAAGTATCCTACAGTCGAAAAAGCTGCAAGATGCTTTAGTTACCATAATCTAACACATTCTCCATTCAAAGATCAAAAATTAAAAGATGCCAGTAATAAAATAAATGTGGTTTTGAGATGATAAATGGTAGGAAGGTTCCTATAATCGAAGAAGTTGCAAGATGCTTTAGTTAGCATAATCTAATGCAATCTCCATTTGAAGATCAAAAATTAAAAAATGCCATTAATTGTGAATTGTTACTAAAGCAACGTTAATAAAGTCAATAAGCATTAAAGAAGCAAAAGTACAGCTTCTTTCGAATGGAGAAATTGATTATTATGAATATCTGATCCTTACAGGAGATTCTAATGTAAATTTCTCATTAGCTCGGCATTAATCTTGAAAACAAAGGTGACTTGGAGATGATTATAGGAAGGATCCTACAATCAAAGAAGATGCAAGATGCTTATCAGTCAACTAACTAACCAGAAAATTGAACCTGCTGTCGTCATATCAAATTTTGATTTCACTGTCAGATTTCAACAAAACGAAATCCAGAATGGTGGAATTGATATCAAAATCAGTAAAATGTCAATGTTAATCCACTAGAAATAGAATTAGATAATCGACAAAAAACTGGATTAATGTGCACAGCTATATACAAACAACAACCATAATAAAAATTGATCCAAAGAAATTTATTCTGAATGTTATTACCAAATTTCTGAAATTGTTTCTGAATATATTACCAAATTGTGCAAAATCTTGCCATACAGCCACTATCCACATCCACAAGACGTAATTAATAAAGAAATTGATTATTAGGAGTCTGATCCTTGCAGGAGATCCTATTGTAAATTTCTCATTACCTCGGCATTAATCTTAAGGACAAATGTGGCTTTGGAGATGATAAATTGTAAGAAGGATCCTACAGTCGAAAAAGATGCAAGATGCTTTAGTTAGCATAATCTAACCCATTCTCATAAAATAAGTCATAAAATAAATGTGGCTTTGAGTTGATAAATGGTAGGAAAGATCCTACAATCGAAAAAGACGCAAGATGCATGCTTTAGTTATCATAATCTAACCCATTCTTCATTCAAAAATTGAAAACTAAAAAGATGCCAGTAATAAAATAAATGTGGCTTTGAATTAATAAATGGTAGGAAGGATCCTACAATCGAGGAAGATGCAAGATGCATACTTTAGTTAGCAAAGGCATTCTTCTATTCAAAAAACAAAAATTAACAGATGTCAGTAAAAAAATAAATGTGGCTTTGAGATGATAAAATGTAGAAAGGATCCTACAATTGAAGAAGATGCAAGATGCATGCTTTAGTTATCATAATGCCATTAATTGTGAATTGTTACTAAAACAATCTTAATAAAGTTAACACAAAAAGTATAACTTTTTTGAGCAGAACAACAGTCCTTCATCATCATCCTCTCTTAGAAATAATGAAGAATGAGGTTATAGAAATGCAGAAATAATGAACAAGCAGAAAATGAAGAAAAATGGAAAAAACTATTCGCTCATTATAATATATATATATATATATATATATATATATATATATATATAATATATAATATTTTACAAATATCAAAAATTAGCTACATTTTTATGATTTAATAATATTTGAAATATTGCTAAAATCCTTCAGCCACTAGCAAAGCTATTAAAAGCTATACGAAGCATCATTTTAATTAAATATTTGTTAATTTGATCATTTTACTACATAGCCCAAAAAGTAGCTCCAAAAATCTTTAAAACACAGCCATAATAGTACCTATGAAAAACAAGGTAATTATTACCACAAAATTAAATATAATGCAGAGTATAATTGAAAATACAATTGAATATATACTCTTGTGGAAACAATATGTACAAGTCACAAAAAAACATGTTACAAGCATTGTGCAAATTTATATGAAAGCCTCACCTTATACATGCACCATTTAAATACCATTGAACAAATTCCAAAGCTTCTTTTATCCCCAAAATATGAAAATCACTACAACAGCACCCGTTGCAAATGTTTCAAAAGGAATCACCTCGAAATGTCAAATCGGAAGACATAACCAAACTCATAAATTAAATTATCCTGAACTTATAAAAACCACAACTGCTTTATATCAATTATTACATTATTTTTAACACCAAAACAAGTGTTTTGTATGAGATTTATCTAAAATAATCAGAAATGTCATAACGACTCATAACCGAGCTGTCGAGACTTTTTTTTACCAAGTAAGAAAATATTAAGATAAAGGGCTCACCTGTTATGTAAAAATTTGGCCGGATTGAATAATAAATAATTTAAAATGCTAACTATTGTATAAAACTATCACAACACTTTCAATTAAAATTTTGGTTTGCCATTAATTCGTGAGACTTGAGATTTGAGAGCCCTTGGTTAAATACATCAGAGCGAGGTACCAACATCGAGGGAAGTAAGTAACAAGAGGTTTTTTTGAAAATTTTGAAAAATTATACGACGAATGACTTTTTTTTCAAATTATTTATTATTTTAGTAATTAATTCTTTCTTGAACTAACATTTTAAACATTTTTATTCACCTTGTGATAATTAATAGTTTGATAATGTTGGTAGCAATGTTGCATGTATGACTTATTATTAACTTCTCGATACTTGAACTGTCAACATTTAAAACTGCCACCAAAAAATTCTTGTAACGAATTTTAATTGTAAATTTATTAGAAAATGATTCAAAATTTAATTTGAAAAGGACTCAATAATTGTTGCTAAATTAATACTAAATATATTACAATCGCAAAACAAAAGATTTTGCTCTTTTATAATTAGTTAGGTAAGTAAACATTTAACAGTTTTTTGAAAATTTTCTAACAATGGGCGTTAGCTACGAAGTATAAACATGAAATACCATTTTAAATGTACCTATAGATAACTTATTAAATATATAAAATAACTAGTTTTGTATGGCATCGTGCCTTTAGGTGAGTTGCTGGAAAGAAATATTTAATGTTTTCAAATAGATTATTATGAGCACTGAAACTTTCGTTATTCGTATTTTATAGACCTATAAATTTTATAGACCAAAAAATTCTTGTAACGAATTTTAATTGTAAATTAATTAGAAAAGGATTCAAAATTCAATTACAAAAGGACTCAATAATTGTTGCTAAATTAATACCAAAGATATAACAATCACAAAACAAAAGATTTTGTTCTTTTATAATCAATTAGGTAATTAGGTAATATTTACTTTTCATGTTTTTTGTTTATAAACAAAACTTTTTCAAGTGGAGTTAACACGAAGGATCTTGCCTAATATTTCCAAGTATTATATAAACTGAATTGCAAAGTTAAAATTATTCAATATGCAAGCTTTTTCGAATTCTAGCTAGAATTAAAATAAAAATCCAAATAATCATCGATATTCAAAAATTTTTTTTAAAGTTTAAGTTTTTACTTAAATTAGCTCAATTTATCAATAAAGCCTTTTGTTAGTTCTTTTATTTTTATATTTACATTGATACACAAACAAATACTTTACAAATATTTCGCACCTTATACAATCAAGGTGTAGGAACAATGGTTTTGCAACTGGATTTATCTTTTCCACTTTACAAATGGTTTAGCAAATGCAAAAATGTTTATGGGCGAGACATAAACACTTGGTCGCAGCCATTAAATATTTAATATTTACATAATATTGTGTAAGCAGAAGTTGTATTTGGCTGTTGGGCATTACGTTGAACTGTTGAAGATTTCATTAAACATCCTGGTGGTGGTGTTGAGCACCATTTTGAAATTGCTGGTGCTGCTGTTGAAGATTTTGTTGGCATCAGTTGTTGTTGCTTTTTTGAAAAATTCCTCTAAGATACATTCTCTGCTATGGTATTGATTCTGGAAATGGATATAGATTATTTTTATATATTAACATAAAATAATAATATATAATATAGTGGGAAAGTTTACCCACTGCAATGCATGGCACATATTAATATTCATTGCAAGTGCAGGTCTAATTTGAAACAGATTTTATGTGTGCCAAATTCAATTGACACTTTTATATATTCAAGGAGTTGATATATTGTGTACTGCTCATTAATACAATAATTTTTTAATTATTGAAGCAAAATCCAAAAGTGAGATTTCAAAAACTCTGAAAAATATAAGCTTTGCCATAGGTTCGTATGGTACACAGTTTCCTTTCAAGAAACTTATATCTTTAGATTTAAATACACATTTTTTTCAACTCCACATTAAAAAATTATAAAATAAAAAAAAATTGATCTAAAAATTTAAAAAATGTGTTAGAGATGAACAACCCTTAATCAAAATAAGTTTTTTTGAAGTTAAATTTAAGTTTCTCCATAAAACCAAACAAACCCTTGAGGCAGTGGCTTCCAACCTTTTTGTATCGGCTCCCCTGCCACCATTTTCATACAAAAAATTGATTTGCCCCCCCCCCTTTTTTTAATGCTCAACTTAATTATAAGACTATAAATTAATATATGAAAATAATCATTAATTCACTTATTACAATATATATCAAACATTTTTATTTATTTTGGGAACAGATGTGGGGGCACCCTCCACAGGTTAGAAACCACGGACTTAAGGGTATAAAAATAGATGTCTGATTCTCAGTTGATTGAAAGTATTAATCAAAATTTAATAAAAACGGTCAAACTGTTGCAGAGTGTTACTACATATTTGTATTTACAAACTAACTTTCTAACAGACTACAAATTAATATATGAAAATAATTAATTCTCTTTTTACAATATATATGAATTTTTATTTATTTTGGAAACAGTTGTGGGGGCACCTTCCACAGATTAGAAACCATGGACTTAAGTGTATGAAAATAGATGTCTGATTCTCAGTTGATTAAAAGGATTAATCAATATTTTATAAAAACGGTAATATTTGTATTTACAAATTAACTTCCCATAGTATAAGTTATTTGTATTTGTATTTAATTAAGTAAATTAACTTCCCATAGTATAAGTTATTTGTATTTGTATAAGGTTTTGTATTTTGGCTTACTTGAACATTTTTTTCAAACGGAATGACTTCCATAAATCTTCAAAATTCAAAAGAATCTTTAACAGCAGCAGGTTTAACAAAATGTCTAACAGCAATTCTAATTACGCATATGCTTCTTGCAAATATTCCAAAGGCTGTGTCTGATTATGTCCATAAAACTTCTGGACATTGGCTAAACTATTTGCAACGTGTAAAAAATGACTCGAATTGAAATAATCAACAACCATTGTTCCAGCATCTTGATTATATAACGTCCGAAATAATTCAAAAGCATTCACATGTGTGTCAATCTAAAATACAGAAAAAAAATAATAAAAGCCTTGATTGTTTATTAAATATTTATTTCACTTACATATTTCCACAAGCCAACTACAGCAAAAGTTGAACTTAATTTTACTAATATATATAACTAACAGTTGTTCTGATGACTTGTTAAATTTTTCCTGGAAATCTTCCTTCCTCAATTTGAGTGTTCCAATTCTCGACCCATTCCATGGGGCAAATGCTTGTGAAAACATTTTTGAAATAATCGCAAGGAGCATAGCCATCACCTCTAACTTTTTTGCAACGATGAAAATCAAGGAAACTCTGGTAACAGTATTTAGTTTGATTCTGGTTTGGGAATCTGGGATCGAAAGGTGCTGTTTTTAAGTCTTCTGGCTTCATTGGTGGAGACATCTTGAGCTGATGATAAAGCAGTCTTTTCAGAACTGGTGAAGAAATTGATCAATGTGGCAGTGTGGTTTTTGCAGGAAATTTTCTTTACCTGAAACATTAACCATGAAGATTACTGTGGAATAAAAAATAAGTAAGAATGATCCAATGAGAACTGATGCAACAAATATTGAAAAAATAGAACTAGTAAAATCTTGAATCTCACTTTACTTATCATAATTGAGCTAATTATAAACGATTATCTCTATAGATAAAAGTTGCTATCAATTTTGATTTTTGAAGTAAAACTTCTTTAGGCGCGACTAGGAAGTAAATCTGTAAAAATGCAACAAAGGCTGTTACACTCGAACTGTTCATCAATCGCTCGCGATGAGATCATTTCTACACGGGTCGATTGTGATTGGTCGTCGTGAAATTTATATTATTTATTTATTTATAGTGAAAAAATAAAACAAATGAAACATTTGTGCCGTGTACTAAACGTAAGTTTATTGAAATAATTTCTATATTATTCGTAGTTTCTATAAATCTTGGAAGTTATTAAAATAGAAAATAGGCACGACAGATATCAAAGCTGTTCAAGGAATGAGACTGTATCACCAGCAAAAAAGTAAAAGAAAACAAGCGATCAATGAACATATGTTAATTTTTATTACATGAAGTAATGGATATAGAAATATAGAAGGACTAGCAAACCCGACGAACTCCGTTTCGCCACCAGATGGTTTCGTGAGAAAGATGAAGAAATTTTTTGTTCGTTTTATATTTGAAAAGGAAAAATTTTATTTTATTATACAACAGTAATAAATTTATTTCAATTACAAAAATGAAGTGTTTTTTAGTTGAACTTCTCTAAGTAAATGAAAGTGAATCCGCAAATTATCCGTTTCATTGAAGTACTCTTTGGTAAACCACAATTTTTGTTTTTTGGTCTGACCTTAACACAAACAAAGCGGATGGTTTTCCAACTTGTGAACAGGCAACGCATAACTGCCCATGTAAAAAACAATGATTTTCTAAATAATCTATTTGAAATTTATTCCGCAAACACTAAGCGATTGGCACTGCGACTTGTTATTGCGAACGCCAGTCGAACTGGAAATTGCAATCGTTTGAAGTCAAATGGAAGACCAGTCGGAATCATTGGTATGTCACAAAATCGCCAGCAATTTTTGATTGAATGGTGAAATTCAGTGCGTGTACATCATTATTCTTTGCGGCAAGAATTGCTCGTTGACTTAACCTTAAAATATTTTTATAGGCAAGACAGATATTACAGCTATTACAAGAATGAGACTGTATCGTCAGCGAAAAAGTAAAAAAAAACAAACAAGCAGTCAATGAATATATGCTAATTTTAATTACATGAAGTAATGGATTATTTATTATTTCTAAAAATTAGGACGAAAAATTGGAGAAAACGACTGAACGAATGAAACCAAAGACTTTCAACCATTTAGGCAAATTACACAACAAGAAGAAATTGGTGTTTCAATGATATTTCATTGATTCATTTTAGTGATCCTGAACATGAAGTTTTGCAAAGTTGCATACTTTTATATATAATGAAGAATGAATTGATATTCAGATTTATTACTCTAAACAAGAAATCAAGCACAACAATAGTTTGTTGTAACATTTATATGATATACTTCATAATAGACATCTATGCATTTTTTATTTATTGCAATTGTTATTGAAATTACTTAAGATTGTTGCAAATCCCCTGTGTGAACGAATATTATAGAAATTATTAATCAGCAATTACTTCATTTCTCTAATTAAGGTTCATTTCTAAATGCTAATTCCAATGACAAACGGATCATGTCGTATTTGAAGTACGACTTTAATTACATTATTTTAATGCTATTATAAATATATTATTCATAATTTCTTGTTTAAAGACCTATAAATAAAAACTACTAATGAAATGATAAAAGAAAGGAGCAAAAAATACCACGAAAAATTACCGGGTCACCCAAACAAATATTTAAAAGAATTAAGCGAGGAATCTCCCATTCAAAGATTGAAAAAAAGATAGCTGTAGAATCTTAAATAAAATGTAAAAAAATAAAAAAAAATCTCATAGAAGATAATCTCTTAAATGCATTTACACCCAGCATATTGCCTTAAAACAATTATATTATTTTGATTGGTAATAAATTATGCAAATAAAAAAAAATCTTGTATAAATATGTATAATGTTTGGCATTAAAAAATGTGTGCATTACGAGTGTTACAATATTACTAATGAATATTATTCAAAATTGTTATATGATGTATTTAGTTTTACTTGAACACCATCTTGTACAATTGCAAAAAAGTTTTAGTTCAATCTATGAGCACTCTTTTTTAATAAAGAGATGTTTATGAAATTAACAAGCCTCAAAAAAACAACATGAGTTGTCTAAATATTGATGTCTACCCGGTACTACTTTGATTTTCACATCAAAAAGTATTACAGTAGAACCTCGGTTAACCGGACTAATTGTTGTCGATAGGCATCTGGATAATGGAAAGTCCAGATAATCCAATGTATGAAAAATAATGATGTGTATTTATCAAAAGTAATAAATGCATACATAGATATCAACGAAAATCAATGTTTAATAAGAAATTAGCATTTCCTTACGTATGTACATATATACTTACTTAGATTATATTACATACATATACTAAACTGCAGCATAAATCGTGCAAAAATTCGAATTGTAAGTATATACATACATATAAATTATGTCGCGATTTTAGTTCGGATAATAAGTATGACTTTAATTACATTATTGTTTTTAAATATTATACATATTTTTAATGCTATTATAAATATATAATTTATAATTTATCATTATATAAATGTATATAATGGTTGACACTAATAAATGTGTGCATCACGAGTGTTAAGGTATTACTAACAAACATTATTCAAAATTGTTTTATGATGTATTTATTTTTACTTAAATGCCATCGTGGACAATAGCATAAAAGTTTTACTTCAATCTATGAGCACTCTTTTTTTTAATAAAGAGATGTTTATGAAATTAACAAGCCTCAAAGAAACAACATGAGCTGACTAAATATTGATGTCTACCCTCTATTACTTTGATCGAAAAGTATTACTTCTTCTGCTCAAGGGCCCCAAGTACTAAAATTTTCTTTTTTTAAGGTAAACAAAAAACCATTTGAACTTCAGCTTATATATACACAATTTAAATACCATTGAACAAGTTTCAAAGCTTCTTTCAACCCCAGAATATAAAAATCAAGTCAAAAGCGCCCGGAGCAAATGTTTCAGTAGAAATCACCACAAAATGCCAAATCATAAGATATAACCAAACTCATATATTAAATCATCCTTACTTTACAAAAACCACAACTGCTTTATATCAATTACTATTACTATATTATTTTTAACACCGAAACAAGCGTTTTATATCAGATTTATCTAAAATAAGCAAAAATGACATAACCACTCATGACCCAGCTGTCAAGACTCTTTTACAAGATAATAACACAAAGGGCTCGACTCACCTGTTATGTGTAAAGTCTGCCGGATGGAATAATGAATAAATTAAAATGCAAACTGTTGTATAAAACTATTACAGCAGTTTTAATTAAAATTTTGATGTGCCATTAACTTTTGAGACTTGATAGCTCTTGGTTAAGTAATCAGGGTAAGGTACCAACATCAGAAAAAATAGTCAAGGACAAAAAAGAAGTGCTATAAGTTTTATGTTTATTTATTAATGGATGGATTTATTTTTATGATAAAAGGATTTTTTTCAAATTATTAATAAAAGATTTTTGTCTAAATTTATTAATTTTAAAATTTATTTTATTTATCTATGATGACAGTGAAGTTGGTTACACAATTTTTTATTATGTTGGTGATGCATATTGAACTTGTCTTTGCACGTTATCTGTCAAACAAAAACAATTTACTAGTTACAAATTGTGTTAAATAATATTTATTTAATTTTTAAAGTGCACAATGTCAGACGCTAGTGATATTGAAAATGAATTCGATTTTGCATCACAATTTAAAAGCAAGTATTTGAATTTATATATAAACATATATGAGTAGTTAAGTAGATAATGAGTACTTCTAGGGTGATACATCAAAGTAGAAAAAACAAAGATTTATAAATTAATCTTTATAATTTAATGTCATCATCAGTGGATCTATAAAGTAAAAATCGTAAAATTGATATAAACTAGGTAACTACGAGGTTTATAACTTGGCATAGAAACTATAGAATAAAAAACATTATAAATATAACAAAACAATATAAATATATATATTGTTAAACATTTTCACAAGATGACCCGACAGGCATTGTCCTGTACCCACGACTACAATTCAAAGGTTCCAAATTTGTTTACATTCTATGCTATACTTTTTAATATCCCATGTCCTGCCTTCGTGATTTATTTATGGTCTCAGCATAAGCAGTATAAGAAATATAGAAAATAATAATATAATATCTGCGTTAAAAGACTTGATTTTACCACACAACATAATTGCTTCAATAATTTACTCTATAATTTTCATAATCTCGTACTATATGTTAGTTGCATTTTGGTAATTATAATTTCTTGAGTACATTTTTCTTACTAATAATTTAATAAACATTATTGTTTATGTTCAAATCTTAGATGAATTGTAAAATTTAGTTTGTATGAGCACTCTTCAATCTAATTGTAAGACCAACTTGCTGAATATTCCATATCCAATGCCAAACAAATAAATTTTTGACAATGAAACAAAAGTCTAAATCATTTTCTTAATAAGTAGAATTATTATTATGTTTTGTTAAATAATTTAGTAAAGTAAACCGAAAGGCAACATGTATAAGTTTGAAAAAAAATATATATGCAATTTTGGTCTTATTGCGTTATTTATTAAATTGAATTATACAGTTTTATCTGCCAACATATGCTGTTGACGGTATCTTATATTATTCTAATTTCTGGCGCATCTCGCCTGCTTTTCGGCAATAATAATGTAGACATTACATTTTTCTTGTATATTATATTCTAATATTATCTAGGCTCATAATTTTAGCTAAATTTGAATTCCAAGTGAATTGACATTTCTAGCAGGTGGTGAGTTCATATGTTTTCAATGCCAAACAATGATAAGAGGTTTTTTGTAATTTTTGCTATTTATATTTACAATATTACTATAGTTTTATCGTTCATTAAATCTTAAAAAATTTCTTTTGACACACTCTAAAAAGAATTATCAAAATCCGAATAACCGTTTAGGAGAAGTATCGAATGAAGAATCTAAAAAGAAAAAAAACTTATAAATATATATATATATATATATATATATATAATTGTAATTCTTATAGTCACCTAATAGTTTATATAAATTTTTTAATTTTTTCTTTATGGATCCACTGATGATGACATTAGTTCAAATGTCGAAATGTTTGTTTTTTTTTCTTTGATGTATTGTCCTAAAAGAACTTTCTCATAAATATGTACATACAATAGTATATAGTCGCAGCCAAAAGTTTTTGGTTAAACCTTAAACTATACGATAATAATAATAATAAATGAGTATGAGAGCACCACAAAATCAATTTATTATTACCATTATCATTTTATTACGATTAATCACTTTCAAACCAAATCAAACTATAAGATATGCAAATATATTATTTCATTAAATGTATAAAACATTAACAGATATTTGCTGTATAGTATAATAAGTTTTGAGGGCATGTTTAATACTTACATAAGTCGTGTGTAGTTTTTATAACAAGCACTTTTTGTCCATTATAATTTCATAAATATTCAATCATTTAATATCCTATTAAATCATTCTGTGACTATGAGTTGATTTTCCGTATCTTTAGGAATGTTTTCTTCAATGGGAAACTTTTATTGATTTTTTTTTCTTTGTTGACAAAATATTTTCATATCTCAGTCTGGGAGGAGTGCTTGGTGTAAGAGATTATGAAACAATTATGCTATGTACATATATTATAAGATTTATTTATACAATATTATAAGATTTATTTATACTTGCATCTTGTCAGCTCTAATTTCTTTATAATATTACTTTTTTTTTCATTTTGAAATTGTCATCACTAGTCTTATATCACTCGGAAGTTCATTATAAATTTTTGTTGCACTCCACACAACATTTTCTCTCATTTTCTTTTTTCTATTGTGCTCAATAGTTTTCTGTTCAAGTTTTTTTTATATCCAATCAAATGGCTTTATATTTCTTAACTTTCCTGTGGATTCATCTTGACTCAGTTCTTGCTGGAAAATAAATTTAATACATTAATTGATTCAACAAATAGATGCAGGTCAATACATAAACGAAACGTTTGCTCTAATAGTCATTTTCTTCAATAAATGTATGTAGTATGATACATATTTATAATATTTTTGCAGCCCAATCGTCGAATTAAAAAAAGGTTAAATAACAAAATTAATTATTCCATTAAACGTTTCGACACTTGATGTGTGTCATCATTCAGTAATCTACAAAACATATAACATAAATACAAAGTTGATGATAAATACAAATATATAAAAAGGAGGAAATTATACATACCAAACCAGGAAAAATAACAGAAAAAATTAATTATGATGTAAAATTGATTGAACACTAAATTTGTGTAAAATAATGATATACTATTATTTTAACAAACGAGAAATTGAAGGAGCACATATTGCCCTCCTATATTTAATGTTATTAATAGCGTTGCATTATGGACACTGATCAAGGTTACAAAGCTAGTGTAGCGGGTTGTGAAAAACGAAAGGGGAAAGAGAAACAGAGAAGAAATATAACGAATGAAAGATTCTAAAATTGTACAGAATTACTTTTTATGAAATTAATGATAACTTTGTAACTGTCATGTAAGAGATGAGAGGAATTACGTTTGTTGACACAAGAAGTATTAGGGATATAAGTAAAGATTCAACTATCTTTCTAAGGTCACAATTTTTTTCAATGTAAAGGATGGAGGGATTTGGCATGTTAAAAGTGTGGTTCAAGTTTATCATATGTTCTGAAAGCATATATGTTGATTTACCCTCTTGTTTATATAGTGGGAACTTTCACCAATGTAACAACAGTTATTTAATGTTTTTTTAATTCGACGATTGGGCTGCAAAAATATTGCATATATATATATATATATATATATATATATATATATATATATATATATATATATATATATACTTTAAACCATACCACAACAACCACTGTACAAAGTTTTTAAAACCAATACTTGAATATAAAAAACAATTATGTAATACTTATTACCTTTTTTCTATTTCCAGAAGCCCAAGCCCAAATAGAATCCAATCTCAAAAGTTCTATTCTCGATTCAAGTCTAGACGGACCAGATTTGATCCCGTTGAAACTTGATACAGATTGCAAACCAATTACCAAAGACACAACCACTGTTGAACCTGTCGAATCCCACAATAATAATTATAACGAAGTGATTAGTATAGAGAGTGATTCAGAAGATGTCAAACCAGAACTGCCAAATGGCAGACGATGTACTAGGTATAAATTTAAAGGGTAATAGAAATATTATTTTATTGATATAATGCTTATTTATTGTTTTAGGAACTCAAGATATAGTAGAACAAGCTTTGATGAAGGGTAAGTTTACAGGTTAGTTCAATTGATGAATGAATTGGTGAATTTTAATATTATTTGTTTAATTATAGACTTTTTTTACAAAATGGTGCACGGACGAGAAATGGAACTCAGAGGAAAAGAGCAAGAGGTACTATATAGAATTTAAAAAAAAATTAAATTATTTTATTTATTTGGCATTTAAATGATATGGGATATCCCCTTCTTCAGAAACTATTAATAAATATAAATGAACTAGTTGTGTATGGTATTGTGCCTTAAGGCAAATTGCTGTAACTTTCCATAACATAATGAAATATTCAAAGAATAAAATTTAGTAGAAAATATTTTGAATATTAAAAAAAAAAATTCTTACCCCAAAAGCAATCGTTTTGTCAACACAGGCAGAAAGTTTTTTGAAAAAGTTAGTTCTCTCAAAAACCGTCATTTTTTGCTCATTTAGCTCGGTATCTCCGAAACGGCTGGACCTGCCTTCGCCAAAATCTAATAAACACTTCTCCCCATCATTACGAATTGAATATTTTTTGAATCATTCAAATCGGATGCTTCGTTCTCTCAAAAACTCGATTTCTATTTTTTACATTCTTTGCTCCGTATCTCCGAAACGGATAGACCTGCCTTCGCCAAAATCTAATAACCACTTCTCCTCATTATTACGAATTGAATATTTTTGGGATCATTCAAATCGGATGCTAGTTCTCTCAAAACCTTGATTTCTATTTTCTGCACTCTTTGCTTCGTATCTCCGAAACGGCTGGACCTGCCTTCGCGAAAATTTAATCACCACTTATCCTTATAATTACGAATTTAATATTTTTTGGATCATTTCTAATCGGATGCTTCGTTTTCTCAAAAACTCGATTTCTATTTTTGCACTCTTTGTTCTGTATCCCCGAAACGGCAGGACCTACCTTTGCCAAAATCTAACCACCACTTCTCCCATTCATTACGAATCGTTTTTTGGATCATTCAAATCGGATGCTTCGTTCTCTCAAAAACTCGATTTCTATTTTCGGCACTCTTTGCTCCGTTGCTCCGAAACGGCTGGACCTGCCTTCGCCAAAATCTAATCACCACTTCTCCTTATAATTACGAATTGGATATTTTTTGAATCATTCAAATCGGATGCTTCGTTCTCTCAAAAACTCAATTTCTATTTTTTACACTCTTTGCTTCGTAACTCCGAAACGGCTGGACCTGCTTTCGCCAAAAACTAATCTACTTATTATTGAAATCTCTATAAAGTATCTTATAATTTGATTGGCATATGCCTTATAATTATTTTTGATCATCAAATAGCTTTTTTTTTAACTTAATAGATCGCCTAAACCACCGAACCTGCCTTCCTAAAAATTTAACCAATTCTTTCCAACAATGCATGTGAGATGTTTTTTCATTCATACAAATAGGACGCTTTGTTCCCTCAAAAACTGAATTGCACTATTTGCCTCGTATTTTCGAAACAGCTGGATCTGCCTTTGCCAAAAACTAATCAGTTGGTCTCCCCAACGATAGAAATCGAATGTTTTCTTGAATCATTCAAATTAGACATATTAGACATTTTCCTGAATCATTCAATGTGTATACACACATTCATACATCAATTCTCTCTAAGGCATGCCAAATAGTATGATCATACATCATTTTTTTTCTAAGATATGGTTCAGAAGGCATTGAGACAAAAAAAAGTATATAAAAATATATAAGTATAAGTAAAAGTATATAAAAATTTCATGCATCTTATGTTTAATATCTATATATATATATATATATATATATATATATATATATATTTATTTATTTATTTATTTTACTTATTTATTTCATTTTACCCAGGTGCCAGAAATAAATCTCAAAACAAAGTTCAAGTTGCAAATAACCGTCCAGCCATAACAGTAAGTTCTCGAGTCAAAATCTTTATATCACAATACAATGTAAACTATATTAATTGTATATTTGCAGGTATTCTCAGATTCAGAAGGTGAATGCAACTTAAGTCAATTAGATAAGTCTCAGGAAATCGAAGAAGATTTAAATTACGAACAAACTGTTTTAATCAAATGGATATTTGTGAAAAATTATCGAGTTCCTTTGAGACGGGTAAGAAAAGTTATATAAGAATAATAAGTAGTAATAAATAGTGGGGTGTATGGCATCGCGCCTTAAGGCAAATTGCTGGAACTTCCCGTACCGTAACGAAATGTTCGAGGAATACTGAATGTTTTCAAATAGATTATTATAAATATTGTAACATTGTCTAATATTTATAAGAAGTATATAAACTGAACTGCAAATTTAAAATTATTTGTTTAAGTTATATTAGAACTTTAGTCAGAATAAAAATGAAATCTGAATTATTTTCGATATACAAGAATAATAAAAATACAATTTTTTTTCCAAAATCAATTCGTTTGTTGAGACAAGCAGAAAGTTGTTTGAATCATTTAAATCGGACGCTTAGTTCTCTCAAAAACTGCCATTTTTTACATATTTAGCTCCGTATCTTCGAAATGGCTCGGCCTGCCTTTGCCAAAAACTAATAGACGCTTCTCCCAATCATTACTAATTGAATGTTTTTAGATCATTCAAATCGGATACTCCGTTCTCTCAAAAAGTCGATTTCTATTTTCTGCACTCTTTGCTCCGTATCTCCGAAACGGCTGGACCTGCCTTCGCCAAAAACTAATCAGCTCTTTTCCCTATCAATAGGAATCGAATGTTTTTTGAACCATTCAAATCGGTTGATCCGTGCGCCCGAAAACGTGACTGGAAATTTGTATCCATACATACACCACACACACACACACATACACACACATCCATTTTTTCTGAGGTATGCCAAAACGTTCAGAAACTTTCAAAACATCGAGAAATGTAAAAATTTTCAATTTCGATTTTCGGCCCATTACAATAACTTACCCTACGGGAAGTTAATAAATAGCCTGAAGGCAGGTTTATTTATAGTGTAAGAGCTTAAATCAATGATTTTCTTCTCTTGTTTATTATTATCATTATCATTATTAGCATCCTGAAGAAGAAGTTTGTTTTCGCCAGAAAACCAATTTGCTAATTATGTTTTATCAACATTTCAAGTCATGAGACAATTTTTGGAAAAAGTATGTGTAAGGATACGTGAGCCGACCCCTCGTCGACATTTTTTTTAAAAACTATAAAAATTATTTAAAATTGAATTAATCATTATCAGATTAACTTGATATACTTATAAATCACTCATAAATTAATACATTGATTTCTTACTGATTAAGTCTGTTATTTAAACATGTGTGGAAGTTCATGCAACTTACCTTAATGGCAAAGTGGCACTTACAAGTAGTAATTCTATGCATTTCCTCTCCAAACTTGTGCTTCCATGCTACATCATAAATCAACTGCATTCTTCTTCTACCTAGTCCTTGTAGTCCTTCTATGTTACCTTCAACGACGTCGTCCAGAAGGCATTCTTTTTGGAATATGGATCCAATCCAGTATCCTTTTCTTTTCGTGATCATCAGTAGAGTTCTTCCTTCTTAGTTAACTAGTAATATAATACAGCACATTTATTTGTTTCTTTAATGATTTTTTATTTTTAGTTTCAAAAACTCACTTTTTTGCAAAAAGAATTGGCAACTTTTGAAAATGTCAAAGCTGATGGTATCAAATTATTGTTGAATGGAAAAGAATTGGATCCCAATGAGTGTTTGCATTCTTTAAACATCACACCAAAGGACATCATAGGTAAGGGAGAAACAAAGCGGTGGTAACAAGATTTATACTCAAATAATTACCTTTCCATTTCCAGATGCAATACCGGTAGCTGAATACTGCACATCAATGACAAGTACTGTTAGCAGCACCCCTTCTTCAAACTCATTGTTAAAATTCAAAATTCAGATCAAGAACGAGAAGAGACCATTGTTTGTTGAAATCAAACCTTCAGATACCTTCAAGGTTCTCTTTGGCAAAGTTAGCGAAGAAGTGGGCAATGTTCCATTGAGCAAGATGCGTTTTAAATTTGATGGAGACTTGTTGGACGCCAAAAAGACTGCGGATGAACAAGATCTGGAAGGGGGAGAGTGCTTGGATTTGGAAATTATTGACAGATAAGAAGGATGATTGTAAAATGAAAGTGTTGATTCTGTAAAAGTAATAAGATGGCCATATATATATATTTTAGATTTATTTGATATTTTTTTTGAAGAATATAACTTTTTTCAATAAATTTTATATATACATCACTGTTTAATATTGAGTTTTTCTTATAAATTAGTCATTTTATTAAAATTGGAATTGAACTAGTGGGGTGTATGGCATCGTGCCATAAGGCAAATTGCTGGAACTACCCTTACCGTAAACGAAATGTTCGAGGAATACTGAATGTTTTCAAATAGATTATTATAAATATTGTAACACTTGTTTAATATTTATAAGAATTATAAATATTTTATATAAACTGAATTGCAAAGTTAAAATTATTTGTTTAAGGTATATTAGAACTTTAGTCAGAATTAAAAATGAAATCTGAATTATTTTCGATATACAAAAAAAAAATACAATTTTTTTTTTCCAAAATCAATTATTTTGTTAAAACAAGCTGAAAGTTTTTTGAATCATTTAAATTGGACGCTTAGTTCTCTCAAATACTGCCATTTTTTACGCATTGAGCTCTGTATCTTCGAAATGGCTGGGCCTGCCATTGTCAAAAACTAATAATCACTTCTCCCAATCATTACTAATTGAATATTTTTTAGATCATTCAAATCGGATGCTCCGTTCACTCAAAAACTCGATTTCTATTATAGTAACGGCTGGACCTGCCTTTGTCAAAAACTAATCAGCACATCTCCCTATCAATAGGAATCGAATGTTTTTTGAACCATTCAAATCGCTTGATCCGTGCGCCCGAAAACGTGGACGAAGAATTGTATCCATACATACATACACACACACATCCATTTTTTCTGAGGTATGCCAAAATGTTCAGAAATCTTCATAACGTAGAGAAATGTAAAAATTTTTAATTTCGATTTTCGGCCCATTATAATAACTTACCCTACGGGAAGTTAAAAAGTATATTTTCTTCGAATGATAAAGATTTATAATACAACTGCTTATCTTATGCCTGTATTATTTTAGTATGTTATATCAGACTATGAACTCTATTGTAGTACAAAATTATTAAATTTTGAAATTATAAGGTTCTAGAGCCTCCCCCTAACGGCTCTTTTCGTGGGGACAAGAGCCAAAATATTTATAAAATAATTGAGGACTTTATGTTTGGCTCTAACAAATCGTTTTCAATTAATTTGTACTAAATAGAAATTGCATACAAAGTAATATTTGTTACAACAATCTATTGCAAATATTTTATTTAATTATTTGTGTTTACAAAAATATTAGAATTTCTGCAAAACGAAATGTTAATAAGAATCGTGAATTATTGTGTCATGGGATTTTAAAAAATTATGATTTTAGAAGAAATATGATATAAACATTATATAGGCACACAATATGAGTAATATAATTATTAAAAAGAGCAACAGATAGATTGAAGTTTTAGTCGGAATTATACCCAAGCAGTATTGAGTCCGACATACCCAGACAAATGACCTAGTCTGTTATGCACACACGCATTTTCTTCACCGATAGAAAAAAACACATACACAGATATGCTTCTTTCAAATTTGATGTCATTCGATTCAAAATGACCTGAAACGTCGAAAAAACATAAAATTAGCAAATGAGATATTTTCGCGAAAACAAACTTCTGAAAGTTTAAAATAGGAAGTGGTTGAAATTGGTTTTTAGTAAACTCATATTGTTGGTTCCAAGACAAATTTTAATGCTTACGATATATATAAATTTGTGAGGCTCGAACATGCCGCCACGTTTTGGAAAAACAATGGGAAATTAATTTGCATGATTTTTCAACATTGCTTCATGTAGTTATGGTAAAGTTATAATAAAAATGTATAATAATGATTAAGATTAATTAGTTATAATAGTATGTAAAAATGCTTGATTTCTGCATTTATTTTTATATTTAAAAGTCTTGTGATTGTTTATGAATTCACTATTGATTATATTGTCTTTTGGTTATACTCACAAAATTGTTTTAAGGAGCTTATGAAAGAATAGTTCATTGTTCATCACCTTTTCTATTATTGTCTATTGATAACACGCGCAGTTTTATTATTACCAGTCTTAAGGAAAATAGTTTATTCATCGGTTTAAAATTATATTAATAATAATCTATTTGAAAATTGATCAAATTAGGGGTACTCTTCCAGTACAATTTTCATTTTCAGAAAATATACAACATTTTTAGACTATATATAACAACATTATACATACTAATATAACATTTATTATAAAAACACAAATATATCTTCTAGTATCACATATTGAGTATTCTAGTATCACATAACATAATTGAAATTAATAATTATACTTCTCTTTGGTACAAAATTATAAAAATAATTAAAGTTTTAAATAATTAATAATTAAAGTGTTAAATAAAAAATTATACTACCCTCAATGGTAAGAAATAATAGTAGTAAACAGTTATACTTCAGACTCATTCGGATTCTGCATCGACACTTCAATACCAGAGTCTGAAAAACCACCTGTAAGAAAAATAAAACTGCTTGAATGCAATTGAATAAAGAATGTTTTATATATTTATCCATATTACTCTTGTAACTTTATGGGAGTGGCATTTTGACTAAACTAAAGTTGCATGAATTCATTTTGAATGTGCAAAAATTCGACATGATCAATATCTAATAATTTATGACTCATTAATGATTTTATAATTACTGTTAGTGCACCTTCAGGATCAAGAAGTTTTCATTAATATTTTTATCTTTACACAATAACGTTTAACTCATAATAAAATATGATGTAAGTTACCAAATGAGAAGTATGTTTAGACAAGAATTCATATCATTTCCCCACTTATATGACAGTTGTTACGTAACATCAACGTTGTTTTTACGTATTGACGTTAACTTATCATTAAAACATACCTAAACGTCTCCGTTTAGGTTCAGTGCCCAACGGTTCCTCTATAATTTCGGGCCTTCCAGGTGGTGTTCTTCTGGACAAAACTTCGCCAGCAGCTGCATCTTCTAGACCAAGAAGGAAATTATTATTATCTTTATCTTTACAGTAATGTTACATATGTTACGTGGCGGTTACGTATTTATTACACAATAATTCAATTAATATAAAAATATCCTTATGTACTACTAAGGGGGCGTCCATTAATCACGTGAGGTTTCTAGGGGGAGGGGGGGTTTGACAAAAAATCAAGAAATATCACGTGGGGAGAGAGGGGTATTGTAAGATATCACGTGTATTTATTTTGTAACTTTCCGTAGGGTAAGTTATGCTAATGGGTCGAAAATCGAAATTGAAAATTTTTACATTTCTCGACGTTTTAAAGGTTTCTGAACATTTTGGCATACCTCAGAAAAAATGGATGTGTGTGTGTATATGTATGTATGTATGGATACAATTTTTCGTCCACGTTTTCGGGCGCACGGATCAACCGATTTGAATGGTTCAAAAAACATTCGATTCCTATTGTTAGGGAGATGTGCTGATTAGTTTTTGGCAAAGGCAGGTCCAGCCGTTTCGAAGATACGGAGCAAAGAGTGCAGAAAATAGAAATCGAGTTTTTGAGAGAACGGAGCATCCGATTTGAATGTTCTAAAATACATTCAATTAGTAATGATTGGGAGAAGTGACTATTAGTTTTTGGCAATGGCAGGCCCAGCCATTTCGAAGATACAGAGCTAAATGTACAAAAAATGGCTGTGTTTGAGAGAACTAAGCGTCCAATTTAAATGAATCAAAGAACTTTCAGCTTGTTTTAACAAAATAATTGATTTTGGAAAAAAATTGTATTTTTTTCTGTATATAGAAAATAATTCAGATTTTATTGTCAATTCTGACTAAAGTTCTAATATACTTTAAACAAATAATTTCAACTTTGCAATTCAGTTTATATAATTCTCATAAATATTAGACAATGTTACAATACTTATAATAATCGATTTGAAAACATTCAGTATTCCTCGAACATTTCGTTACGGTACGGGAAGTTCCAGAAATTTGCCTTAAGGCACGAGGCCATACACCACACTAGTTAACTTTTTTTTGAAAAAGTTACAAAAATGTTCAAAAAAATTCAAATATGTTAGTTTTTCACGAAACTAAAAATACACGTGATGTTTGGTGGGGAAGAGAGGGGTAATTTTGAATATCACCTTGTATCACCAATGGGGAGGGGGTCCAAAAACCTTAAAAACTCGCTCACGTGATTAATGGAAGCCCCCGCTGTCTAGTTGCTCTATATTTAGGGATCTCTGGGATGTTCTCGAGGGCAAGGGGAGTTCACAAACAAAATTAAAAATGTTTTCGTAACATTTTGATGTTCAATTTATATTAAAACATACCTGAATATCTCAGACTTGATTCTCTTCCCGGCTGCTCTATGTTAACTGACGACTGGAATGTTGTAGCAGGAATGGTTTCATCAGCTGCATCTTCTGGAATAAGAAAAAACTTACTATTCTTTATCATTTCACATATATAACAACTGAGGGGGCGTCCATTAATCACGTGAGCGAGTTTTTAAGGATTTTTGAACCCCTCCCTCCCCCTTGGTGATCCATGGTGATATTCAAAATTAACCCCCTCCCCCCAAACATTACGTGTATTTTCAGTTAGGGGCCGTTCAAGTATTACGTAAGCACTATAGGAGAGCGGGGGGGTTGTTGATTTGTTTATTTTGGGTTGACATGGGGGGCAGGGGAGTCTGGATGATGATTACGTCATAGGTAGTATTTTTATTTTTTTACATTAATTGCAAAATGTTTACGTAAGCATGGGGGTAGGGGGCAAGAGCTTTGCTTACTTTTGCTGACAACGGGGATGGGGGGGGGGTAAATAATTGTGATAAATCTGTTTACGTAATACTTGAACGATCCCTCACGCGATAAAACTGTATTTTTTTATTTTTTATGAAAATGTTTGATGTTTTTATAAAAAGTCAGTTAAAAAATAAATACACGTGATATCTTACTATACCCCTCCCTCCCCCAGGTGATATTTCGTGATGTTTTGTCAGACCCCCCTCCACCTAAAAACCTCACGTGATTAATGGACGTCCCCTGATACGAAACATTAATTTACATATTGACGTTCACTTATACCTGAAGATTCCCAGATCGGTTCCTCGCTCCATTCCTCCATATTTTGGGGCGTTTCGGATGTTTGGGGCAGGGGTTTTATACCAATAAGGGACCTCCGGTAAATCTTATATGGAGCCCACATGTATCCAGGGGGTATTGTTGAAGGTAGACAAGTCTTTAATTTAGTTTGTAAGAATTGGTATCTGAAACCAGAATGGACGATGTTGATATTACAATAGCAATTTTTTTTTCTTAATTTTTTTTGCAATTTGCTTGAGGAAAAATATCACTTGCACCTAATTTTATTCATAACAATAAATGATTGTGATTTAGTTAAAATTTAAACTATTTGTTGAACATAACCGCAGTTATCATTTATCATTTATCATTACCATTTTAGAAGTTGTCACAACTTAATTCTCATTGACCAAGTCGATTATTTGCACATATTTTTCTTAAAACAAAATAAAGCATGTGAGAGGTCTCCTCTCATCTTCAGAGATCATTCCTTTATCCAGTAAATATTTATACTCACACAGAATTTCTATCCTCTTCGTTAAGCTTTTTTGAAAATTTACTTAATACTGCTAAAAATGGTATCTGATCTGGAGGCTCATTCGGTCTAGTACTTTGTCCAACTGCAAACAAAATTCCATCCTTGTGCAACATACCTACTGCATGTCGATTTTCAAGTTCGTTTGTGCCCAATAACTCTGCTAGACGTGCAGCCAAAGTCTGAATAAAATAAAAAAGAATAAAATCCCAGTAAACCACAAACGTCACATAAAGTTCAAATAACGTAGCACAGAAGAAACGTTGTTACGTATTTTATGGTTACGTTAATAAAACCTAAAGGTAAGTAACTAAGTAACTATAATTAGTTAATTATAACCTTTAAACGTAAATGTATCGTTTTTCTTTATAACGTAACCGTTACGTTAAACTGTTTCGTAATTTTAACATTTACATAACATTTATATAAAATCAATACGTCGGTTCCAACCTGTGAGGTATTGCAAGAGGTGGTACAGATGTAGGCAAAGTACTATTTATGAATACAAATAAAAATGTTGAATTGTTGAGTTAAACGTTTAACGTTCATAGATTAATATTAAAAAATATGTCTTCAGAGATTAGTAAATATGAATATAAATTAAGTTTTTTCATTCTTGTTGATGCAACATCAACAAAAATCTATATTGTTTCATAAATTACACATAGCAGAATAAATACCTTTAGCTCCGCAAATTCTTCGACATTATTATCAAGCACATAATCTTTGCCCAATGATCTCTCCACCTCCACATAAATTTTCGACAAAATCAGGAACATGGTCAGGGTGCAATTTCTCCTGTTGAGGCGGCACATTATGGTGACAATTTTCTTTATGATATTTCCATAGCATTTTTCACACTGCAAAATATAATAAATTACTAAATGAAATAGGAAAAAATTTTAATATGCAGCGTACAACTATTACAATCTCACCTTTACACAATACTTTAAAATAAATTCTGCATTAGCAGATGGTATGATATTAAAATCAATGAGTTTGGAATAACACTCCAAGACTTCACGACATTTGTTCACCTGACTCTCATTTTCTTCGTGTTTTCCTACAATGAGATAATAACATAATTAATTACAAAAGTCTTCTATAGTAAAGTCATATTAATTTTTTGTTTTGGATAAACTGCGTTATGCATATAAATAAAAAATCTAAACATAAATGTATTGAATGTCGAGTCGTGTTAGATGTATCTTCGAGTAAAATATCCCATTCAGCATTCCAACACATAACACATATCAAACAATAACACTATCAAAATATGTTCAGAAACTTTCCCAAACATAGAAATATATTTATTTGCCATTTTTGCTAAAATTTTTCATCTGTTCTCTCACAACCACAAACCTCCAGACAAATGTGAACCATCTCCACGCAATCTATAATCATCTTCAGATAATATTCAGCATTTTGAGACAACTTACAAAACTTTCATGAAAATACAGAGAGTCTAGAATATCTTCAAAAAATCTACAACATTCTAAGATAATCTGCAATTTACAACATTTGTAGATAAGTCAAAAAATTTATAGCCCAACCATAGCAGTTTCGGGCAATCCGCAGCATTTTCAAACAATCTATACAAATCTTCAGACAATCTACAAATTTCCAGATAATCTACAACATTTTAAAGCCATTATTACAAAATTCAAAAACAATATACAACTCCTTCAGACAATCTAAATTATTTTGAAACAAACTAGAACATTTTCAGACAATCTACGAAATCTCCAGACAATCTACGAAATCTCCAGACAATCTGCGAAATCTCCAGACAATCTGCGAAATCTCCAGACAATCTACGAAATCTCCAGACAATCTACGAAATCTCCAGACAATCTACAAAATCTCCAGACAATCTACAAAATCTCCAGACAATCTACAAAATCTCCAGACAATCCATGAAATCTCCAGACAATCCATGAAATCTTCAGACAATCTATGAAATCTCCAGACAATCTATGAAATCTCCAGACAATCTATGAAATCTCTAGACAATCTATGAAATCTCCAGACAATCTATGAAATCTTCAGATAATCTACAACATTTTAAAACCATAATTACAAAATTCAAAAACAATCTACAACTCCTTCAGACAATCTAAATTATTTTGAAACAAACTAGAACATTTTCAGATAATCTATGAAATCTTCAGACAATCTACAAATCTTTAGACAAACTTGGACCATCTCCAGGCAAAATCTACAAATCTTCAGACAATCTACAAAATCTTCAGATAATCTACAACATTTTAAAACCAATTAAAATTTAAAAACAATCTACAACACCTTCAGAATTTCTAAATTATTTTGAAATAAGCTATAACATTTTCAGACAAAACTTCAGAGAAACTTCAGACAATCTACAAAATCTTCAGCTAATCCACAGCATTTTCAAACAATTTACAAAATTTTCATACAATCTAGACTATCTTCAGACAATTCTCACTTGTTTTCTTTCTATTCCACACTTTTTGTTGGCACTTGCATTAGAAGTTCTACTTCAATAAGTAATATTTAAATTAATCTTGTCCTCATTATTACCTTTCCAATGTTTTATGAAAACATACTCTTCTGTATATTTATTTATTAGTGCTATGTCATCCAAGCTGAGATTTAGAACTAAATCGTGAATTATTTGGTTTCGATGGTTGCGCAGCTCTCGGTTGAAATTTGCGGATAACTCACAAATTGAAGTCAAAGCCTAAAATGTTAGAAATGAATTTATTAAAAATACAAAAAATATTTCAGCCACTTCAAATATTGGAACCAAAATAGTTTGAATTCTTCAAAAATCGCGAGTGCTTGCCATGTCGTCCAAACCTAACACAATGCTTTCCCATACATTTTTGTTAGGCTTGGATACGCATGGTAAGCTTTAATTCAATATTTTTACTTTAGTATTTATGGTTAAAATTATGGTCAAAATAAAAATCATTTGGTATGAATTAGCCGAATCTACTATATATGAACCTTATTGATAATACAATTTTATTAACAATAAGGATACCATTTTGTGGACAACTCAGGAGCACCGATTATCCGATTTGAATTACTCAAAAAGAATTCGATTTGTATTGATGAGCAGACTGATAAAGGTAAGTTGGTTTTCAAGTAGACTTGTAAGTAAGCAGGTGAATAAATAGACAGGTAACCAGATGGACATGTAGACAGGTATGTCGTCCAAACCTAACACAATGCTTTCCCATACATTTTTGTTAGGCTTGGATGCACATGGTAAGCTTCAATTCAATATTTTTACTATAAATGTATTTATGGTTAAAATTATGGTCAAAATAAAAATCATTTGGTATGAATTAGCTGAATATACTATATATGAACCTTATTGATTATACAATTTTATTAACAATAAGGATACCATTTTTTGTGGACAACTCCGGAGCACCGATTATCCGATTTGAATTACTCAAAAAGCATTCGATTCGTATTGATGAGCAGACTGATAAAGGTAAGTTGGTTTTCAAGTAGACTTATAAGTAAGCAGGTGAATACATAGACAGGTAACCAGATGGACAGGTAGACAGGTAGATGTGTAAGCAGGTAAATTTGTAGACATGAAAACAGGTCAACAGGTTGACCTGTAAACAGGCAGAGAGGTAAAACTGTTGAGAAGTAGAGAGTTAAAGAAGTAGACAGGTGAACAGGTAGACAAATAGATCATATGTAGTTTAAAAAAATATTATTAAAACTTGTCTTAGTTTTATTTTAAGATTATGATTCTTTTAAATCAACTTACAGCTTTGTGCAGATCATCATAAATGACATTTTGAACGATGTCTTTGCAAATTTCAAAATATTCTTTTAATTTTAGCTTTAGTACCTTGGCTCGTGCCATACAATCCAGTACCACGTCATCATTCAGTTCTTTTAGTGCCTTTAATTCCCACGATAAGTATGCACCGTAAGAAATTAGGCAGTATATTGATCCCTAAAAGATATGTTGATAAGAGTATGAATTAGTTATGTTTAATCTTTGATATAATTAACATACTTCGATAGGAAGATTTCTTTGAATGACCCCATCCCTATACACTTGAAATTCATTTAAAAGATCATCGCATATATTCAAATAATTGATGTTATGTAAGGAGTAGAAAATGGCTATTTTCTTCAGGCAATTTACAATTAGAAGATAATCCTCTTTGTTTACATCTTTTGGATCCATTTGCTAGAAAAAAAAATATTTCTGATCAAGAGATGAATTGTTTGACAACTTTCTACATGTAACAAAAATTGAATTCTTACCCCATCTACAATACTTTGCCATGTTATTGATGGCTCCATATATATGTAGGCGCATTCTTTGAGAATTGTAAATCCGACGGCATCGCATTCTGCAGCAATGCTTGCCCTTTTATATAGGCAATGTAAAGTTTTGCTGCACTTACGTAATAAATTTGCGTTTGTCGTCTCCCTGACGATGTCTTCTAATGCGCTTAATAATTTTTTTAAATGCTGCAAGGATAAAACACAGGGTAAAAAACTAGAAAAACTATAAATGCAAGATGCATGAACATTCCCACATGCAAAAGTAATTTCTGGGTAAAATATAAACTTCCCCTGATGGCAATTCAAGCACTAGGACAAAGACCACGTCTGCAAAGTAATCCTTAAAGGTATTCATAAGTACAATAATTAAGGTGGTTGTTTGGATTTTTTTTTTTTTTTCGATTTTGAGATTTTTTGATATTATGAAAGCTAAAAACCTTAGAAATATTTAAAAAAAAAATTATCTCAATATCTATTTTTTGACGAAGTTATAGATATACAATATATATATATATATATATATATATATATATATATATATATCTATATGTATGATCCTCTGAAACCAGTTTTTTCATCCCTCCGCGAGCTATTGTATGCCAGCTGCTCTCTTTTTCATTATAATACCTCATGCATGTGACCTTTTTAATGTGTCAGCATTCTTTGAACACCATGGTATATTTAATACATTAAAGTAAATGGTGTATTTAGTACAATATATTAAAAACTTCAAATACGTTTTTCTCAAATTGACTTTTTTCAATGCGGTGCCACAAATTAAAAAAAACTACAAGTCGGATCGACTTGCAATTTTTTTTAATTTGTTCACCACTGCAATACCTAGTCTCCCTACTTCAAACAACTTGATTACATTACGTAAAAATTTTTTGCAAAGCTTCTCGCCCCCCAAAAAGGCCTTTATTAACACTTTTTTTAAAATAGCTGCCATTTTTTTCCTTCTTGCTTTTTTTCTTTCATTTTGGTAGGGGGACTGGATTCAAACTTCTTCTTCGACGTAGTTTCTTTTTTTTTTTTGTTTCAGGCGATGCGCAACGGATTTATCTGTGGCACCGCAAAAGAGATCGATTTTGCAAGGCCGACTTTGGCGCCCCTGGTTAAAAAATGACGGCGAAAAAAAAGAAAATCTCGTAATATTCTATGATTTTGTAATTTTTGTTTAAAAAAATGCATGTTTCTATGATAAATACATTTCTTGAAAACAAAAAACAAATATCTTGCATTTTTTGTTAAAAAAAACCAAACAACCTCCTTAAAATACTAACCAGATCTTCCATTTCACTTGTGTAAGTTTCTAAGTCGAAGTATTGGGGTATTCCCATTAAGTTGATGGTACAATTCACATTACTTTTAAACTGAGCCAACAGGTTTGGTATCACCGGCATCAGATGTTTCGTCATATTTAATTTGTCTCCCTTCATTTGCTTTATTTCTTCTAAACTTGGGACCTATAAATATAAAAACTAATAAAAAACAGAAATAAAAAATAATGTTTAAACATACAATCAACACACTAGAAGAAGAAACAACCGGATAGTTCTACCTATTTGGATGTACTGACATTAAAACCAGGGCAGGGTACTTTTACTTGATCTAATTGATTTACTTGGTTCTAATTCGACTTATAAATGATTGCATTAAACCTTTGACAACTATCATACTTTAATATGATATCAAGGAAACATATGCATTACTAAAAGCAACAAACTATTCTCATTGGTCATGAGTCCATACACCGTCCAAATTTTCTTCATCTTCCAAATCCAAAGATTCAGAAGATTCTTATTATCAGGAGACCAAGAGTATTTTGTTTATTTGATTGACCAGGAGAGCAGTTACATATCAATTGAGTATAGTCCTGTACCTGTACCTGTAATTATATCCTTTATGGATCGACCAGTTACACTTGCATCATTTCTGGAAAATGTTTATTCTTGTAGCTTCCGTAAGTACCCCGCCCTTTTCTTAAAATCGTACATTAAAATGGGTCAAGTTACCCCAGTTTTATATGCAATATTACCATGTTATCAATTGCTCTATCCCATGGATATTCTCCAGTAGTTGCCAATCTTGCAGACCATAACATCATTTCAGTCAGAACTTCTTGCTCGATTGGGGTCAAAAGATCATCGGTTTGTTTAAGAATATGTATTATTATTTTCCAATCTTTTATTATTTCAAACTTTGCAATAAGGGCATCCACTAGATATGGAACCAGATCTAAATGCTGAAAAATAATAATAAAAATAAAGAATAATGGTATCTATCCTATAGACGACATCCACATGACATATGACTATGCATATTTTACTTACCCCCAATTTAATGAAGGAAGTTACAATATATCGAAGCCATCGTACATTAAATCCGGCACGTTTTAGAGAGCCTGAATTATTTTCTTTATCCACTCTCTCAATGACATCATTTAAAAATTCACCTGCAGTCACTGCAACTCTACGGTTGGAATTGAGTACCATTCTGAAAACCATGTATACGTCTTCTCTAGTGAAGAGGTCACGATATGACCTGAATGGACAAAAATGGATAAATTAAGACTAGATATAAAAAATATGTAGATCTGTTGTTGTGCTGCATATCTAAGTATATTAGATTAAATGGTAAATTAGTGTCAATCATTATACACATTTATATAATGATAAATTATAAATCATATATTTATAATAGCATTACAAATATCTATAATATTTGAAAACAATAATTTAATTAAAGTCATACTTCAAATATGACATCGGTTTGTCGTTGTAATTAGCATTTAGAAATGAACCTTCATTAGAGAAATGAAGTAATTGCTGATTAATAAATTCTATAATATTTGTTCTCATAGTGGATTATGTTAAACAACGTCTAAACAAATATTATTTTCGCAACTTTACTCATCATGTAATATTGTTTGAAGAATTTTATGTAATTAAAATTAACATACATTTATTGACATCTTGTATTTATTTTACTTTTTCGCTGGCGATATATTCTCATTCTTTGCTTTGTCTTGCCTAAAAATATTTTCCATTTTAATAACTTCAAAGATTTATAGAAACTACGAATAATATAGAAATAATTTCTAATCAATAAACTTACGTGTAGTACACGGCACAAATGTTTAATTTGTTTTATTATTTTCAAGGAACAAGGTAAAATATTCTTCTGATTCAGACATTTTTTTAATTAAATCAAGATTTGTACTACGATGTAAATTTAAAATGTCTATTTAACTATTCTGATTTCCTCGTTGAAATCGGTACGCATACAACGACAATTCACATACACGACGGCTAATCACAATGACAAACAGTTCTGCCTAACGCATTTCCGTTGCATTTGTACGGATTTATACCCTAGTCGCGCCTAAAGAAGTTTTACTTCAGAAACTTAGCATGTTGATAGAGTTGATAGTCAATGGAAAAGCTTTAAAACAACGTAGTGCCTGGAGTATCTCCGTACGAAAACAGTTGTACGTTTTTATTACATCTATAGGCATATTACTTTTGAAGATTTATTTTAAGTTCCAATATTTGCTCCATGTTGAATGTATACTTTTTTCTATTTTGGTCATTATTTCTGTTTTCCCTAATAGTTTTTCAAAAATATATGTATTTATCGAAGTATTCTATTGCCTTCTTGTTGACTAGTACTGGAATTTACCATCGGTTGTTGATCAATGTTTTGGTGTCCAGACCAATCTGGACACTATCTCGGTGTATAAAGACTATCATGCATTGCATCTAACCGGCAGTTTCTGACAAAAGTATTATGTCGTCTGCAAATCTAGATGCTTGCCTTTTACCACCATGCAAAGTTTTGTCAAAATGTTAGAAGGGTAAGTGCACTAAGACAATTAAAATTGTATATGAAAAGACCCTTCATAATTCCCTAGACTGTGGTCTTATTGAGTGATATTTTTCATTTACAACTGACTTAAAATTGTGACAACTCTTTTTCGTACCTTATTGAGTATCAACCTTATCACCATGCAAAGTTTCATGCATATGTCTATTAAGTGCATGTTTTTATTCTCAACTCACCTGAACATAACAGTGACCAGCTTAATGGCAATCACTTGATTGAAAGGTCTCTTGTCACAAGTTAAACTTATAAGTCTATCTTTATATTTCTGTGTAAATAATTGCAATTCTCTTGCTATATTGTCGTTTTCATATAGAGGTATCAATGCTTCCAGAGATTGTGCTCGAACTGAATAATCCTGTGTAGAAAAAATCATTATTATTGGTAAATATCGATGGTAAAATAGAAGGGCTGAAAGGAATGGGAAGAAGAAGAATGCAGACGATTGACGACTTACGCGAGAAGAGAAAATACGGGGTAATCAAGAGCATGGAATCAGAAGTTTAGAAATAAAAATACATAAAAAATTGGAAAAAGGGAGGAAAATAGTGATAGGTAAGGCAAGCATTTATTTATATATACCTTGTCACACACTAAAGATGCGATAAACTCCAAATTATCGTCATTTAAAAATTGCCTTGGATGTGTTTCCATCCAGCGGCCCAATTCGTATACACAGATACTGCGTATCTGTGGTACGTAATCTCTGTAAATATTTAAATAAAAAAAATAATATTATTTAACTAAGGTGGTTAAAGATGTTATGGTAGGTATATAATAGCCATTCTTGGTGACATATTTTATTTTTATGGTGAAAAGATTGATCTAGCGGTGATATCGCTACCAAACCGAGATGCAAAACATGATGAGCAGAATCATCAAAGAGAGTAGAAGATACGGAGTGGAAATCAACATCAAGTCGAAAGTGATGAGAATCACAAAAAAGAGATGTGCTCCTGAGAATAACAGTAGAAAATCGACAATTGGAAGACGTTGATCATTTCAAATTAATTAGGAAGCATTTTGACCAGGGATGGATACTGCACGAGAGAGATCAGGACAAGAATCGCAAGCGCCAAGGCAGCGTTCACAAAGAAGAGAACGCTAATGATGAGCAAACTTTGTCTCCAATTGCGGAAGTGATTGATAAAGTCTGGAGCATAGCTCTTTACGGATCAGAAACATGGACTCCAAGAAAAACCGACAGCGGTTGTATTAAACAAGGGAGGGGAGGAAAATCGTTGATTTTGTCGTGTCCTCATACCATGTCCCTGGGGATCGTTCAAATATTACGTAAGCAGATTTATTACAATTATTCACTTCCCCCATCCCCCTTGTCAGCAAAAGTAAGCAAAGCTGTCACCAAAATGTCACCCAAAATAAGCAAATCAATAACCCCCCCCCCCCCCGCTCCCTTATAGTGCTTACGTAATATTTGAACGGCCCCCAACAAAACTTGGATAACACATATCCGAGAATTGGCCCATAAATGTCTAAATATCTTACTCGATTCTTTTTAAAAAAATATCTTCGACTAGGGATTTAACCATCATTTCCAGTTCTGCTTGCTTGTCAATTAATTCTGTATTTTTTTCATGCAAGGATTCCAAATGACTTTGATTCCTCCTACTTAAATTCTCAATTCGTCTTGATAAGCGATTAATTTCCAAATTCATTGTTTCCACAATGTCTGCTAATGCTGTCGTAATAGTTAGGCCTGGATAGATACATAAAAAAATCAGCAAAACAAATGGTAATTTTAAAACATTTTTTCAATGTTTCTACCAATGTATTAATTTTAATGTCTATAGACGATGTTTAAATGTGTCTGAAAATTCTTAATATGAACAAAAGAGTCTAGATATACATAAATGTATGTAAAATTGTATATGTGGCCTATTGGCAAAATTTAAAAATATACAATATTTAAAAAAATATCTACAAATGTCTACAAAACATTAAGATGTCTAAAAATGTCTAAAATATATAAATGTCTAAAAATATCTAAAAATCCATCAAAGAATCTATGTTTAAAAAAAATCTCACAAATTCAATTTACCTGCCAATGTTGCTGTATATCGTAAATGTTTTTGACTCAATCTTGATAAATGCTTCAAAATTGACGTCAGATTTTTTATAAGGAAACCATCATAAATCATTTTTTCTTCACCCAGTTGTATCATTTTTATAAGAAAATCTAAAAATCCATCAAAGAATCTATGTTTAAAAAAAATCTCACAAATTCAATTTACCTGCCAATGTTGCTGTATATCGTAAATGTTTTTGACTCAATCTTGATAAATGCTTCAAAATTGACGTCAGATTTTTTATAAGGAAACCATCATAAATCATTTTTTCTTCACCCAGTTGTATCATTTTTATAAGGAACAGACAAAAGTCAATTTTAAATCTGTGTTTTTTATTTTTAGTAATCAATGTAATAAATTCTTCATCTTTCTACAAAAAAAAGAATAAAAATAATAGAAGTGACACACTGCGAAAGAAGTGAAACTTCATAATGTGAAAATGAGACAGCCTTGCAAGGACTCCAGACAGCCTTGCAAGGACTCCAGACAGCCTTGCAAGGACTCCAACAGCCTTGCAAGGACTCCAGACAGCCTTACAAGGACTCCAGACAGTCTCTTGCAAAGACTCCAGACAGTCTCTTGCAAAGACTCCAGACAGTCTCTTGCAAGGACTCCAGACAGTCTCTTGCAAGGACTCCAGACAGTCTCTTGCAAGGACTTCAGACAGTCTCTTGCAAGGACTCCAGACAGTCTCTTGCAAGGACTGCAGACAGTCTCTTGCAAGGACTGCAGACAGTCTCTTGCAAGGACTGCAGACAGTCTCTTGCAAGGACTGCAGACAGTCTCTTGCAAGGACTGCAGACAGTCTCTTGCAAGGACTCCAGACAGTCTCTTACAAGGACTCCAGACAGTCTCTTGCAAAGACTCCAGACAGTCTCTTGCAAAGACTCCAGACAGTCTCTTGCAAGGACTCCAGACAGTCTCGTGCAAGGACTCCAGACAGTCTCGTGCAAGGACTCCAGACAGCCTTGCAAGAACTCCGGACAGCTTTGCAAGAACTCCGGACAGCCTTGCAAAAACTCCGGACAGTCTTGCAAAAACTCCGGACAGTCTTGCAAGAACTCCGGACAGTCTTGCAAGAACTCCAGACAGCCTTGCAAGAACTCCAGACAGCCTTGTAAGAACTCCGGACAGTCTGCAAGATCTTCAGACAGTGTGCAAGTCCTCAAAACAATCTGCAAGTCCTTCAGACAGTCTGCAACACCTCCAGATCATTTGTAACACTTTCAGACAATCTGCGATACTGTCAGACCGTCTACAAAGTTCTACAAAATATTCTACAAATTATGAAATAATCCACAACATTCAAAAAACATTTTACATTATAAAAAAATCTAAAACAATTTTCAACATTTTTAAACAATCAGCATTCCTAATCTATGGCATTTTTAAACAATCATTATTCAAACATTAGCTCACTTTGCATTGAACATTTAAAGCAACCTTGTTTGAAGTCGCCTAAAAAGTTTTACTTCAATAAAACATTGTGATATATTGCATTATCTATTATACCTCCACAAAATTTCCTTCTATTATGTTTGTCAGCGCATAATGCTCAAGTGTTTTTACCATTTCTGGGGTCACTTGAACACCGTTGAAAGCACTGGCATTTTCAAAAAGTTGTATCAGATCAGCCAATGCCTTGTACTTGTCTTTGAGGTACAACTCTGTCCAATTTCTGGCGATTTCCTGAAAACAGTTTTAAACAAGTTAATTTAGTTGAAGAATTTATAACTATTGTGCAGGAATACATGATTGTACTTGATACAGCAATTTTCTATGTATATATGATGACTGTGTTGTATTGTACTGAAAATGCCATGGAAAAAGCAGTTCATATGCTCGAGATCTTTCACAACTAGTTGGTGTTGGTATTTAGCCTTGAGGCAAGTTACATGAAATCAATATATTGATTAAGTCGATTATTTTCACATATCGGGAAGTTGATGTAACTTGCCTTATTATAATAAACAAATTAATTTATGAGTGATTAAAAGTATTCCGAGTGGATTTATTACACATAATTGAAAACGAACAAACACATGAACTCGGAGTATTTTCTAAAAGCAAATTTTCACAAATCAATAATTTTTATAATGGAACCAGTTTTCGTAGGACGTTAATGGTTTAGTATGTTCATTAAGACCAAGTACTCTATCGTTATACCAAGTAGATCATCTAATTTTAATTTTAACAAACGTCAACAAAGCTACTCATTTTCTCAAAGTTTGAAGAATTTTTAAAATTAAACTACTTGTTGTAAGGCCGTAATATTTCAGTAAGTTCTATAAGACCATGATATACATCGCCAAAGAAAGTTTCATAAAAATTGGCTTAATTTTTTTTAAAACAGTTAATTACAAGAAAAGGGCTCGGTAGATTCTCATCTAAAACTAATCAGTTTTATTCCCAACTAATATCTTTCGAACAGTTTTTGATTTTTTAAAATCGATTCGGTAGAATGAGCTTAAATGTGGACGAAAAATTTAACACTCTTTTTTAAATTACAAAGAAACGGCTCGACAGATCGTCTCACAAAACTGACAAACTATAGTGCTCATTGAGATACATCGAATGGCTTTTAAATTTCTGAAATCGGTTCAGGCGTTTTTGAGCAAACGTCGATGAAAGGTCTAACTTTGACAAATGCCAGAAAAAATGATACCAATTTTTACAAACTTTGACGAATTTTTAAAGCTAAATGAGTTGTTGTAGGGCGGTAATATTTTAGTATGATCTAGAAGACTATGGTATCTACCGTCAAAAAAAAATCAAAAAAATCGTCGAATTTTTTTTAAAAAAAACTTTATTACAAGAAAACGGCCCGGCTGATCTTTACCAAAAACTAATCAGCACGATTCCCAACCTATATCTTTTGAACGGTTTTGAATTTTCAAAATCGATTAAGAATTGCGGGCTAAAACGTGGACGAATTTTTTTTCACTTTTCGGCTATTTACAAAGAAACGGCTTGGATGATCGTTGCGCAAAGTTGATAAACGCTAGTCCACATCGAGATACATCGAATGGCTTTTAAATTTTTGAAATCAGTCCAGCCGTTTTTGAGAAAACGTCAATTTGCGGCAAAAAATCTGTTCACACACACACACATTCTTTTTCCAAATTTGGTCTCATTCGATTCAGAATGGCTTGAAACGTCGAGAAAACATAAAAATAGCTAATCGGATTTTTTTATGAAAACATAAACTTATTCTTCGGGAAGTTAATAAAATGGTTTAAATTCTATGAGAAGGCTAGCCCGTAGGTAAGCGGTTAAGAGCGATGGGACTTGTGTCAGAGGTCCTGGGTTCGATACCCACTTAGAGCAGGTTGTTGTCAAGCAGCAGTGACAACGATTTTCACTTGGAAATATAGATAGCAATATTTTTCCAAGTTAAAATAGACCTTGCCCGGCATTGCCGCACCAATAAAAAGTCAGCCCTATTAGATTAATTCTAATAACAAATCAATCCATCAAATATGGATGGATTGACCATTGGGTTACCATCTAAAAAATACGAAGTAAGGAGAAGTTTCAGCCCAACAGCTCAGAGGACATGAGGTTCAAGGTTGATTGCTGTTAAAAAAAAAGAAAAAAATCTATGAGAGCTTGCCTTGCATGCAACAAGTCATTCAGAATCGTTTGAGAACAAATTTTGGAAAAAGTATGTGTGTGAGCCGATTTTTGACTGCTGAACCGATTTCAAAAATTTTAAATGTTTTTGATGTAGCTCGACAAGGACTTGCTAAACAAAGTATGGGTGGTGTGTCTTTTTTTTCTATATCAAAGGAAATGAGTTTACCCATACCAGACCAGTAGTCTTTTAAAATTATAATTTCAAAGAAAGTCTCAGATGAATGCTATAGCAGAAAATGATAATATGTTATATATTATTATCTACTTTATTAAATATTTAAACTCACAGTCACAGACGAAATTCTATTATTTAAGGCTGTATAAAGGCTTAAATGATGCTCAATTTCAGAATCCTCAAAATCTCCAAACGAGTCCATTATTAATTATTTATTGGATATAAGAACACACGAAAGATACCTAGTATGGATTTTCTGAAAAGAAAAAATATATTAATATTTATTATAAAAGAATGAATGAAATTTATGTATATAATTATTAAATTAATAATGATTTATGCACGATCATAAATATTATAATAATCTATAAATACTAAGTAACATAAATATAAAAAAAAATAATATAACTTTAAGTTTGACTTTTTATAAATGCTGGTAACATCAATTTGTAAACAATTCAAGAACAGTCTGAAGTTGCTAAAGTGTTTTATTAAAAAAAAGAATATTATGTTTGCATTGTTTATTTTAATGTTTTAATATACGATTTTGATTTCATCATATTGTTATATTTATAGTATTTATAAATACTAAATACTAAAATTTTATGTCCTGAGTCAGTTTTTAAACAGTTCAAGAACCTAAAGTTGCTAAAGTGTCAACACGTTTTATTAAAAAAAGATAATATATTATATATTTGCGCAATATTTATTTTGATGTCTTAATACATGATTTTGATTCTCATCATATTGTTATATTTATAGTATTTAGAAATAATAAATACTAAAATTTTTTTGTAAGTTCTTGAATTGTTTAAAAATTTACACAAGTCATAAAATTTTAGTATTTAGTGTCTATAAATATTGTAAATAGAATTAATTCTACGATGAGAATTAAAATCGTGTATTAAAACATTAAAATAAACATTATGCAAATATAATATATTATTTATTTTTAATAAAACGTGTTGATACTTAGCAACTTCAGACTGTACATGAATTGTTTAAAAATTGTCTTAAGTCATAAAATTTTAGTATTTAGTATCTATAAATACTGCAAATACAATTAATTATACAAAGAGAATTAAAATCGTGTATTAAAACTTTAAAATAAACATTATGCAAATATAATATTATATTTATTTTTTAAAAAATGTGTCGACACTTTAGCAACTTCAGACCGTTTTTGAATTGTTTAAAAATTGACTCAAGTCATAAAATTTTAGTATTTAGTACGATTAAAATATAATAATAAATACATTTTTATCAAGTGTCAACACTTTTTATTTATTTTATTTTTGCTAATTTTAACAATCAGATTACAATACAATCTATAAGTCAAAAGTTATGATATTGAAAATCAAAATCAAGAAGAAAAAAAATAGAGCAAAAGGAATTAAAGAAAATAGAATAAATAAATAAATAAATTAATAAATAAATAATAATTAAAATAATAGTATTAATAATAAAAACTATAATCAATAATAAATAATAATTAAAAATAACTCGTTTAAAAACTTTCCTGTGCAAAACGTTTGCATAATGTTTATTTTAATGTTTTAATACACGATCTCGATTCTTCTTTTAATAATTAATTAAAAATTAATTACTTTAATAATTCAAAATTTTAAACAATTTGTTTTATTATAAATTTTATGTTGGCACTACCAAATGTTATATCCGAAGTTGTTCACACTTTTTAATAAGTGTTGTGTTAACGAACTGTCAAAAACGTTTCCTAAAAATAAATAATATATATAAATAAAATACATAATAAATATGTATTTAATATGTACGTAATGTTTATTCCAACGATTATAATTATTATTATATTATATACTATGACTAATAAGAATTATAGTAATTAAATACTGTGATAATTCACAAAATAAAAATGGTCTGTGAAGTTTTGTCTAAAAAACATGTCGGTAAGTATTATTTACTTTCATAAAAATGTATAAATATGCCTTGAAATGTTTAAATATCTATATGTTAGAGTCAATTAATGTCTCAAAAATCTGTAAAAATGCATAAAAACGTAAACAATACGAATTCAGATTCATGTATTCAAATAAAATTTTCAACTCGTCATTTCGAATAAAATATGTTTACTGTCACTAAATGCAATTTACAATTTATCAATTTCAAATTTATAATGTAATTGTTATAATTGTAGTGCACGAATACGAACATACCTTGCATGTTCTGAAAGAGCATCCCATATTCTCAAAACAAAATTTTCTTAATAGAATCACTTTTCATAGGCCTATAGTATTTTACAATGCTGTGTACTCTTTCAAAACGCAAATTTCATGTAAAGAAACGTTTTGGAAGAAACGAAGTAGCAGATCTTACAATTATCCAAAAAATAATGCTTATGCAAGTTTTACAACATAATATAAACTAGTGGGGCGCATGGGATCGTGCCTTAAGGCAAATTGCTGGAACTTCCCGTACCAAAAGTTATTTTTTTTTTAAAAGATTAACATTTTTGAAAAAAATTTACTCTGAAATAATAAGATTTTTGAGAAACTATAAATTTTTGACAAAAATGATTGAAAAAAACAAGACTTTTTGAAGAAAAATTTATTTTGAAATATTTTGGAAATTCTGAACTTTTTTCAAAACAATCGTACTGCTTTAACTGCATAGAGAAGAAATAACAAAGCGCATAAGCGCCGCGTCGCCGTTTAACGGATAAACATTGGTACGGAACCCATAGAAATGTAAACAAAATTTATACTTGTTAAAATCTCTATAAAATATCTGATAATTTGATGTGCATATGTCTAATTATCATTTTTGACCGCCAAATGGCATTTTTTTTACTTTTTTCACTGGATCTCCGAAACCGCTAGACCTGCCTTCATGAATATTTGATCAGTTCTTCACCTTGTCAATACAAGTAAAATGTTTTCTGAATTATTGAAATCGGACGCCCCGTTCTCTTAAAAACTATGTTACCATTTTTGGCACTTTTTGCCCCGTATCTTCGGAACCGCTAAACCTGCCTTCGCCAAAAACTAATCAGCACTTCTCCTTATCAACACGAATCGAATGTTTTTTTAATTATTCAAATCGGTTGATCGGTGTTCCCGAAATCGTCGACAAAAATTCGTATCCGCACACACGTACATACACGCACACACACACACACGTAAATCCATTTTTCTAAGGTATGCCAAAATGTTCAGAAGGTTTTGAAACGTAAAGATATATAAAAATTTTCGTTTTCGATTTTTTTGCGATTACTATAACTTACCCTACGGAAAGTTAAAAAAAAAACAAATAAATAAAAAAAAACAAAAAGATTTTCTGAAAACTTTGGAAAAAATGAGATTTTTGCAAGAAAGCAAGAACTTTTAAAATCTAAAAATGTATAGAAATGCAGAAAAATAACAAAAATTTTCTTAGGCCAAATAGCGTAATATACGGAACAGGAACATGCTACAAAGTATGAATTAAGCGAGAAAATGTATTAGGCGGGAAAATGTATCAAGCGGAAAAACGTATTAAGCGGGAGAACATATTGAGCCAGAAAACGTATTAAGCATGGACGTCTTCATGGGATTCGACTGAATATGGAAATGTCTACAAATTGGTATAATTATACTTAAGTGACTATAAATATCTAAAAATCTCTAAAAATATATATCTATGTGTGTGTGTGTGTATGTGTGTGTGCGGATACAAATTTTAGTCGACGATTTCGGGAGCACGGTTCAACCGATTTCAACATTCAATTGCTGTTGATAAGGAGGCGTGCTGATTAGTTTTTGGCAAAAGTAGGTCTAGCCGTTTCGAAGAAACGGGGCAAAAAGTGCCACAAACGGTAACTCAGTTTTTAAGAGAACGGAGCGTCCGATTTTAATAATTCAAAAAACATTTTACTTGTATTGACAAGATGAAGAACTGATTAAATTTTTGGTAAGGCAGGTCTAGCGGTTTCGGAGATCTAGTTAAAAAAGTAAAAAAAAAAATGCCATTTCCCGGTCAAAAATGATCATTATACATATGCACAACAAATTATCAGATATTTTATAGATATGTTAACAATAAGTATAAATTTTGTTTACATTCCTATGGGTTCCGTACCAATATTTATCCGTAGACGGCGACGCGGCGCTTACAAGCTTCGATATTTCGTCTCAATACGGTTAAAGCAGTACGATTGCTTTGAAGAAGAGTTCAGAATTTTCAATATATTTCAAAATAAAAAAAAACATTTTTTTTTCAAAAAGTCTTTTTTCCAAAAAAATTTAAAAAAATAAATTTATAGTTTCTCAAAAATCTAATTTTTTCAAAAATATTAATCTTTTTTAAAAAAAATTTTTTTTGGTACGTTCAGAATTTTAAATATATTTCAAAATAAAGAAAACTTTTTTCAAAAAGTCTTTTTTCCAAAAAAAAATAAAAATTTATAGTTTCTCAAAAATCTAATTTTTTCAAAAATATTAATTTTTAAAAAAAAAAAATTTTTTTGGTACGTTCAGAATTTTCAATATATTTCAAAATAAAGAAAACTTTTTGCAAAAAGTCTTTTTTCCAAAAAAAATCAAAAATTTATAGTTTCTCAAAAATTTATTTTTTCAAAAATACTAATCTCTTTAAAAAAAATTTTTTTTGGTACGTTCAGAATTTTCAATATATTTCAAAATAAAGAAAACATTTTTTTTCAAAAAGTCTTTTTTCCCAAAATATAAAATAAAAAATCAAAAATTTATAGTTTCTCAAAAATCTATTTTTTTTCAAAAATATTAATCTTTATTAAAAAAATAATTTTTGGTACGGGAAGTTCCAGCAATTTGCCTTAAGACACGATGCCATGTGCCCCACTAGTTTATATAAATATTATAAAATTTCTAGAAGCATTTTAAAAAGTATCATAAAATAAATGATACAATATTTTTAGAAGCGTCAAGAAATATTAACCTCGAACTTTCAGATTTAATTTTAATATATCAATATTTCCTACATTATTATCAATAAATAATGTTATGTATTATCGTTGTAATATTTTTAACTTAATATTATGTTAGATGAATGCTTAATATATACGCACTTACTCAGTTATTCCTAAAAATATTAAATTTAATTTATCGTATTTTATGTATCGTATTATAATATTATATCTTTCTCCCTTGAATGCTGCGATTAGAAAGACGAACGACCACTAAACTACCACCTTCTGCGACCTTGCGATCGGGTAACATCGTTAAACTTCGTCCGACCGACGTGTGTCCGACGTTGCCAAATATTTGCAAACACACCGGATATAGCAGCAGCAGCAGCATATACACCGGAGAAAATTTGCGCAATTGGAATGATCACAGAAATTACATGAAAATTTTTTAATTTACCAGTTAACTGTGAGTATCATAGATAAATAAGCATGGAGTAGTGGCAGTATGTTGTTTATTGACGAATATACTCGTCATGCGTATAAACTGATGACTATTATGGCTATTTAACTTGAAAAGGACTAGTCGTAAGTGTCATTTTTTTATTTTGGTGAGGTGCATAAATACTCCGATATGTATAAATAATCGATTCTAATAATAATATTTGGTCCTGTTTACCTGCCTACCTGTCTGTCTGACATTCTGTCCACTGGCTTATTATCTGATGTCTATCAGTTTATTAGTCTACCGGAGTCTATCTGTTTACATATCTTAATTTCTACTGTTTTACCTGAATATATTATTATATACTCCTATCTACCTGTCTGCCTGACTACCTGTCCACTAGAATATACACGTCATGCGTATATACTGATAACTATTGGCTATTTGAAAAAAAAACTTACAAAAAATTCGTAAGTGTAATTTTTTTTGGGGAGGTGCATAAATATTTCGATATGTGTAAATAATCGATTCTAATAATAATATATGGTCCTGTTTTCCTGCCTACCTGTCTGTCTGACCTCCTGTCCACAGGCTTACCTGATGTCTATCAGTTTATTAGTCTACCAGAGTCTTTCTGTGTACATGTCTCAATTTCTACTGTTTTACCTGAATATATTAATATATGCTTCTCTCTGCACTACCTGTCCACTATTTTACCTGCTGTCTATCAGTTTATTAGTCTACCAGAGTCTATCTGTCTACATGTCTCAATTTCTATAGTTTTACCTGATTATCTTGTCTATTTGTCTGCCGGTTATTACTACCTACCTGCTTACCTGTCTACCTGTTTACCAACAATGATTTGTAAAGATACCTTCATAAATCCTCATTATTGATATCATATATCACATTAAATAAATTGATGACTAATGACTATTTAGCTTGCAATTTTTGTGAAAGACCTAGTTGCAAGTGGAATTTTTCCTTTTGGCGAGTAGCATAAACCCTCCGATATTTGTAAATAATCGATTCTAATAATAATATATGGTCCTATTTACCTGTCTACCTGTCTGTCTGACATTCTGTCCACTAGCTTATTATCTGATGACTATCAGTTTATTAGTCTACCGGAGTCTACCTGTCTACATGTCTCAATTTCTAATGTTTTACCTGATGATCTGATACCAGCTATAACTGTCAACCTGCTTACCTGTCTACCTGTTTACCAATAATGAAGATTTGTATAAAAATATCTTTACAAATCCTCATTAATTGATATCATATCATATATTAAATAAATTGATGACTATTGGCTAATTAATTAGCAATTTTTCAAAAAGACTAGTAGCAAGTGGCATTTTTTCTGTATAATGTGTAATTTTTTTAAATTTATATTCGGGCAACCTGTTTACCTGACTACCTATCCATTAGCTTGTCTGTCTATCAGTCCATTATAATCTATCAGAATCTATCTGTCTAATGTCCTAATTTCTAATGTTTCCTCTGATTATCTGTCTACCATTTAAAACTGCCAATCTGCTTACCTGTCTACTTGTTTACCAATAATGTTAGTTACCAAATCCTCATTATTGATACCATATCATATTAAATAAATAGATGACTATTGGCTATTTAACTGGCGATTTTTGTAAAAAAAACCAGTTGCAATTGGCATTTGTCCTTTTGGCGAGTTGCATAAACACTCCGATATGTGTATATAATCAATTCTAATAATAATATATGGTCCTATCTACCTGTCTGCCTGACTACCTGTCCACAAGCTTACCTGATATCTATAAATGAAGTAGCGCTTAACAAAACAGCCTTAAGCTGGGGTCTATTTAAATAAATTAATGATATTTAAATAAAACTCCTCGTTTAAAAGTTTGCAAGGGATGTAATAAATAAATGTACAAATACATTGATGCACTGTAAATAATACAGCTGACTAATAATTTTCAAACAACTTGTTCCACATCACCAAAAACACTTGAAAAAAATTTATATATTTTTTTATAAAACATCACATTGTTTATATATATAAATATACGCAGCAGAGCCCAGTTTGAATATCATGAATTTAAATACATTAAAATTTATCCATTTGAATCATAATAAATTCATCTCAAATAGTATCCTTTTTCCCAGACTCTGCTGTTACTATAAAAATGTACTTTAATATTGATTAAATATAAATCTTAATGACCAAACAAGTATTTTTTTTTTAATTTTCCAAACCGTTTCCTTCCAAATTGATCACCATCACATCATTCATTGATGATTGACATTTATTGAATCATCATCTACAGCAGTCTTGAGTATTATCAGTTCCTTTCGATAAATATTAATTGTTAAGTAAGATTAATTTAAATTTGTTTCGATTAAAAGTTATAAATAGAGGTTCACGCTTGAGTGGTGAGTGGAGAGTGGATGACGATTGTCTGAAAAGATAATAAATAGAATTATAATTATAAATTATAATAAAAGAACAAATATTTTGACAACAATTTAATTGTAGTAGGATTTATTGGAGCTATAGTAAAACATATTATTTTTAAATTATTACTGCAGAAGTTCTCTGAACACATTTTGAATACTTATTGAAAATTTAATAAACAAACCGCAATTTTGCCATTTTAAAGCACGCCGAATGGCTATAGGGCAGTGTGGCAAAGTACAATATTGTAGATAATTTAATTTTGCGCCAATCTCTCTCATACACCATTAATCTTGACTAAACGGTTCAAAAGTTACATTACAAATACTAATAAATCATCTACTCACCACTGATCCTCCTCAACATATCAACAATCCCTCCCGCCCTTTCCTCTCCATCTCCGTCATCCCCATCCACTTCCATCCTCCATCATCAAACACCATCACCACCCTGTCCAGCACCACCAACTCCTCCTCCCGCTCCTGCTCCATCAAATTCCACCTGATACAGTCCAGCAACTCCGTCCTCCTGCTCCTGGCCCACCCTCTCCATTGGAGGATTGACGTTGACGGCCACGAAGTTCCCGTCGGCGTCCAATTCTAAAACAGGATCGGCCGTAGCCTCCGCTAGATTGGTGACCGATTTGGATTTGACGCACTGGAAGTCGACGTGGCGGCTTTTGGCCTCCTCCTTTTCCCAAGACATATGGATGAAGGGGCGCTGCACGTAGTTGTAGATGACCTCGGGGCGGCCGCCTGGACGCTTCTTAACCTGGGGGATAAAGGATAGATGATGGTGAAAATGAAAACTAAAAAGCATAAATTGGATATTTAAATTCTCTTATAAAAGTAATTTTTTACCTTCTCTTTATACGTTGGATACCCTTCAATGCCCAATCGAATCTTTTTCAACCCTCGTTCCTTCAGTACTTGCTTGGCTACATCCCTGTTCTCGATATATTTGAAGAAACGATACATGGCAGTGCTCAGCACAGCTGAAAAGGGAAAAGGACACATTAAAATCATTTGTATAAATTAACCATCATAATTAGCATAGCAAACTGTATATTATTATATCAATAATAATAATCAAATGTAATAAATGAATTAGTGGTGTATGGCATCGTGCCTTAAGGCAAATTGCTGAAACTTGCTGCTGGTACCGTAAAGAAATATTCAAGGAATATTAAATGTTTAAAATAAATTATTATAAATACTATAACCTTCATTATTCTTATTTTATAGACGAATTGGACGTCGACATTTATATAATCTAAAGATAAAACCTTATCTCATATTTCTAAGAATTATATAAACTGAATTGCAAAGTTGAAATTGTTTATTTGAAGTATATAAGTGAGCTTTAGAACTTTAACTAGAATTAAAATTAATATCCGACTTATTTTCTATATCCAAAAAAATATATTTTATGGAAATAAAAACAAAAAAACTGAAATAAAAAAGTATCTTTTCTAAAAAGCAATTGTTTCGTCAACATAAGAAATAAGTTTTTTGAATCAATCAAATCGGATGCTTAGTTCTCTCAAAAACTGCTATTTTTTGCACATTTATTTCCGTATCTCCAAAACGGCTGGACCTGCCTTTGTCAAAAACTAATAACCACTTCTCCCCATCATTACAAATTGATTTTTTTTTAGATCATTCAAATAAAATACTCCATTCTCTCAAAAATTCCATTTCTATTTTTGGCACTCTTTGCTTCGTATCTCCGTAACGGCTGAACCTGCCTTTCCCAAAAACTAATCAACACATCACCCTATCACTAGGAACCGAATTAGCACAAAAGCGCAACTTTTTCGTCCACGTTTTAACCAAAAATTCTGAATGGAAATTGAAATTTAAAAATTTAAATTCAAAAGATAATATTATTAACATATAACTATGGCTGCCAACAATCATAAAAGCAGAATAGACGTCCATCCTAACCAACTTGCATTTCGTGTATACCAGAATGCCACCTGATCAGACTTGAAATAAAAATACCTGGAGACCTATGGATATAGTTTAACTATAATACTTCCATTTTACTATTTTTTCCCTTTGTTTTTAGTTTTTTTTTTATTATATTAGCTCTAGTAGCTACGCCACTGAGGATATCTACTAATTTGTAATCAACTAATTTATCATATACTTGTCAGCAGTCTCTGCTTAATGTACTAAAAAATACAGATTGCAGAATAAAATTGAATAAAAAAAATATTTGGGAATTATGCTGATTAGTTTTTGACTAAAGTTGGTCAAACCAGTTCTTTGAAATCCAATGAATTTAATAATACTTGAACCTGGTCTTAATGAACATACTAAAATATTATAGTCCTACGATTATAAGTGGCTCAATTATAAAATTTAATTAAAACTTAGACTATTCGGCCTTGCTTTCAGAAAACACTCCGTGCATAAATTAGGAACATGTTCGTTTTTCAGTAATGTGTAAAAAAATTGTACAAAAATAAATAATCAGCAATAGTTTTTCACCACATTATATTGCTCCAAAGCAACATGGTATATTTATAAATCATTCATAAACTAGTGGGGTGCATGGCATCGTGCCTTAAGGCAAATTTCTGGAACTTCCTGTATCGTAATTAAAATTCTTGGTACGGAACCCAAAAAAAATTACACAAAATGTGTACACATTATTAAAATCTCTATAAAATATCTGACAATTTGATGTGCATAAGTCCAATAAACATTTTTGACCACCAAATGACATTTTTAGAACTTAAATTACATAACCGCTAGACCTGCCTCCCCAAAAATTTAATCAGTTCTTCATCTTGTCAATACAAGTAAAATGCTTTTTGAATTATTAAAATCGGACGTTCCGTTCTCTTAAAAACTGAGTTACTGTTTTTGGCACTTTTTGCCCCGTATCTTCGAAACGGCTAGACCTGCCTTCTCCAAAAACTAATCAGCACGCCTCCTTTGAATTTTTTTTTTGAATTATTTCTGAATTATTCATATTGGTTGATCGGTGTTCCCGAAATCGTCGACGAAAATTTGTATCCTAACATACACACACATACATCCATTTTTTCTAAGGTATGCCAAAATGTTCAGAAATCTTTGAAACGTAAATATATATAAAAATTTCATTTTTGATTTCTTTGCGATTACTATAACTTACCCTGTGGGAAGTTAATTAATATATTGATTTTTTTATTAATTAAGTTGATTAATTAAATAAATCAGAAAGTTTATGCAACTTGTTTTAAGGCAAAATGCCACTTACAACTAGTTAACAACTTTTTAGAAATCTTTTTAGAAAACTAGCATTTTTATTCTATAAACTCTTTTTATCTCTCTAAACATAACTGACTTTGAATTAACCATACAATTAATCATAATTATTTATTTATCTACTCATAAGCAAACCATAATCAATAGCAATAAATATCATTTTATCCTCTTATCATATTCATGCATCCCTTTGTTATACATCCATTAATACTATATTTATCCTTTACTCACTTTGCGAATACTCTTCTCCCATTTGTGGAGGGTACTCCTCGTCCCAGTCAACAGAGTCATCATCGAGCAAAACAACAACATGACATTCACGGTCACCTCTCTGTGCAGAATTTACCATCAGGGGTAGAATTAATTCCTCTAAAAACACTTCAAATTGACATCTTGCTCCTTCATTGCTTAATTCGTGTAACAAACCACCTGGTAAAAAATAATACAGATAAATAAAAGGTATAAGATGCCAAGGTTGTGATAATTATTATTTTTATAGTCAATGTATTTCCTTTATATTTATATTTATATATTTACATTGACGCGTGGAAGACTTACGAAGATTTTGACAGCGCACAGTCTGTGCATCGAAGGGCACCAGCAGATAATCACAAGCTTCTCTCAATTCCTGCACAGAAACTGTAGGTGGGCAGCGTATTAAGCCCCCTTTGTAATAATCCAGTATAGCACGGAAAACCATTGCAGAAATGCCTTCAGCCACCTGGAAGTAAAAATAGTATGAAACATATATCTTATATATAAAATTCTTCTGTGATGGGGTATGAGAGGTTAATTCTCCTGAACGATTATTCGGATTTTCATAAATCTTCCTGAAGTTTGTTAAGGGAATTTTCTAGGATTTTTTGATTTATAGAAATATAGTTAGATTGTAGAAATAAATGGGAAAAATTACAAAAAACCGCCTATAATTGTTTGACTTTGAAAATATTTGAGGCATAGTTTGACATTAAAAGCAAATTAAGGCTGTCATTTGCCAAACATTTTAATTCACCCTATAAGCTAAGGCAATATTAAAATATAATATATTTATGATTATAAATACGAACTAGCTGTAAGTGGAATTCTGTCTTGAGGCAATTATAGCATCGTGCCTTAAGGCAAATTGCTGGAACTTCCCGTACCGTAACGAAATATTCGAGGAATACTGAATGTTTTCAAATAGATTATTATAAATATTGTAACATTGTCTAATATTCATAAGAATTATATGAACTGAATTGCCAAGTTGAAATTATTTGTAAAGTATATTAGAACTTTAGTCAGAATTAAAAATTAAAAAAAAAAAAAAAAGTTGGAACAAAATTTTTTTTTCCAAAATTAATTATTTTGTTAAGACAAGCAGAAAGTTCTTTGAATCATTTAAATCGGACGTATAGTTCTCACAAAAACTGCCATTTTTTACACATTTAGCGACGTATCTTCGAAATGGCTGGGCCTGCCTTTGCCAAAAACTAATAAACACTTCTCCCAATCATTACTAATTGAATGTTTTTTAGATCATTCAAATCGGATACTCCGTTCTCTCAAAAAGTCGATTTCTATTTTCTGCACTCTTTGCTTCGTATCTCCGAAACGGCTGGACCTGCCTTTGCCAAAAACTAATCAGCTCTTTTCACTATCAATAGGAATCGAATGTTTTTTGAACCATTCAAATCGGTTGATCCGTGCGCCCGAAAACGTGACTGGATATTTGTATCCATACATACATACACACACACACACACACACACCCATTTGTTCTGAAGTATGCCAAAACGTTCAGAAACCTTCAAAACGTCGAGAAATGTAAAAATTTTCAATTCCGATTTTCGGCCCATTACAATAACTTACCCTACGTGAAGTTAAAAATGTAATGTCTACATTATTATTGCCGTAAAGCAGCTGAGATGTGCCAAAAATTAAAATAATATAAGATACATTATATAATACATTATATATTTGGTACATAAAGTGACTTTATAATTAATTGGACAAATCATTATTTTTTAACTAATGCAGTCGTGTTTTGCCTTACTTTACTGAATCATAATGCAAAAACAATTTACTTATTCAAAAAATTATTTAGAAGTTTCATTGTGTCAAAAATTCATAGGTTTGGCATTGGATACGGAATATTTACTCAAGTCAATGGAGCGTTTTGGGTCTGAATATTTTTACTGTGCTCCAATTTGCATGAAATTTTGGAGTTAAGTTCACCTTACTCTCAAGTTTAAAAGTTAAAATAATTTAGACTCCTTTGCCACTTCCCAGGTGGATAACATTTCTTCTCAGTGGTACAATTTTACTTTTTTCAAAATAACGTTGGGTATGGATAAAAGAACTAATTAGAAGAGAAAAATGTTTAATAATGTTTTTCAAAAAAACAAATACTTTTCATGTTACTGGCTACTGAAAATTCTTTCCTTTTTAACTTTCCATATAGATAGTAATCGCAAAAAAATCGAAAATGAAAATTTTTATATATCTTTACATTTCAGAGGTTTCTGAATATTTTAGCATACCTTAAAAAAAATGGATGTATGTGTGTGTGCGTGTGTATGTGTATGTGTATGTGCGTGTGTGTGTATGTGTGTGGATACAAATTTTCGTCGATGATTTTGGGAATACGGATGAAGCGATTTGAATAATTCAAAAACATTCGATTCGTATTGATAAGGAGACGTGCTGATTAGTTTTTGGCAAAGGCAGGTCTAACCATTCCGAAGATAAGAGGCAAAAAGTGGCAAAAACGGTGACTCAGTTTTTAAGAGAACGGAGCGTCCGATTTGAATAATTCATAAAGAATAAGTAAAAACATTTCACTGGTATTAACAAGATAAAGAATTGATCAAATTTTCATGAAGGCAGGTCTAGCGGTTTCGGAGATCTAGTGAAAAAAGTAAAAAAAATGCCATCTGGCGGTCAAAAATGATCATTAGACATATGCACATCAAATTATGAGATATTTTATAAACATTTTAACAATAAGTATAAATTTTGTTTACATTCCTATGGGTTCCGTACCAATGCTTATCCGTTAGACGGCGGCGCGGCGCTTTCGCGCTTCTATATTATGTCTCTATGCAGTTAAAGCAGTACCATTGCTTTGAAAAAAAGTTCATAATTTCCAAAATATTTCAAAATACACTTTTCTTCAAAAAGTCTTTTTTTCAAAAAAAGTAAATTTTTGTCAAAAATTTATAGTTTCTCAAAAATCTAATTTTTCAGAGTAAATTTTTTTCAAAAATGGTAATCTTTTTAAAAAAAAATAATTTTTGGTACGGAAAGTTCCAGCAATTTGCCTTAAGGCACGATGCCATGCGCCCCACTAGTTAGCGTTTTTTATCGTATTTTGCGAATATCTTTAAAAATATACCTTTTAACAAAAATCATGTGATGAACAAACTTCTCAATTTTACATCACTTATATATTGGTGTAAATAGTAATTCAAAAAACAATAATTATTATTGTTAACTGAATGGTAAATATTAGTATAGGATAGTAAAAAAACGTAGATGTGGGTACAGGACAACGTCTGTTGGGTCATCTAGTGTATCTATATATTGTCTATTTATTACCTTGAACTCTCCCCTTTCATTAGGATGTGTAAACTCCAGTCCCGAGCTAAACATCCTCCCCAGCATTGTATCAGGATGTGCAGTAAACAAAGCAGGATCTAATATAAACCTCGTGTTGTCAACGATCAATGTAACTCTATCCTCATTATTCGAAGGCTGATTGAGCCCTGAACTTCCAGGCTGAGAACTAGTACTTGAAGCCATATTGGGACTCTTTGAAGACGGTTGTAACACGCTCATTTGTTTGGGGCCTGTAGGGTGTTTGAGATTAGATTTGCTTGTTGGTATTTCAGAATCTTGGAGACGACTGAAATGGACAAGTGAAAGTTGTAAAAATGGGATTTGTGTATTGATTAAAGTATTTATTACCTACCCCAGGCGATTTTTGTAAACTCTGGCCCTCCTTTCTTCACTTTCGTGATCTGTATCGCTGCTGCTATCGTGGTAATAGAAACGATCCTTCGAAGGGCCTCCGGACATTTTTGCCCAGGATGGTTTATTCAAACAAATAAAGCACAGGCACTTTTTGAAAAACAGTGCCGTGCTTTATCCAATTTATGTTTATCTATTAGAGAGTAATTAAAACATTATAGGCGTTTGGAAATTTAAAAAAACATTTGGGACTTGTACAATATTAAGTCCAGATTGACAAGTTAAACCGAGAGAAAATCATTTTCTATTGTTGGAGCACCATAAACAACAAGTATTTTAGCGTTTTTAGTAAATTTTAACTTAAAATTGTATTAATAAATGTGTGAAATGACACAAAAGCACTAAATTTGTGATTTGATACAAAAATTCTTTCTTAATTTGACAGTTTAGAATTAGTTCAAGATGGCGGGAACTGTCAAGTTTAGTAGGCGGGATTTTTAAAATTGATTAAAATATTTATAAAATACACAAATAAAACACAAACATAAGCATTCTTCGAAAAACAATATTAACCTTCATCTAACATAAGTTTATTAACACGAAAAAAATCAAAACGTCATTAAAAAATAATTAAAACTTGCACAATGATAAGTTTAACCGGGGTGACAAAAACATTTTTATTGATGGAGCACTAGGAAATTTAAGATTTTATTGTAATTAATCCGTTTTATCTTAATACTATTTTATTAAATATTTTAAAAAAAATACTAAATAAGTGGTTTCAAGTGGTTTATTACAAAAATTCTTTCCTAACTTGACAGTTTAAAATTGATTCAAAATGGTGAAAACTGTCAAATATTTTGCGGGAATTTTGAAATCGTTTAGGTTACTCATTTATTATTTAATTATATTTATTTTCCTAGACAATATTAGAATACGATATATTCCTAGTTTATTTTATCCCAAATTTAGTATTTAATATATAATAAAAATTGACCTGAATTAATATTATAAATATAATAAATAATATAATATCCAGAAAATATTATTTATGTTATGTTACTAATATTAATTAGATAATTTTTTATATATTATTATCAATTCATATATAAAGTCTTTAATGCAATCAATACATCAAATAAAAGAAAATTTAATATGAAGTATGCATAATTTAATAAGTAATAAAACCGCAAATAGCACAACTCAATATCAATAATTTTGTGAACTTGAATGACTAAAAATATTATGAGAAATCATATTTTATAAATGAATCATCTAAGGTCTGTATCTATCTCCAAACAAATTCTGTTTATAATTTCAGTTACTACGATGTTAACTTTGCTTTTCTTTAAAATTACTACCATTATCGTTTATATTTTTTTATTGCTCAGTTAACTTCTTCAGACTAGATGTTTTTTTTAAACTATTTCTTGTAAATCTTTCACATTTATATCATCTAGACTGATTTGTTTCACAAAGTTCCACAATAGAACTAGAAAAATCTTCGGGCTGAAATAAAAAGTTTTTTAAATGAAGCAGTGATGAACAAATAGTACAGTCTTACTGTATTTATAGCAAAATTTTCACATTTATATCATCTTAACTGATTTGTTGCACTAAGTTCCACTATAGAATTAGAAGAATCATCGGGCTGAAATAAAAAACTTTTTAAATAAAGCAGTGATGAACAAATAGTACAGTCTTACTGTATTTATATTAAAATTTTCACATTTATATCATCTAAACTGATTTATTTCACGAAATTCCACAATAGAATTAGAAGAATCTTCGGGCTAAAATGAGAAGCTTTTCAAATGAAGCAGTGATGAACAAAAGTACAGTCTTACTGTATTTATATGAAAATTTCCACATTTATATCATCTAAACTGATTTGTTTCACTTAGTTCCACAATAGAACTAGAAGAATCTTCGGACTGAAATAAAATGCTTTTTAAATGAAGCAGTGATGAACAAACAGTACAGTCTTACTGTATTTATATTAAAACTTTCACATTTAAATCATCTTAACTGATTTGTTTCACTAAGTTCCACAATAGAACTAGAAGAATCTTCAGACTGAAATAAAAAGCTTTTTAAATGAAGCAGTGATGAACAAACAGTACAGTCTTACTGTATTTGTAATAAAACTTTCACATTTATATCTTCTTAACTGATTTGTTTTACTAAGTTCCACAATAGAATTAGAAGAATCTTCAGGCTGAAATAAAAAGCTTTTTAAATGAAGCAGTGATGAACAAACAGCACAGTCTTACTGTATTTATATTAAAATTTTCACATTTATATCATCTAAACTGATGATTTGTTTCACTAAGTTCCACAATAGTATTAGAAGAATCATTGGGCTAAAATAAAAAAAACTTCTTAAATGAAGCGTTTCATTAAACAGTACAGTCTTACTGTATTTATATGTGTATAATAATTGAAACCAAACCACTCATTACTTTAGAAAACCATTTATTCGTTCTTTCATAATATATATAGCATTACATCTGATGTCTTCATTCATTCCATTATATATTTATATAAAATCTACTTTGAAAAGTTTGCATTGATGTAATGGTATAAGACAACTAGGAGGAATAAAGAAACCCCCAGAATGTTGGAGAATATAGCCAGTTGAACGTCTGTGATCATTCTGAAACAAAAAATAAAGGATTTATTGTAAATATTATAGACAAAGACACTGAGAGTAGATTTAGCTGATGATGTGAATGTGAGAAACAAAAAATAAGTCTCTTATTAAAAAATAAGACAAATCCTGCACCATAGTTCAACACTGCGTAATCATATATCATACTTTTGAAGACTTTTGAAAAGGGCTCATTATAAACATTACAGACAAAGACACTAAGAGTGGATTTAGATAACGATGTAAATGTAATAGACAATGCTTATTGAAATTTGCATTATTTGAAAGAAATAGCCTTAAATTAAGCTTACAAATTTCCTGGAAAATGCTTCAGTGTCTAATCATATATAATACTAAACTAAGTGAATTTAAAATGCTATTGGATTATGTTTATGATATATTCATGAGAGATAGAATTTATTTAACATATTGCTAGAAGTTTACTCAAATATGCTTGTTTCGAAAAGAAAGTTTGATATAATAGCATATCAAGTTATATACAAATCCTACGTTGTCTGATCATATATAATCCTAAATTAATACTATTATATAATAATAAAATGCTAAGAAATAATAATACCGAGTGCTTCAAAAAAATATATACACACTTTAAACTATTTTAGTTTTATCTAAGAGATTCAAGCAGCGTGTAGAGAAATCTCATTGGACGTTTTGATACAATATACAGAATCAGTGGTGACTCGTACTAAGAATTGTATTGATGCTGCAGGTCACCAATTTGAACAGTATAAGATTTGCTATTTATATTTCATTTACATTGAATTTTCAGCTGTCTATTTTCCTAAAATTTAACTTTGTAGAACGGTAAATAAATTTTCTATGGAAGTTCAAAGTGTGTAAACATTTTTTGAAACACCCTGTAGTATTTTTTAACTGTATTTATCCTTACTTGCAGAATCCTTATCAGTTCGCCAACAAATTTACAAATATCTATTTACACAATTGTCCTGTAGCAATGACGATTGCACTTGCTAAAAGCTAAAAGATTAAATTTTTAAATTATAATAAAAATTTGCTATATCTACAAGTAGAAATAAATATATAAATTACACAAATACCTTGTATATTTATATGAAAACTTCTAGATGAGTGTCGTGTCATCTGTCAGTTGGCGTCATCAGTGTTGCCAGATTTGAAAAAATGAAACGTCAAAATAGAGAAGTTAACTTTGGGAGGGAAATTTGAAATTTATAACATTAGGGAAAATTTAAATTTGTAACCGTTTTGGGCAAATTACATTATTTTTGAACAATCTACAGCATTTTTAGTGGATCTATAAGACTTTCAAATCATTTACTACATTTTTAATCAGACAATCTAAAATATTTTCAGACAATTTGCAAATGTTTCTAAACAATTTTGAAGAGTTTCATTTAAAAAAAAAACGTTATAGATTAATAAAAAACATTAGTTTTTTCTTAAAAACAGATTAATTTAAAGCATAAATATGTTAAATTTTATTTATTATTAACTTAAAAACAATATAGATAATATAAATAAGAAAAACATAACATATGCAAAGATAATATTATCCTTTACACATGCTGTCAGGATAATTTGGTTGTTGTATACTTATTTATAAAATAAATAATAATTTATAACAGATATTAAATCTGGTAATTCAATCAATAAATTTTAAATTTTACATCTCGCAGCTTGATACATAAAAACCTACAAAGATTTTTAAGAATCAAGCATTAATAATAATCCATTACACATGCTGGCAGGATAATTTGATTTTTGTATATTTATTTATAAAATAAATAATTTAAAACAAATATTAAATCTAGTAATTCAATTAATGAATTTTAAATTATATATTGCTCTGCTTGAAATATAAAAACCTATAAAGATTTATAACAATCAAGCATTAATTATCATACGGTAAACAATTATATTACAAAAATAATAATAATTGTAATACATATTATGTATATATAAAATAATACACAAATGTGCCAAATTGCTTGATGTGCCAATCTCAATACTTTACATTTTTTTATAATAAATGAATATTTTTTGAGTACAGTATACAATAAAATATAAACTCATTCAAACAAGTACAAAAGTCGTCTTAAAGATCACCCAAACAATACTATCTGATGGTTTTTTAAAGCTATTTTATTCCTAAAATTTTACTTGTTTTTTGAAGATAAGTCTCAAAATTATTGCATAAAAAATAAATATATTTTGGCTTTTAATAACCAACTGTTTATTATTCATTTTATTATATCTATGAATAATTTTGCACAACAACCATCTTGATGTTCACATATAAATTATATTATTCAATAAATTATAAATTATTTTCCATTTAAGATCTATTAAACCTTTTATTTTTTGTTTGATCGTAATAGAATAATCACATATATACTTTTTACAGTCTAGTCTTTCCATGCACTCACAGAATTTTAATACTCACACCTTTTACTTAATTGTCTTTTTTCCAACAATTTCAATTGGAAGTTATGTTATTCCTTATCATTTCAAATCTATTAAACCATTGCGTTTTTAGTCGATTATAATTGAAAAATCACATATACACTTTTTACAGTCCAGCTGGCTTCATCTCATTATTTTCTTCATTTTCATCAATATCTTTAACATAATATCATTCATAAATCTTACATCACTCTTTACACTTGCAACTGAAAGCATTTTCTAACTCGACTTCATTAAACACAAATCAGTCTTTAAAATCTATTTTTACTCATCACACTTTCAACTCAACCTTCTGTTTCTCTTGCCCCTTGTCCCCAGGAACACCAAAGGACAAGTTTTTATTTGACTTTCTGCTTTTCTTTTGCCCCCTGTCCTCAGAAACACCGAGGAGCAAGTTTTTATTTGTCCCCCTGCTTTTCTTTTGTCCCTTATCCCCAGGAACACCAAGAGATAACATTTTGTTTGTCCCCCTGCTTTTCTCTTGTGCCTTGTCCCCAAGAAAGCCAAGAGGCCACAGTTCATTTGTCTCTCCCTTGCCCTGAGGAACACCAGGAATCAAGTTTTTATTCATCTCTTTTATCTTGTCCCCAGAAACACCAGGGAGCAAGTTTTTATTCATCTCTTTGCTTTTATCTTGTCCCTTGTTCCCAGGAACACTGGGGTTCATGTTTTTATTCATCTCTTTGCTTTTGTCTTGCCCTTTATCCCCAGGAAAACCAAGGGACAATGTTACATTTGTCCCTCCACTTTTCTCTTGTCCCTTGTCCCCAGGAACACCAGGGTGCAAGTTTTTATTCACCTCTTTGCTTTTATCTTGTCCCTTATTCCCAGGAAAACAAAGAGGCAACATCCCCCCGCATTTCTCTTGTGCTTTGCCCTTAAAAAAATCAAGAGACAGACCTCCATTTGTCAATCTACTATTCTCTTGCTCCTTGACCCCAAGGAAACCAAGTGATAAGCTTCCATTGACCCCTCTGATATTCTCTTGCCCCTTGAGCCCAAGAAAACCAAGTGACCAGCTTCCATTCACTCCTCCGGTGTACTCTTGCCCCCTGGCCCCAAGATAACCAAGTGACAAGCTACCATTCGCCCCTCCATTATTCTCTTGCTTCTTGCCCCCAAGTAAACCTACAGACAAGCTTCCATTTGTCTCTTTGCTTTTCTCTTGCCCCTTGACCCCAAGAAAACCAAGAGGTAAGCCTTCATTTGTCCCTCTGCTTTTCTCTTGCGCCTTGACCCCAAGAAAACCAAGAGACAAGTTTTCATTTGTCCCTCTGCTTTTCTCTTGTCCTTTGACCCCAAGAAAACCAACAGACAAGCTTTCATTTATTCCATCACTTTTCTTTTGCCCCATGTCCCCAAGAAAACCAACAGACAAGCTTTCATTTGTCCCATCACTTTTCTTTTGCCCCATATCCCCAAGGTAATCAATAGACAAGCTTCCATTCACCCCTCCACCATTCTCTTGCCTCCTGACCCCAAGAAAACCAAGGGGCCCGCTTTCATTTACCCCTTGGTCCCCATTTAAACTAAAGGACCGGACTTGATTTGTCCCCGAATGTGTCTGAATGTGCCTCAATAAATACCCCGGTTGTGAAAACGTAGCATTACAATATGAGCACTCAAACATATTCCCAGCCGCATGTGTCCTTTTATGCCTGGTCAAATGACTGGACTGATTAAAAGACTTCTTACATATTTCACATACGTACGGTCGTTCCCCTGTGTGCGTTCTTATATGAGAAACTAAGCTACTGGAATCTGTGAAGGCTTTAGGACAATTCTGGCATTTAAAAGGTCGTTCACCTGTGTGTATCCGTGCATGTTTGGCTAAATTGCTGGAGTCTACAAAAGCTTTATTGCAGGTTGTGCAAATGTAACGTCTTTCACCTGTGTGGGTTAAACGGTGTCTTATTAACCGACTTAGCATGGTGAATGATTTGCTGCAGAATGGACATTTTAATAATTCGCCTGCTTTGTGAATTGACATGTGTTGGGATAGGTTGTAGAAGCGTTTGAATTCTTTTAGGCAGGTGCTGCATTTGAATGATTTTTTTATGCTTTGGGTTTTATCATCAATGGTTTCTTTGATTTCGTATTCTAGAATGAATACTGATGGTCTAATTGCTGCTTGATCGACTTCTAATTGTGTATCTTCATCATTGTTTGTATCTTCTTCATCAACTTCATTTTCTTCTATAGAATACTCAACTGGTTCATTTTTAACAGGCGAATCGTCTTCATCAGACATCTTATATATTTATTTCTGGTGAATAAGGATATGAATTAGTAATTGAAATAATAAATACTGATACAAAATAAATAAATATGTAAATAAATAAATATAACTCTTTTAGACAATTTTGACATTTTACCAAAACTATCAAACATGGCGTGTATTTCAACATGCCGGGAAACATAAAATATAATATATTTATATATTTTTTTAAATGTCTAGAACCTTGTAGCAAATAAAAATGCAATTTCTTTTATCTTTATTCAAATTTTTTTCATTTAATTATTAATTCCTTATTAAACTTCATATCCGTTGGAAGTACAAATTTAATTAGTGTTGGTATTGCTCTAAAGTGAATTAATAAAAGAATATTAACTACATATAAAACTTTATAATAGGATATAAGTTAAATATAAATTGTAATATATATTCTCTATAACTATATTTTAAACATTTATTGAAATTTAAAGAGTAACAAATGATCACAGTTAGTTAGTAAATTTCAAATTCAAATTCCACATGTTTCGCGCCTAAGGGCGCCATGTTTGACAGTTCCACAAAATGACAGTAAATATAAATTAATTAATAAAAATAGTAATATTTTATTATAAATAATTAATAAATTTATAAATTAATTATTGCGTTTAAAATATATATTTTTGTTTATAAATTTATTAAATATAAGATTGTATTAAAAATAGATACTTGGTTAATTTCAAATTCAAATTTCATATATTTTGCGCCTAGGGGCGCCATGTTTGATAGTTCCACAAAATGACAGATCAAAAAACTTCATCTAAATATAAATTAATTAAATTAATTTAATTAATAAAAATAGTAATTTTTATTAAAAATAATCAATAAATTTGTAAACTAATCATTGCGTTCAAAATATATATATTTGTTTATAAATTTATTAAATATAAGATTGTATTAAAAATAAATACTTAGTTAATTTCAAATTCAAATTCCGTATATTTTGCGCCTAGGGGGCCATGTTTGACAGTTCCACAAAATGACTGATCAAAAAATTTCATCTAAATATAAATTAATTAATAAAAATAGTAATTTTTAATAAAAATGATGAATAAATTTATAAACTAATCATTGTGTTTAAAATATATATATATTTTCGTTTATAAATTTATAAAAATAGGATTGTGTTAAAAATAGACACTGATGTATGACGTGATGGTAAATAATTGAATTTAAAATAGTCAACCTACTAATTGAATTTCAAATAAAACATGTCTGAACAAAAAAATGACCAGAAAGTTAAAAATGACCCTCCAGAAGATAACGTTTCATACTCTGCTACTAAGCCACAATTACATGACTTGAGTGACGATGAAATACCCTTAGAAACACTGATGAACTTTGAAGTAACAATGGAAGAAGGAATCAAACAAGAATCTTCTTTTACCCAAAGATCATTTACATGTGGAGTTTGTGATCAAACATTCTCAATTTCTAATGAACTATCGACTCATATGGCTTCTCATACAGACATGAAATGTAAATACTGTGATAAGGTCTTTGCATGTTCAAATACGTTATCTGTTCATATGTTAACACATGTTGAAGCACGTGCTCTTACGTGTGAACAGTGTAATAAATTATTTAAATTTCCAAGTGAATTCATACTGCACATGAGGACTCACACAGGAGAACGTCCTTATAAGTGTGACATCTGTAACAAAACATTCAATCGTCTAGCTCATTTAAAAAGGCATGAACCTCTACATTCTGATGAATTACCTCATAAATGTGAAATTTGCAATAAAGCTTACGCCCACCTGGATACTTTAAAAAAACACATGGTCGGTCACACCGAAGAACGGCCTTATAAATGTGAAACTTGCAACAAAAGCTTCAAACATTCAGGAAGCTTATCAAATCACATTCGAATCCACACAACTGGACGACCTTACGGTTGTGAAATTTGTAATAAATCCTTCACCCACTCTGCTTATTTAGAGGCACACAAGCGTATTCATTCCAGAAAACAACCACACAAATGTGACATATGCAACAAGGCCTACAGCCAAAAGAAAAACTTGAAAATGCATATGCGTATCCACACCCAGGATGCTCCTTATACTTGTGAAATATGTGCTAAAGGATTTTTCCAAACAAGTGCTTTAAAAGATCACATGAATGCCCATTCAGGTGAACGGCCTTATGAGTGTAAAATATGTAATAAAACTTTTTCGCAGGCACTCTGTTTAAAAGTACACAGGATTGTTCATGCTAATGAACGACCTCACAAATGTGAGATGTGTGAAAAGACTTTTCGACATGCCTCATCTTTGAGGTCACACATGAGAGTACATGATGATAAGAAATAATGTGAGCTGTATCTTAAGAAATAAATATTTTTCTACAATAGTTTGTGTTGTTTTAAATTGCAATCCCCAAAAAATATATATAAACATATATAATAACAATAAATAAATTAGAAAAGACTAAAGTATTATCACAAATTTATCAATTTAACACAGAAGCACTATTACACATTACAAGTTCCACAAAATCCTCCTGAATCAATTCCTCATTGCATATTTCACATTTATGAGGCTCCTTTCCCAACTCAATACTTACTTTATTTTTTTTATCCATATTCAATTGTCTTTTAAAGGTCCAAGGGTGTGTAAAATTTTTCCTGCACATAAGGGGCTTCACCATGGCGGATTATCAAGCGTTATGACAATTGATATTTATGCAAATAAGAACTTTCATAAAAAGTATTATTTATTACTATTATGACATTCTTGTTTGTTTTGTCACAAATCTTTCAATTTCACAATCATAATATTTATAAGACTCATAAGAATTATTTTAATCCTGTAATACAATTAATTCTCATACTTAAAACACTTCTTGCAATTTGTTGATTTAAAAGACTTTTTTCCATGTGTTATTTCAAAAAAGATGCCTAGACTAATAAACCTTACAAACTCACTTATATCATTACTCAGTTTTATGAAAACTGGCATATATTTTATTACTTGCATTATATTATAAATCATAAATCTTTCAATTTCACATTGATAAGAATTATCTGAGTTCTGAGTCTTCTGATTCAATTGATTATTATACCTTCTTGTGTTTTGTGCATTGGAATTGCTTTTCATCAATTGAGATTTCAAAAATGATGCCTTAATAAATATATTTTACTAAATCACTTTCCTTTCAACATTGGATTTATATGTTTTTAATTCTGCTGGATGTCTCAAAAACCATACATTTCCATTTATATCACTCTTCTGTATTACTTGATAGAATTTTCTTTAAGTCTGGATACATTTTTTTTCTTTTTTGTGCCTAATCATGTAGTTGTGGTGATTAAACACATTAGGTAAATGAAAATGCATAACTTCATAAATTTTTTTTTTTTTTTCTGTTAATTTTAACAATCAGATTACAATACAATCTATAAGTTAGAAGTTATGGTATTGAAAATCAAAATCAAAAAGAAAAAAAAATAGAATAAAGGAAATTAAAGAAAAGAAATAGAATAAATGAATGAATAAATAATAATTAAAATAATAGTATTAATAATAAAAACGATAATCAATAATAAATAATAATTAAAAATAACTTGTTTGAAAATTTTCCTGTGCGAAACAGGGAAATTATGTTGTTGACGGTAGATCACTGGGCCATTTTCTTTTCAGGCGTTTTAATTTTTCGGCTGTTTGTACTATTTGCATTTCCGGATTGACGTGTGCATCCAATTTGTTTTGAAAGATAAAACTTCTGTTCTTAATAACTTCCGCCACTGTTGGAATTTTTAGGTCTTTATGGATCATGTGGTTGGTCATAAACCACGGAGCCTTACAAATCATTCTCAGAGTTTTGTTTAACTTCATAAATAAACCATAATTTATTTATTGATTCTATTACCTTCTAAAATACAATTTACAGCCAATTCTCTTCTTTATTATATAATTCTAAATTAAAGTTTATGGGTCCATGCTTTTTATACGCATTATTTTAATCATTTTCCAATCATAAATAAATCATAATTAATTTATTGAAGTAAAACTTCTTTAGGCGCGATTAGGGTGTAAATCCGTGCAAATGCAACGGAAGTGCGTTACGGCCGAGTCGAGTGCCAATGATTTGCCATTCGTTCTCGATGAAATCATTTCTATACGGGTCAATTGTGATTAGACACAAGTCGTGTATGTGAATAGATTTCTGTCGTTGCATGCGTACCGGCATCAACGTTGTATGCGTACCGATATCAACAATTAAATCGGCATAGATAAATAAACATTTTAAAGTTGCATCGTAGTACAAATCTTTATTTAATGAAAAATGCCTGAATCAGAAGAATATTTTATCCTGTTCCTTGAAAATAATAAAACAAATTAAACATTTGAGCCGTGTACTAGACGTAAGTTTATGGATTAGAAATTATTTCTATGTTATTCGTAGTTTCTATAAATCTTTGAAGTTATTAAAATGGAAAATATTTTTTAGGCAAGACAGATATTAGAGCTGTTCAAAGAATGAGATTATATCGCCAGCGAAAAAGTAAAGAAAATACAAGCAGTCAATGAATGTATGTTAATTTTAATTATATGAAGTTCTTAAAACACAATTATTACATGATGAGTAATGTTGCAAAAACAAAATTTGTTTAGGCGCTGTTTAACATAATCCACTGTGTGAACAAATATTGTAGAATTTATTAATCAGCAATTACTTCATTTCTCTAATGAAGGTTCATTTCTAAATGCTAATTACAATGACAAACCGATCATGTCATATTTGAAATATGACTTTAATTACATTATTGTTTTTAAATATTATACATATTTTTAATGCTATTAGAAATATATAATTTATAATTCATCATTATATAAATGTGTATAATGGTTGACACTAATAAATGTGTGCATCACGAGTGTTACCGTATTACTAATAAACATTATTTAAAATTGTTATATGATGTATTTATTTTTACTTAAATGCCATTTTGTACAGTATCAAATAAGTTTTACTTCAATCTTGTGTGAACCTTACGCGCATTCTTTTTTATTAATTCTTTTGCCTTCTAAAATAAAATTTACAGCCAACTGTCTTCTGTATCTATACATAATGAAATTGCAAGCTTAATAACTTGTTAATTCTTTTCATTAGGTAATTGGAAATTGAAGTCTCTGGGTTATTTTAATATATATAATAATCTTGTACCTTCATGAAAAACATTAAAAATTTCTATCCTTAATATAAAAAAAGTTATACTTTATAATTATTATATTATTGTTCTAATAATTATTATTATGAACATAATTATTCTGCAGTCTTTAAAATGTAATTAGTTAATTAAGATAAGGAAAGAATTAAAAGTATGTACCAATTGTAAACTTGACTATTAAAATTTACCAATAAAAGTCTTTAAAAACTTCCTTAATAATATATAATAATTATTATAATACTTTACACTACCTTCAACTCTCTAATTTCTGAGGTTCATTATTTCTCACCTTAAATAAATATTAATTTTTTCTATTTCCATTGTTTAATCACGTTGCATTATCTTTTGCATGTACTTTAATATGCTTAGACAAGTACTCCGTCATTGTAAACTTCATTTCACAATACGGACACTCAAATAACTTCTCAGAAATATGAGTCTTCCTATGCTTTGTCATGTGCCCCGATTGTATAAATGTTTTTCCACATATATCACATTTATAAGGTCGTTCCCCCGTATGTATCATCATATGAATCTTCAATCTGCTACCATGTCCAAAAGTCTTATTACAAATGTCACACTTATGGGGGCGATCCGGAGTGTGTATAAATTTGTGCCTTTTGAGATGATCAGAATCAATAAAAGTTCTACTGCATATATCACATTTGTAAGGGCGTTCACCAGTATGGATTAGTATGTGTTTAGCTAAACTACTCGATTGTGTGAAGGCTTTACTGCACATTTCACACTTGTGGCGTCTTTCACCGGTGTGGACTGCCATGTGTTTGGCTAAACTGCTGGAATCGATGAAGGCTCTCGTGCATTGATCACATGCATAAGGACGTTCACCCGTGTGGGTTCTGACGTGTTTCACTAAGTTGCTGGATTGATAGAAAGTTTTGTCGCAATGAGTGCATTTGAACTTTTTGTTGTTGGTGTGGACGAGCATGTGACGGGATAATTTGAAGAGTTTGGGGAATGTTTTATTGCACATTTCACAAGGGTAGGACTCTGTAGGAGAATCGAGGAAAGTTTCTGGACATCTTTCTTCGGCTTCTTGTTTAGGATTAATTGTCTCTTCATCAGATGAATATTCGTGTTCGTTTTCTGATATTGAGTATTCAATAGGCTCAGATTTGATTATTATTTGTTCTGACATTTTAGTGTGCAAATATAATAAAATATTTTACAAATCAAAACACTATAAATAATTATTATCTACGATGCGCATATACACTACGAGCACAATATGAAAAATTTATTACATAAATAACACATTTTTTAACTATAATATAAAAGTTTTATATATAAATATAAATTGTTTTCTTTTTGTTTTGAGTTGTGACATTTTTAGTCAACTGTCAAAAACGGCGGCCATGTTTTTTTCTTGCCACATTTGAATTAATTTTCCCACAAAAACTCTCATCTGGCAACACTTCAGCAATTTTAATATAAATATTTAATATTTATAAAAATATGTATATTTATTTGTTATATAATCTTTATTTCTCTCTCAATTTATCAATATATCATATTTTGTATATATATGTCTGAATATTATCATATTCAGACATTTTTCAGTTTCAGTTAATTTCTCTAATAACATTAATAGAATTCATTATAAAGTTTTTTATAAGTTTTTTTTCGTGCACCTTTTGATGCTGAGTCTTATGATAAGATTGAGTGAATGTTTTATTGCACAAATCACATTTATAAGGCCGTTCACCAGTATGGATCCTAGTATGTTTCGACAAACTGCTTGATTGTGAAAAAGATTTCTCACAATACAAACACTGAAAAGGCTTAGCCCCTGTATGAGTGCGTACATGTTTTATTAGTCCGCTGGTACAACTGAAAGTCTTCTCACACATATCACATTTATGGGGTTTTTCTCCTGTATGGACAGCCATATGCTTTGACAAGTGGCCTGATTGAGTGAATGTTCTATCGCAGACTTTGCATTTGTGGGCTCTTATACCCATGTGTAACCTTGTGTGTTGTAACAAAGTGGTTGAATATGCAAAGGCTTTATTGCATTGTGTGCAGGTATAAGGTCGGTCTCCTGTGTGGCAGCGTAAATGCCGTGTGAGATTACTGGAGCTCATGAAAGCTTTTTTGCAGACGCTGCATACATGTGGTTTTTGTCCGGAATGAGTTTTATGATGCAGCCACAACTGGCTGGCTTGTTTGTAGGTTTTATCACAAAATCCGCATTTGTATGTGCGGTCATCTCCATGGATAAGTACATGTTGGCGTAAATGACAAGAACGAACAAATTTTTTGTTACAGGTAGGACATTTGTGTCTTTTTATTTTGTTGGTTCGTTCTAGAAGTTCATAATCTATGTCAGATTCTATGGACATATCAAGAGATAAGTTGTCATCTTCTGAAGATATTTCTGATTTAATATTTACACTGTTATTTGTATCATCTGCATTAGAATTATATTCATCTTGCTTGTCTAATATTGAATAATCTAAAGGATCACATTCTATTACATGATAATCTGCAGAGGAATTTAATTCATCTTGTTTTATAGTCATATCTGTTACTTGGTTTTCCATAGACATATTAAAATATTATTAAACTAAGTTATAAAATTAAATAAAATATAAATTCTTCGGCGTTATTCCGTTAAACAACATAATTATTAACTAATTAAATATAATAATAAAATTTATCACTTTCTATACTTTGCATTAAAATGTTCTGTCATTAGCTGTCAAACATGACAATGTACCAACATTAAAGTTTAAGACTTGAAGACTGTCACGTATAATGCAGTTGTGCCAACTACAAAAAGATATATTTCAAAATGCCAGTTTTTTTTAAATCATTATTTTGTTATTTTCTTATTTTTAATATTGTTCTTATGTTTTATTAATTGTTATTTGTCATTTATTGTTTTTATTGTACTTTTTAAGATTATTTTTATTATTCACAAATTTTATGTATTTATTAACTTTATTATTAACATTATTTTATTTCAGCATATGGTTATCATTTCAATGAAAATGTTCTTTATTTTATATTATACCTTATTTCTAATTCTTATCTTAATCAAATTAAATTTATTTTATTCTACTTTGTTTAAATACATTTCATTTAAATATGGATGTCAACGGTAATCAACGCGTACAAAAAGAACAGAATATATCAGGTAATTGTATATCAAATTAAATTTATTTACAACATTTTATTCTACTTTGTTTAAATTTATTTCATTTAAATGTGGACGTCAACTGTAATCAACGGTAACCATCTCGTACAAAACACAACGCGACGTAAGCATATTATTCATTTTCAATTCTAAATGCTCATTAATAATTTTTTATAATCCATTCCAAGTTTTTGTGGTTTTATTTCTATAAAATTTACAAAGATATCTAACCACGGATTTTTTGACTAAGTTTTTGTGGTTTTATTTAAAAAAAAAATTTCAATTACATATCGTAGGATTGTAATATTGTAGTACAGTTTAATTAAACTTAAGTCAGACCACCAGACTTAAATCAAACCCTGATATCTATATATATTAGTCATACAAATTTTTATACTAATAATTACAAAGAAACTGTCTGGCTCATATAGTTACCAAAAACTAATCAGCACGATTTCTAACTAATATTTTTCAAATAATTTTTAAAATTGGATAAGGAATTTATGGGAAAATATTGACAAAACATGAGACTTTTTATCAGCTAATTAAAATTTTTCAAATTAGTGTCGATATTTATGTTACACAACAAAATGCTGAATAATGTATGTGAATAATATAATTCAAAAACTAAATATATTATTACCTTGAGTTTAATATATATTTAACAATCAATATTTTCACTTTGCACAATCAATATATTGATAAAAGATATTTTAATGAATTCTAGCAAGGAAAAATATTAAAGAAGTAAAAAAGCAACTGCTCACAATCAATGTTAGTTTGATACTAACACACATTTTGTTCTGTTTTCCAAAAATATATTTTATTTAAATATGGACGTTAGCGGTAATCAGTAGATGCACCAACATTAGAAGCTTAACATGATTATAAAAAAAATAGTTTTTAGCAAACTCGATTTAATTTTCTGCGGGCATATATTCAAATTTGCATCCATTATTTTAACAGATTTACAGACTGGATTCGCATATTATTAGAAAAAAAGTCCAGATTTCTAGATCTGCAGTTCAGAATGTCTGAATTTGGCCGCGCCCAACTCTAAACAATATATGAGAATTTTGGCGCCAATATTCATATGGCGCCATTTACTTTACTGGAGCTTATATCTCTCTCTGGTTGTTTGTGTCTACAAAAGTATATAAAACAAACCAGGTGTAAGTGGCATTTTGCTCGAGGCAGCTCATTGCAAACCTTCTAGACCAGTGCTTCTTAAACTTTTGTTCTTCGCGACCCCGACACTTACAATTGCCAGTTTTTTGGCGACCCCACTTATGATTGGGAGTTTCTTAACGACCCCACAAAATAAATTAATATTTTTAAATGATTATACTCTTCTTTTATCTATGACCCCACGCATATCAAAAAATGAATTAATATTTTTAAATGATTTGATATTGGATATAAATATGAAAATATATAGTTTGGGAATTTATTGAAAACATACAAAAAACAAGGCATAATGTTATAAAATGATATAAATATTTGATATAAAAATCTCTCGTGACCCCAGAATTTTTTCACACAACCCATAAGCCCTGATCTAGACCATAAGATCCCAAACTATTTTATGTCGTGGAGCCCTTAAACTTTACTATGAACCCCGTATTTACTCAATATATTTTTTTATAAATCTATAGAAATAAACAATATTTTTTTACTTTTTTGGATCATCTCTAAATATTCTATATGACTTTATGAGTCTAGTATAAGTAAATATATATTAACATGGTGATCCACTATCGTAAACCACAAATTTTTTTGGCTGACGGTGACCTCTTGATAGTTGTCATAGACCCCTATGGGTCGATATGGACCACTTTGGAAATCAATGAATATATCTATGATGAATATTTTAGACTATTCCTAGACAATATTAGAATATTATATATCCATTATAAATATATTATATTCTAATATTATCTAGGTTTCACATATTGAAAAGAACACAAATATATCATATTCTAATATTGTCTAGAGTTTAGCCAATATTAGAATATGATCTACTCGTGCTCTTTCCGATAATATTAGAATATAACCTAGTAACCTAGATAATAATGTTATAATATAATATTTATAATAAAGATATAATATTCTAATATTGTCTAGAAATAGAGTACTATTCATCACAAATATATTCATAATATATTAATAATGAATAAATAGAAGATAATATATTCATAATGTGTAAATAGAATATAATTATATATTGGTCAATATATAATTATATTGATAATAATAATAATATTATATATTGGTAATATATAATTATATTCTATTTACACATTATGAATATATTATCTTCTATTTATTCGTTATAATTATATTATGAATATATCTGTGATGAATACTACTCTATTTCTAGACAATATTAGAATATTATATCTTCATTATAAATATTATATTCTAATATTGTCTAGGTTACACATATCAGGATATAATATGTATATATTGTATTATACTAATATATATACATATATATATATATATTAGTATAATACAATATATACACATTCTATTCAAAAAAACTAGATTGAACTATTTAGATAAAATATTCAATTTTTAGTTAACTTAATAATTCAGTGCACAAATTATAATTATAGCGCACAAATAGATAGCTTGTATAGGACAACCATTATTTCAAACTTTAATGAATTTTTATAATTCAAACACTTTTTGTGGGCTGTAATTCTTTAAAATATTTCATTTAAGACTATGAACTCTATTGTAAAAGAACATTTTCATTCATTTAATTACAAAAAAACGGTTCATCCGATCTTTGCTAAAAATTAATCAGCAAGAATCCCAAATCTTATCTTTCGAATAGTTTCTGAATTCCCAAATTCAGTTTAGTTTTTTTCACAAAAATTTGGACAAAAAGTTTTACACTTTTCTGCTTATTATAAAGAAACGGTTCGGTCGACCGTCAAACGATTAAGAATGACTAAAAACGTCAAAAACTTATAAAACCAGAAAATCGCAGTTTTTGGACAAAAAGTTCAATATTGAAGTGATTACTTAAGACATACAGTACAGGCCAAAAGTTTCCGGACACATGAAAAAAATCTCATTTTCTGAGTTTTGAGCTATATTTTTCATATAAAAATAATTTTATTCAAGTTAGTTTTGTACATTCTACGTAGTATTAATATTTAGTGACTGATTTGTGACCAATTTGTGAGAAATGATGGGCTAATTAGCAATGAAAATGTTAAAATGTCACAGTCGATTTTCCTGAATATGACCACCCTTTGCTTTGATCACTGCAGCGCATATTTTTGGTAATCTTTTGACGAGTTTTTGCAATGTTTGCGCAGGTATGTTCTTCCAGGACTCGTTAAGGCAATTCCACAGGGCAGGGAGGCTGCTTGGATGCAAATCAGTCAGACAAATGCACAACAGTTCTATTGGATTAAGATCCATTATTTGAAGTATTTTTTCGTCTTGTTTTCGCTTCAAATAATTGGCACAGAGTCGGGAAGTGTGTTTAGGGTCATTATCTTGTTGAAAAATAAATTTTGGACCAATTAAATTAAGACCAAATGGAATGGCGTGGCGCTGAAGTATGGTATGATGCTGTTCTTTCTTTAAAGTTCCATCTTTTTTGACAAGCGATCCGACTCCATTGAATCTAAAACAACCCCAAGCCATCACTGAACCACCACCGTGCTTCACCTTTGGCGAAATACACTTAGAATTGAGTCTTTCATTACCCTTCCTACGTCGATGATTTCCGAAAAGTTCGAATTTTGACTCATCCGTCCATAAAACTGATTTCCATTGATCGATGGTCCAATTTAAGTGGGTTTTGGCAAATTGCAATTTCTTTTGTTTATTTACTGTTCGCAGAAGTGGTTTTTTGAGTGTCCTGCACAATCGCCGGATCTTAATCCAATAGAGCTGTTGTGGGACGAGCTTAAATGCCGCGTGAAGGATTTGCATCCAACCAGCCTTGCTGCCCTGTGGAATTGCCTTAACGAGTCTTGGAAGAACATACCTGCGCAAACATTGCAAAAACTCGTCAAAAGATTACCAAAAATATGCGCTGCAGTGATCAAAGCAAAGGGTGGTCATATTCAGGAAAATCGACTGTGACATTTTAACATTTTCATTGCTAATTAGCCCATCATTTCTCACAAATTGGTTACAAATCAGTCACTAAATATTAATACTACGTAGAATGTACAAAACTAACTTGAATAAAATTATTTTTATATGAAAAATATAGCTCAAAACTCAGAAAATGAGATTTTTTCATGTGTCCGGAAACTTTTGGCCTGTACTGTATGTGCTACTAAGTGTAATTTTTTATGAATTCTTGTTTTTTTATATTGATCTTAAATATAAAAACAATTTTCAATCTATATACAATATTTATACAAATGCAAAATTATGAAATTTACAATTATGATATCTTTTCACAAGTAAAAAAAATTATAATCACATCAGTCCATTATCCCTTTGGCAGCCTATACAGCCCTCCCATAAGCACCAACTTGTGCTCTCTAACCTTCCTATCCAGAAAATGCCTCAACTCCACCAGCGAGCACTCGACTGCAGGTCCCTGAGAAGCAAACATCTTCAACATCTGCTGGATCCTCTCAAGAGGCAAAGAATCCAAATTCGTCAACATGCCTACAATGTAAGACCAGAACACCTGGAGCTCTTCTTCTCGTTGGTCACTTGTGGATGCCATGGCACTCTCAGCCTCCTCATACTCTTCGTGAGTAGCTATGGATTGGGTTTCTGGTTCATTGTTTGTTTTCTCGATGAGCTGGAAGAGGTCTTGAGAATGTTCACGGATTATTCCCTGGGATTGCCAGAAGGAGAGTTTTCGGCGGAGGACGCTCTGCGGGAGCTTCATGGTGGAACTCAGGTCATCAAGTTGCCAGAGATCTGGAGAGATAGATATATAATGAATAGAATAAATACTAGTGGGGCGCATGGCATCGTGCCTTAAGGCAAATTGCTGGAACTTCCCGAGAAACTATAAATTTTTGACGAACATTTCCTTTTTTTGAAAAAAAAGACTTTGCTAAAAAAATTGTTTATTTATTTTAAATATTTTGGAAGTTCTGAACTTTTCTTCAAAGCAATCGTACTGCTTTAACTGCATAGATATGACATATGGAAGCGCGTAAGCGCCGCGCCGCTGTCTATCGGATAAACATTGGTACGGAAACCATAGGAATGTAAACAAAATTTATAATTATTGTTAAAATCTCTATAAAATATCTGAATTTTATGTGCATATGTCTAATGATCGTTTTTGACCTCCAAATGGCATTTTTTTTTTACTTTTTTTATTAGATCTACGAAACCGCTAGACCTGCCTTTATGAAAATTTGATCAATTCTTCATCTTGTCAATACAAGTAAAATGTTTTTTGAATTATTAAAATCGTACACTCCGTCCTCTTAAAAACTGAGTTACCGTGGCACTTATGCCCCGTATCTTCGAAACGGCTAGACCAGCCTATGCCAAACACTAATCAGAACGTCTCCTTATCAACAACAATCGAATGTTTTTTGAATAATTGAAATCGGTTGAACCGTGTTCCCGAAATCGTCGACGAAAATTTGTATCCGCACACACACAGATACACACACACACATACATCCATTTTTTCTAAGGTTTGCCAAAATGTTCAGAAAACTCTGAAACGTAAAGATATATAAAAAATTTCGTTTTTGCGAGAAGTTAATAATGTTGATACTATTTTCTAACCTCCTAAAGAATACCAAATTATCTAATTCGACGTTTAACACATTCTGAATCGTTTGACACCGATATTGGCAATTTTCGCAAAAACGTCTGCACAGATTTGAAAAGTTTTAGTTGATACTGGATGATTAGTTTTGTAAGAGGATCGCCAGAGCCTACTTTATTAGTTTAGAAAATTAACAGCCATTAAAGTATATCAGTTAAGAAAATAGGTATCATTTTTCTTCTTGGAATATGGTTTTAAAAATATTGACTAGTATGTATTTACTATCATACTTTACTTAAGGCAAAATGCTACTCACAACTAGTTTTTTTATTTACCTTGATCTTGAAAATGAATGATGATTGCAGCATGGATCGTAGAGACTGTCAAACTCAAGGTCCTATCTGCCAACTCAATATCCAAATTCACTTGCCCCAAATTCGGTTTCCAGAACAACGTTCTATTACCTGTAAATAATATTAGTAAATCCTGGTGGCCTGTTGGCAAGTAGTTTCAATTAACTCACTTTTATGTGATTCATAGGCCTTGGTGTAGTTTTCCATTTGCTTTTTAATAACATCAGGCAACTCGATGGCTTCCTCTTTGAATGGTGGCCAGAATTGGGCTGAGACTATGGTCGCTTTTGTTGGGAACAATTGGTCTGAAAAATTTGATAATAAGTTAATAGTTTAGTACGATTGTTTATGGATATTTGTTATTACTCAGTAAACCACAAAACGTAATTAAAACGATAATATAACGTAACAGATGTTACGTGAAACATAGCGGTTACGTAGCCAAGGAGGCACACAGACGTATCTATTTCCGCCTCAAAAACGTAATAGCCGGTTTCGTTACGCGAAAACGTAACGGTTTCGTATTTGTTACGTTTCCAAACTGCGCTAATATGTTGTAACTTATATTTTTATCACTCCAAGTTATTAAATCATAACCTATAAGTCTAAAGTGGTTTGGAAAATAAAAATAAGAATAAATAAATAAATTTAAACTATTATTTTAAAACAAATAAATTTATCTAATTTGTCCAAAATTAAATTTTCTTCAATATATTGACTAAATAATAATATCAAATCCACTTATCATCTCCATCTCACCTTTGAGGTATCTTTGATCCTCGTGCACATGTTCATTGATCTTCTTAGAGTCCCTCATGTCCTTCAGCATAACCTCACAATTATGCAGCTGTCCTTCACCAAACCTCATCCTAAGCAGCTCCAGGTTTCTGCTCTCCCGATCGATGTCGAACTTAGGCGAGTGCCTGGTTAGCAACCTGTCGGCTAAGAGTGTCCTGTACTCATTCACAAACAGCTCCTTGCTGCCGTAGATGTCAACCAGCATTGTAATGATGTCACTGGTTCTGCGAACGGTTGAGGACTTCGCTAAAAATGATAAGAATAGAAATAGATAAACATTTACAAATACTTTATTTACTCATTAGTTATTTTTCTAAATGTTGCTGCCTGTTAGATACCCATATATTTATCTATATATTAATATTCCACCACTTACTAGGATCAGCGTCCACCGGATCAGGCATCCAGGTCTCCCAATTGGCAATCTCATCGCTCATTTCGACTCCTGCATTGGTTGCAGTGCCCCCATTCGCACCATTCGTATTGGCAGCGGCATCTCCGGCGCCTCCGACATTGGCGGGTGCTCCGTTACGTCCTTTGTCGCCTCCAGAAGCAGCCTGGGTGAGAGGCAGAGGAGGTGCTGTCTGGGGAGCCTCGGTTGTGGGACGGGCTAGCTCGTCTGCTAGTTCGGAGTTGCCTTCGCCTTCGGAGAGGCTCTGGACGACACATCTAGATAAAAATTTGAAATTTTTAAATGCAATTTAAATAATAAATGGCCAAGTTATTAGAATGTTAAATAAAACTAGTAGAATCAATCTTTGCCGCCTAATATAAAATAAACAAAGAATTTTTTTTTTCTTTTTCCGTTCTTCTGGACCGATCAAAACTTTTTGTAACACTCATGCTCACTCTGAAGCCAAGATTAAACAAAAATAAATTAAAGAAAAAAATATATTTTACATAAATCATTTATTTTATTATATATATATATATATATATATATATATATATATATCTTATTATTATTATTTCTTGTGGTACGGTATCCTGGTCAAAATATGTTCCTCAATCAAAATCCTCATAGATGCAGAAACATTCTCAAACCCAATAACTCTCGCTTGCTCAACAACCTCTTTGAGGATATCCCTCAAGTACAATATCTTATCAAACTCTTCAAACATTGCATCAAAAATGGTCCACAAGAATTCTTCAATACTCTTCCTGTACAAATCCCTTATATCCATAATAATCTGTTCATCCACCAGGTTTCTCATGAACTTCTCATTCGAGACCTTCATTCTCAGAGCCTCCACAAGCAGGTACTCTCTGGTTGCTTCTTCAGAGATCTCCACGATTTCATCCACATGCTTGGTGATTCCCATGTCTAAACATTGTTGTAAAGTTATGACAGGAAAAAATTCAACACGGATATTTGTGGCAAGTCCAATCCTTTTCCAATGCTCGTCTTTTAAATCAGGGTTTCTCATTGCTCGTACGAGACGGATGTAAGGCTTGAAATTGTCCACGATGCTCTCAATGTATTGTATGACATCCTGAATCTTTGGCAAATGCTCAAACGATTGCATCAACTGGTTTAGAGTGTTCATAGTGTTTGTTATTGTTCTGTTCATAGATTGGAAATCTAGGGTCTGGAGAGGATTCTCAAACCAGATATCTCGGGCTTTTAGGGTGTCTGATGCTGTTCCCCAGACGTCTCGAATTGGTTTAAAGGTTTCCATTAGATCATCTGTATCTTGGTAAGAAACCACCTAAAAAATATAAGAATAAAAAAACATAGTAAGAGTTATTGTATATTAGGACTAGCATTAGTTACTTTTATGTCAAATAACTTTTGACGTCTATTCAAAACATATCCATAATTTTGAGCCTCAACCATACTTTTCCAGAGCCTTCGACATTCTACAGCATTGTCATGAATTTTAGAAGTATCATACATCTGTGTCATCTGACCAACTTGAGCTGGAAAAAGAAAAATTTGCATAAAAGCAGTAATGATAACACAGGCCTACAATTTTTTTTTTTTTTGTTTGGTGCATCAAATGTTAGAGCTGATTCTTATAGTATTTTTAGCGCTGATTTCAAATATGCAAACCATTGTTTTGTATCAGCTCTAGTTTGAAACTTGGAAAGAAGTTGCCGACACCAGGTCAATTCTAGGTGGTCACAGAAAAGAACTTGTCACAGTGTCAACTAATGTCCCAACTCAGGCCGAATGGGTCTTGTAAGTTTGTATGTACAAGTAGGCATATCTCATTAAAATAAAATTCTGAATGTATTACTATTTTGTACTTTCATTCCTTATATATCATATCTTGAAAACTAAAGCTCATAGAAAAAATCCAATGTCATTTTTGAAATCAGCGCCCCAAATATACTTAAAAACAGTATTAAAATCGTTTGCACCATTTTCTTTGTTGGCCTGTGTAATAAGTGACCATTATCAGGTATAGCTTTTAACATTATCTGGTTTATTATTTACAAGCAAGATATTCAATCTTTTCCAAATGACTAGCTTCGTCGTTGAGATGAATCCTGAAGAATTTATCGGACTCCTCATTTAAAATAACTTCAGTTCTATGGATCTGCATGAAAATGTGCATTGGAAAGGACAGGGCTTCCCATTTTGCATTGAAATCTGCATCTTCTATTGCGTACCAGAAAATGTCTAGGACGTCGTAGTCTAAACAAATCTGAAAAGGAAATATAAATACAATTTTTAAATGAATGTTTCGCAACCAGAATGTAACACAAATGTACGTGGTCTGTTCAAAAAGTACCCGGAATTTTCGTTTTTTCAAAAAAATATTTATTTATTCGTCTACATTAATGTGGTCCCCTTCAAAGTAGTCCCCCCCCAGATATAATACACTTATGCCAGCGTTTTTTCCAATTTTCGAAGCACCCTTGATATTCACTTTTTGATATGTCCTTGAGCACTCTCAGCGATTTTCTTCAATCGAGGAAAACCGCCGTCCTTTCATGGGTCTCTTCAACTTTGGGAATAGGAAAAAGTCACACGGAGCCATATCTGGTGAATTTTTGCACTTTGCAACACTTTATTTCATTTTTTACGCAAAATTTAATATAAATTCTTTGACTTTTCAATTCTTCCATTGTAAAAATCGCCGAGCTCAGAAAAACACGTCGAACCTTAGCGACTACCACAGACAAAGTAAACAGTGAATATAGCTGAAAATTTCATCATACTTTAGGGGCATGTATACCAACACAATAAAAAAAAAATTTTGACAATCAGACACTCCAGACCCGCGAAATTTAATTATTAGTAATTCCGGGTACTTTTTGAACAGACCACGTAGAGATGACAGGATGAATATGATGTAAATGTTACGGAACAGAATAAATACAAATGTAAATATAGCTACACAATGTTTTGTAACGTAACCGCAACGCAATAAAAACGTAGAGATAAGTAAATATGATATAGTGCTAGGATGTTACGTAACTATTACGAAACATATGCAACGCAAGTTATAAAATACATTTAAAGTATAATTGTAAATGCTCTTCTACTTAAAAATGACGATTTTTAAAAAATTAAACAAATATTTAAGAAATATGGAAAAGGAAACATAAATACAAATTTTAAAATAAATGGTTCGCAACCAGAACGTAACACAAACGTAGCGCATATGGTGAAGCAAATATGATGTATTGATAAAATGAATATGATGTAAATGAAAAAAGAAATACAAATGTAAATATAGCGACACAATGTTTTGCAACGTAACCACAACGCAATAAAAACGTAGAGATAAGTAAAATATCATATACTGCTAGAATGTTACGTAACTATTACGAAACATATGCAACGCAAGTTATAAAATACATTTAAAGTATAATTGTAAATGCTCTTCTACTTAACATTGACAATTTTAAAAAAATTTAATATTTAAGAAATATGGAAAAGAAAATATAAATACAATTTTTAAAATAAATGGTTCGCAACCAGAACGTAACACAAATGCGCATAGGGTAAAGTAAATATGATGTATTATTAAGATAAATATGATGTAAATGAAAAAAGAAATACAAATGCAAATATAGCGACACAATGTTTTGTAACGTAACCACAACGCAATAAAAACGTAAAGATAAGTAAATATGATCTAGTGCTAGGATGTTACGTAACTATTACGAAACAAAGGCAACGCATGTTATAAAATACATTTAAACTGTAATTTTAAATAATGCTCTTCTACTTAAAAATGACGATTTTTAAAAAATTAAACAAATATTTAAGAAATATGTAAAAGGAAATATAAATACAAATTTTAAAATAAATGGTTCGCAACCAAAACGTGACACAAACGTAGCGCATATGGTGAAGCAAATATGATGTATTGATAAAATGAATATGATGTAAATGAAAAAAAAATACAAATGTAAATATAGCGACACAATGTTTTGTAACGTAACCCCAACGCAATAAAAACGTAGAGATATATGATATAATGCTAGGAGGTTACGTAACTATTACGAAACATATGCAACGCAAGTTACAAAATACATTTAAATTGTAATTGTAAAAGCTCTTCTACTTAAAAATGACGATTTCTCAGAAATTAAACAAATATTTAGGAAATATGCAATATTAAAATATTATCAAATATAACAAATTTTTAATAAATATGCAATATTAACAAAATGTTAATTTTTAATCAAACATCAAAACATTATCATCGCGTTTTAGTTACCTTTCTCGTCTCCTTTTCCAAATCTTCGATAGTTTCAGGAATCGTCTCCATCCATTCTTTGGTTTCAAAGATATGTTCAATCGATAACATTTTATCATTGAGACGATTGAAAATGTAATTATATTGAGCTGAAAAAAAATTACATAATATAAATCAATTAATAAATATATTTTACAGCAATAAAAAAATCATACAAATAACTTTAGTAAGTCAAAGTTTACTCGGTAACTTAAAAACGTATCAAATGTGACGTCTGTGTTGCTTCCACGTTACGCAACCAACACATCAACGATATCGTGGTTACTATTACGTATCCCTTACCCAAGACCTCTTCTATCCCCGCCCGACAGGTGGCAGAGTGCATATCCATCAGAGCCAGCGCCAGTTCCCACTTTCTGGCGACCAGTTGCTGCTTCAGATTGGCCACAATTACAAGAAAGGGCCCGATGACCAGACTGGCGGGCACTGACATTTCTATGCTGTCCCTCATCTGTACGTGGTAGTTGATTTCATTGCGCATCTCTCTGGCGTCCCGATGCTGCTGCCGAATGGTCTCTACGTATTCGGCAGTGTTCGTGGTGAGGACTTCTAGGAAGCGCTTGTATTGGGCGGCGTAGGCCTTCATTGGAAGCGAGGCCTGAGATAAAAGATAGTCGAGTAGAAAGGTCGAACAAAAAAAAAAAATACTTGTGGAACATGAATTATAGGTAATAATAGTTGACTAATTTTCCGAAAGAGAAGTATGTTTTTGTCTGAAAATCCGATTTGCTAGTTTTAAGCCATTTTGAATCGTTTGAGACCAAAACTGGAAGAGTGTGTGTACGTGTTTGTGTATGAGTATGAAAAATCTGGCGACGACACCAGCAGCATTGAGGACATAACTTCTAGCAACAAAGAAGAAAACAGGGACAAACCTTTGGTACCAGATGATGACAAAGACTTTTTAGTCTTCAACCAGAACCAGACTAGCATGTTTTCAACTAAACAAATAGATTTACCATCACCAGATGATTTGGATATTGAGCAACAAGTGAAGAATTATGAGACAATGTTTACTCGGAGCCAAAAGTCGACTCTGATTGAAAGATTTGAAGCTTTTGAGAAGCAGATTAAGACAAAATTAATGGCTCATTCCACAGAAAATGATATTTTTAGCACCAGGGATATATTTACCACTAAACCAAAGAATATGAGTTTTAATCTTGGTTTGATCAAATAAATAATTTATAAATAATGGAAAATTATGACTTAAAAGGATTGAATTCATCTTATAGTTCATCAATGAATGAAAAAATTGATCCAATTACTTCGAAGGGTTTAAAATCTTTATCAACTCCATCAATGAGTGAAAACAATGATACATCTAATACCAGAGACTTAAAATTTGGTTCTCGTCCCTCAACAAGTGAAAAGAAAGATTTAATTTCTTCGAAAGGCTTTGGTAGGTAATAATAGTTGCTTATTTTCCAAAGGAGAAATATGTTTTCATCTGAAAATCCGATTTGGTAGTTTCAAGCCATTCTGAATCGTTTGAGACCAAAACTGGAAGAGTGAATGTACGTGTTTGTGTATGAGTATGAAAAATCTGGTTACGACACCAGCAGCATTGAGGACATAACTTCTATCAACCAAGAACCTTTAGTACCAGATGATGACAAAGACTTTTTAGTCTTCAACCAAATAAATAGATTTACGATCACCAGATGATTTGGATATTAAGCAACAAGTGAAGAATTATAAGACAATGTTTACTTGTAGCCAAAACTCGACTCTGAGTGAAAGATTTGAAGCTTTTGAGAAACAGATTAAGACAAAATAAATGGCTCATTCCATAGAAAATGATATTTTTAGCACCACGGATATATTTACTACTAAACCAAAGAATATGAGTTTTGATCTTGGTTTGGGAAAAAAGATTAATCGAATAAATAATCTATGTAAAAATGTGGAGAAAGAAGATAAAATTGTGGGATTAAACATTTACCTGATAATAACTATGCTGCAATTTATTTCTCAAGGCAACAATTTGTGGTTCCATTAAACCGATTGATGTCAAAAATAAATCATCAGCAAATTTCAAATTCTCCAGCAGCCAGGGTTGTATTTGTTTTATTGTATGGGTCTCTAAAAGAAAATAAAATACAATAATATA